TGTCACTTCCGATCATCAGCATCTTGAAAAGATGAAAGATTAATTGTGATGATGATGTACTTAAACCTTTAAGGATCACCTGCAGATTTAAACCCCAACGGCAAGCAAATAAGTTAAGCTAACGTGAGTTTGTGTGAAACCATCTTTTAAGACTTTTCATGTTCCCAGCTGACTTTTTTAGACGTTTTAGATCAAGAACTAATTAAAAGGGAACAACAACATAGAAAAAAAGAGAGTGACGGTAATTTGGGAATTCGGTTCCACAAAGAAAACTTAATTCTTGTTGTTCGATCATGTCATGAAAGGCCAAAGTATGATCGCAACAAAAAGTCTCTTTTTCTTTTGACTTGCATAGCACTTACCTTTTGTATTGTCGTGCTCGTTTCCAGTTGTACAAGATCAAATATTTTCCTCCATTCGATCCTGCTAAATCTGTCCCTTGGAGAACAGATTGCTGGAAAATATAATGTGAAGCTGGCGGTATAAGCTAGCAACACGTTTTCTTGCAACAACTTTTAGCAAGGACAGCAGGACACTAATGTAACGTATCATAAAACTCATGGTTGGCAAAGGTGTCGTTGGCTTGAAATTCCCCGAATCCGATAAAGAGCTAACGTTAGCCTTGAGTTTGCCGATTTCACTGCATAATGGTCCGCAGGCAACGAACAAGGACTGCCCATATTTGAAATGCTAAAGAGTGACGTTGAGACGCTGTACATACGTCCCTGGTACAGACTTGTCAATTATTGTAAGCCCCGCCCTAAATTCCAACCTGCTCTACAGTCTAAATTATAAATGGACCCTCATTTACTAAATGAGCATCATGCAGATTGCAAATTGAGACCAAAAACTCATGTTTATATTTACTGAGGGAATAAACTATGAGAGAAGTAGAGTAATCGTCTTATAGAATTCTATACAATTAGAGGAGTCGCCCCCTATTGGTCACTACAGAGAATGCAGCTTTAACACATGAATCTTTCTCGGCAGAACCGGAGGCTGTCGCCCGGAAGGAGCCTCCAAAATACCTCATCCTGGTGGCACTTAACATACAGCTACATTTGTTCCTTAATAAAATAATCCCATGCTTTAAATAATTGTGGTGATAGCTGTACCTTTGACCTCCACTGAGCCCTTGAAGCCGCCAGCTCTTGTATCTAAGGAAGGTGGAGTCATACAGACTCCTCCAGCGTTGACAATGAAGTCCTCTAAGAAGACGGAAAAACAGATCAGCCAGTCCGGCAGCTAAAAGCAGCTTATATCTATTAATACCTCATGGAGTTTGGAGAAGTTTACGACACCGCATAGAAATATGACGTTGGAAGGCTCAACGAAGCCGCGTAGTCAACAGTCTCCCTGTGTGTGAGAGCACGAGGTGGATCGGGTGGATTCACAGACTGCACCAAGCGGCACCTGGCCAGCTTCTGACAAACAGCAGAGTCAGCGCTCCTGGGGCAGATGTGGCTTTCAAGCAGCCGGTCGAGGGACGGAAACAAACAACATCACGGCCGCCCGTCCTGTTCCGGACTAACGACGTTAACGACAATCGAGTTAAAAGAGGAGCGTCGATTGGCTCCGTGCGGCGATCTTTGTGGGTGATCAATGGCTCTCATTGATTGAGGGGATTTTAAAAATAAACTCCTCGGTGGGACAAAATGGATCTCCTCTGTTTTTCAATTAGTTCTTTGTTATGTGGAACTGTTGTTCCACATCATTTGAGCCAGGAATGCGGAGAATCCCATTAATTGAGTCATCTAGTACCAATTTGATAAGAAATTAAAAGTCACTGGTTCCAGCTTTTCAAACAAAAGTTTGAAGGCAATTTAAACCTTTTTAGATATATTTCATTATTTTCTTAAAAATCTTTCGTTTTGTAAAAATGTTGAAATGTTTTCTTTTTCAAATTTGTCTGTCAAACTTTTTAGTCAACAATCCGTAAATATAAATGTGATTTATACGATTTTTAATTAAATATTTTATGCTATTTTTACTCCTTGGTCTTCTTTTAATTGATTTAATTGCATAGCTGTAAACTCTCAGGCTTAACCCACACAAATACGATTCTTTTTCTACACAATGTTTTATACCCACAAGGACGCGTTTCAGCGTCATTCAGTGAACTGAAGAGCGAATCCATGACGACACAACACAAGTTATTATCTGGTGTGCCTGTGTCAACTGTCATATCTAGGTATATTTTCAATATTTGTGAATTTATTTTTGTAAAATCTCTTTCTCTTCCTGTAAAATATAAACACAACACAAATACATCAGACCAAAGTTATTCCAACAAGCAGTTCTGACATGAATCTTCTCTTTATATTTATATTCATAACAGTCCGACCGTTTAGAGGTGCATTACAGAGCTTGTGATTTATGTAACTACTCCGCGGCTGTGATATTACTTGCTGCTGTAACACTTAGCAGGACACTGTGGGCCATCAAGCCTCAGAATAAAAATCAATCACTGGCAACGAGATGTTACCTTACAGCCAAGACTGAAGCCCACCTCTTTTCCACGCTCGCACCATTTCCCTGCAACAAAATCGAGGAGGCCTTTTTCGACGCGTAAACAAGGAGAAAAAGAAAACCTGCCTTTACAACAGATTTGCGTTTCATTAATCACACGGGATCCGGGCCTCTGCAAAGCGCTCCATCTGCACCGCAGCCAACATTCAGGAGCAAAAAAGCCTCACAGATTGGAAGCAGCCAGCAGCAGACGGACAGTATCGTGGAATACTAAACGCTTGCCGTCCTCACACAAGTTGGCTCCCTTTCCTACAAAATGCCCTTTTTTTCATGTCACCTCCTCAACTCTCCCACTGTCACACCTCACATCCTTGGCTGGCTGTTACAAGGGGAACTTAAAGCCTACAGCTCCTCGTTACAGCTCCACCGGCTTCGCCGGCGTCCTCGCGGAAAGCGAAAGCTGTGAGAGAAATCACGACAAAAAGACGGGATGGCGAGCGAGTGTAGGAAGGGATAAAGAACATACGTGGGAAGGAGACAAAAACAGTAATTCAGCATTAACAGCGAGAGGGCAGCAGGAGGGCCGACCAGCCCAGTGCTCCGATGAGAGCTGACGGGGACCCAGACATTTGTTAGCGCTAACCACTTTGTTTTCACAGCTCGCACACAGATATCTGTGTGTGTGTGTGTCCTGACTCCTGCAACACAACCTTCTATCCTCTGGCTAAAGGAGAGGCCTGCTGGGGTTTCTGCAGTTTCTCAATGCATTTCGTGAGAAAATCAAAACCAAGAGGGAATAAAAGTGTGTTTTGTGCGTGTAACGCAACCAGTGACCTGCCAATCACAAGCTAGCTAGGGGCTATAGCGAGTCTATTTGACTCTAAATGGACCATGAGTCATTAAATGAACATCATGCTGTATTGAAGAAGACTTGGAACTTGAGATTTAGACCATAAACTCATGTTTACATTGTTTACTGAGGCAATAAATCAACGAGAGACGTAGAGTCATTTCCCCATAGACTTCTATAGGACCGGGGGGTCGCCCTCTTGTGGACTTTACACGTAACTTTGGCTTCACTCTGCAGAGGTGGAGGTTGCTGTTTTGTTCTCCCTTGTGAAACTTTTTCAAGTCTCCTTCTTCACCACTTGCAAAACGTCACAATGGCGGCGGCCACAGCATTGAACTCAAAGCTTCAAAACATCAGTCCACAAAGCGATAGGTGACTACGTCCACTTCTCACGTACTCGGGCACCGAAGATGGAGAAACCAAACAAATGGACGTTCCAGGTCCGTGGATTTGATCTTTGACCTTGTTCCTCAAATTCACCAGATACTACAAAATCATTTTGAGAATATGTGATCAACAAGCTGCTGAAATGATCAGTTTCATATCTTCAGTGCGGCAAACAGTTGGAGAGAAACTGATTCAGCAGAGAGACAAAAAACAACATGTTATAACTCTCGCAGGTAAGGTGAAGTCCCCCCCGTGTCCCTCTCCACCTTAAACCCAGAAGACAAGTCTAGACGGGGCCCCAGATGGGGGGTTCATAAACTGCAACGAATTAAGTAAAAACTCCTTCCAAAATGCTCTTGGTGGGGGGGGAGTGGGTGAGAATGGATTTGCTTCATCAGCTCATATATAAACATATATATGAGGGAGGAGGGGGGGGGGGGCATCTAACAGGGTCCTGCCGCTCGTGTCCTCTGTGAGCTGCAGAGAAGACACTTTTCCTGCAGTGTCATTTATCATCGGGAGCAGCGTTCGCATGCAGCTAATCTGATCCTGACAAACATTCGTATCTTCAGGCAAAGTCTTAGTTCTTCTCGCTCGCTCGAAGTGACGGCAGATTGACCACAAGCTTCTGTCTGTGTAATATTCCACCCAAAAACTAATGGCTCGATTTTAACGAGGCCTTCGATTTGGATTAAATAAGGCTCAAACAATTATCAAATTGTCAATCAGTTGCTTCAGAGACAATGTCTGCAAAATGAAAAGTCTTTCGGAGGGATGGAAAAGCATAGAGGGGGTTTGTCAGGAACTCGGCAGCTCTGCATTCACCTGTGTGTCTCCTCAGGTGCAAACAAACTTATCTGAAACCCTCCCCACGTACACACACTCACGTCACAGCGGGGGAGAAAAAACACTGCGCGGTGCCAACTTCTTCCTTGTGAAGGGCGCCTCTGCGGGTCAAAGCCAGCGAGGGGGAGGTATGGGGGGGGGGGGGGGTGACCTTTATTTCTCTGCGTCCTACAGGTCCGACTGCCTGTGTCAGTGATGCAGTACTCTCTCTCTCTCTCTGTGTCTCTCTGTTTCTCTCTCTCTCTCTCTCTCTCTCTCTGTCTCTCTTTCCTCGGTACGTGGCTCAAGTTGTGCACTTATCCGCATGCATCCGAGGCTGCAACACCGCCGCGCTGCGAGCGACCAGCGGCTGAACGTGCAGCAAACAACAAACAACAAAAAGAACCCGTCATTCTTCCCTCGCGCACGAAGCGCGTGCTGGATCCCCGGCGGCTGCTTGTGTACTCACCAGGTAACGTGATGTTATCTCTGCAGTGGCAGCAGCCTCCGTCTCCCGGAGACGAGGAGATGCTGCAAAGGAGACACTGCGGTCCACATTTACCCGCCGCTTCCTCCACATCCGAAAGCGCGTCCGCGCGCGCGTGTGCGTGTGGCGGGTGCGCGTGCGCGTGAAGTGTCGAAGGGGATGAAGAAGAGGAGCTGGACGGTTCTGGTTCAGAGGAGATGCTATGAAGTGGACTAGCAGGACCTCGTCGCTTCGATCAGCTCTCAGACATCGCAACTCCTCCACTCGTCCTCCCTCCTCCCCTCCTCCCCTCCTCTCTCCCTCCCCTCCTCTCTCCCTCCCCACCGGGCTGGGCATGCCCAGTGTCTGCCTCGTTCTTTATTACCAGCTGGTGGTAGAAAGTATATGTCCAAGTCTTGAGTACAAATTTTTGCTAGCGCAGTTTTGGTACAATCAGCATTATCTTATGAACAAAAAAGCACGACAATATTCATATGTCACTTTTTCAAACATTGAGAGAGAAATTCATGTCAATTCATGCAATAACTTTTCCAAGGATAATGTTTGGCAGTAACACAAAGTTTTTAAATAATGTTAAATCTAAATGTAAACGTTAAATGTAAATGTTAAATGTTATATCTAAATGTTAAATCTAAATGTTAAATCTAAATGTTAAATGTAGATCTACATTTTAAATGTAAATGTTAAATGTTCACTCCACATATCAGACTGAACATTAGAATACTTACGGTAATTCACGCAGCAGCAAGACAAGCTGTCAAGTCCGAAAGAATTAGCTCTTGTTATAGAGCAGGGGTGTCAAACACAACTGCGCAGGATTTTAGAACGTGCAACATTTTACAAACGGCGCCCCATATAAATGTGCATTATAGTATTTCCGTTCAATGGTACTTTAAAATTTAACTTATATTTTTGCTCAATAACTATTTCTTGTGATATTGTAATTACATTGTGTTGCAAATACTTGAGTACCCTACTTTTATACTAAAGTAAATCATAGCATCCATGGGATATCATGTTCCCACATCGCCTGAGTCCTCACGCCGAATTGGCTCACTGGAGAACTTTCTGTTGGTTGGAATCTGCAACCTCACCACCATGTGGCACCAGATCCTATAATTTATTACAAGAATAATTATTATAGTATTTTACTTGTGCTTGTAATATTTATTTGTAATAGCCTGTATGGAAACAAAGTGAATCATTCAAATGTTGTACGGTAAGGTAGAAAAACGGTAATGTTTGTGTTTTGTTATATTTTGCATCATTGGAAATACTCATAAATAAATAAAGATTGTTTCACCATTAACTGTAATCATTTTGTGTGTAAAAATAGTACAAAACAGTGTCACAATTAGCCAAAATGACACCTTGACAAAGTCTGTTTAATTTTAACATTTGTTATTGTTTGCAATAAAAATGACAAACCAGATATCCAAAAAGTTGTCAGCTTTTGTTTCATCTTTTACAATTTTATGCTTTTAGTGAAATCTGACAATGTAAATGCCTTAAAGCTGTCAAACAAGTAAAAAGTAGACTACAATATTTCCCTTCCAGATAGGAGAGAGTTGTACCTATAGATAAATGAAGTACAACAACCTCAAGTTTGTATTGAAGTTAGAAAAAGCAGAAAGTGTAGAATAGAATAACTGCAAATGAACTTGGATTTTTTGTTTTTGTGACAAAGTTGCATCACATTCACTTCCATACACTTGTAAAGCCCAACTGATATTTAGCTTAAAACTGATGATTTTCTCTGACGTTATTCTGCCTGCACATTAACCAAATCCGCTCAGGTTTCCGTGGTGATGATGAGTGGGGATTTCCTCAGGGAAATAAACCCTTCCTTGTGTGATTACAGTAATGCAGAAACACCCTCAGACTCGCACTCGCTCACGTTGTCCTCTGGGGCGTGCTGCTGTTGTTTATGTGGTGTAATGAGCTCATCTTCATATCAGGATTTTAATGAATACGGGAAGCAATGCTCTGCAAAGACAAAATGAAGCAGTATTTATATAGGTCAAGTTAAAAAATATATAATCTTTTGGACCCCTTTAGACATCTTTAGGATGATAATACTACTAGGCCAGAAACTACTTTTTTAATTGAAAAAACATTTCAGATATACAAGAACAAGAAAAATAGTCAACTAAAACCAAGCTAATCTAGGCTAGCTGGTGAGTTAGTGTTAGCCAAAGCTAATTCACCCACTTTCTTTTTGTGTTTTTTGCATTGTATAACCTATTATTAATGCCTCAGCATCAGGTTTTTCACAGCGCATATTTGAGAAACTATAGAGGGTAAACGGATGGAGAAGGACATAACAAAACAGCAATTAAGATATATGATAATATATTATACATACATTTGTTTAAATGAGCATAATGCATAATGAATACTTCTACTTTTGTCACTAAGTATACTTTGACACCAACGTTGTGTACTTTCAGTTCCAACATGGTATTTCTACTTTTGCTGTATTGCTGCTTTTTTCTTAAGCAAACATACTTTTTCCACCTCGTTTTATAAAAAGTGAAGACATGGTCAATAAATAAAGTTCACAGCCCCACTAATGCTCCTGCTCTTCTAATCTGTCAACCTTGTTTCCGGTTTGCAGCATCAGTGCCAATTCACAAGGCGGGCTGAATTGGATGGATTACAGCAGTTATAATTCCTGCTATAATCCCTGTGGATGAGTACTGCTGTGAAGTGGTTATTTAAAGATATGGTCCAGTAGCTTTGTGCAGCGGGCATCTCGCATAACCGGCAGGAGTCAGGAGTTATATGACTTCACCTTTGTTCAACTCTGTTGATCATGACCAAGTAGACCCAGGTACAAACTCATGGTTGTCATGCAATAACCAAGAGAGGAAACAAAATCACTTCAAAGGGACACCAAATACTCACAAATGTCCCAAATACAGTACATTAATTGACAAAGTGACTCAAAGTGGCCACAGAGAGATGCGTAACCATGGAGTCAAATCCAGGCCAAAAGTTTTGATAATTTTAAAAACAAATGTTGAGGATACTCTACACTCAACATTTGTTGTTGAGTGAGTGTTGACTCTATTCTATAATTCTTTTGAATACTTTTTTTTCAGAACTATATTTTTGGGTTGGAAGTTTCAATCCTTTATTTCACCCTCTGACTTTTGGCCCTAAACTGGCGCAGGGGGAGGAGCATCAACTGAGAGGGGCGTGTCATCATTTGTGACAGCTTATCAAAAATCTATACGTAACGGCACTGCAAAGATACACAAAAGTCTGAGTTGCTGCTTGCTGATGTCTCCCTCCTCACACGCACTATAATCTCAACGTGAAAACAGTGGCGCTCATGTTGTCATAGCAGCTAAAGAGGCAGAGACATTTATGAGCTGAGGATCACCTTGCGCTCCATAGATGCTCCATAGCGCTCCATAGATGCTGGGTTACTTGTTGTTCCTATGGTTTTAAAAAGTAGGCTGGGGGCCAGAGCCTTCAGTTATCAAGCTCCTCTTTTGTGGAACCAGGTTCCACTTTCAGTCCGGGGGGCAGATTCGGTCCGCTCTTTTAAAGTAAAACTTAAAACGTTCCTCTTTGATTCTGCCTATAGTTAGGGCTGGCTCAGGTTAGTCCGGACCAGCCCCTAGTTAAGCTGCTATAGGCTTAGAATGCCGGGGGACTTCTTAGGACACACCGAGCTCCTCTCTCACGCTCTCTTTCTACCATAATTCAAGTTTTATTAATGCACATGACTAATTCAGCTTCTTTCCGGGAGTTTTTTTTTTTTGTGCTTTCGCCCCTACCAGGTCTCCATAGATCGTGGTTCCTTCGGGACCCTGGTCCTGACACCTACCGTGGCCATGCTGACGCCTGCTGCTGCCATCATCATCATCATCATCATCATTATTTTAGATATTGATCATATTACTTTACTCATAAACCGCCATTACCCTCTCCTAAAATCTCTGTGCTCTCCCTCCCCACAGGATTCTGTGGATGGTGGTTCTATCTGATGGTGGTTGCCTCTGCAGTGGTCCTGCTGTGCGCCTGGCTTACTACTCACAATTACTTGAATCATTTCTGTCATAGGAATTGCATGTATTATACATTGTTCATTCTGTACACATGGCATCCATTGTAGTCTGTCCATCCCGGGAGTGGGATCCCTCCTCTGACGTTCTCCCTAAGGTTTCTTCCCTTTTTTTTCCCTCTTGTAAGGGTTTTTTTTCATTTTTTGGGGAGTTTTTCCTGTGCCGATGGTGGGTTTCGGGGCAGAGGATGTCGTATGTGTACAGACTGTAAAGCCCTCTGAGGCAAATTTGTAATTTGCGATTCTGGGCTATACAAAATAAAATGACTTGACTTGACTTGACTTGTGGCGCCAAAGCTGCAGTCTTTAATTGTCAAAGTTCATGTAAAAATTTGCTGGGGTTTGTAAGGTACTTGTACATTAAGTTTCTAGTCCTCCAACATCCCAGTGGGAAATATTTAGTATTGACTGCAACGCAATTGCAACCAGGAGACATTATTACTTTTTAAAAGATTACATTTAGGAATCAGGAAACATTTATTGCCATAATATGTCAGACATACAAGGAATTTGACTTGGCGGTTGATGCAGACAGTACGACAATGGACAACGAGACAACAAGAAAAGTTAAAGTTAAAAATATTGAAAAATAAAAAAATAAAGTGCACCAGCGAACAAAAAGTGACAAATGAAAGTGACAAGTGAAAGTGACGTGTGCAGTGTGAAAGAGTGTGACCGGTGGAATGACAGAGTCAGTCAGTGAGAATGCCCGACTGCCGACGGGAAGAAACTGAAGAAACGGCAGGAGGTCTTAGTCCTGATGGACCTCAGCCTCCTGCTAGATGGAAGGGGCACAAACAGTTTATGTCCGGGGTGGGAGGGGTCGGCCGCGATGTTTTTAGCTCGCTTCAGACACCTGGACGCGAACAAGTCCTGCAGGGACGGCAGATTGCAGCCGATCACCCTCTCTGCAGAGCGGATGACACGCTGCAGCCTGCCATTGTCCTGGCTGTGGCTGCAGAAGTGGAAGTAGAAGTGGATCATCATCGTCAGACAGAAAGTCTGTGATCCACTTGTAGGTGGAGTCGGGCACGTGCAGCTGGGAGAGTTTGTCCTGCAGCAGAGACGGGATGATGGTGTTGAAGGCAGAGCTGAAGTCCAAAAACAGGATCCTGCCGTAGGTTCCTGGGGAGTCCAGATGCTGGAGGATGTAGTGGAGGGCGATGTTTACAGCATCGTCCACAGACCTGTTGGCTCTGTAGGCGAACTGCAGGGGGTCCAGGAGGGGATCAGTGAGGGTCATCAGGTGGGACAGGTCTAGCCGTTCAAAAGACTTCATGACTACAGAGGTCAGGGCGACGGGCCTGTAGTCATTGAGTCCTGTGATCCTGGGCTTCTTGGGAACAGGGATGATGGTGGAGGCCTTGAAGCAGGCTGGTACGTGGCAGGTCTCCAGGGAGGTGTTGAAGATGTCAGTGAACACCGGAGACAGCTGGTCAGCACAATGCTTCAGGGTGCGGGGAGAGACGGAGTCCGGGCCCGCTGCCTTACGGGGGTTTAGTCAACAACAAAAAACGAAGCGCACCGAAGCACCGTGGCAGCCATTGTCGCGCCATCTTGGTAAGATTGTACATACAAAATATATTTTAAAAAGGTTTTATATAGGTTGGTATTTAATAACACTAATAATAATAATGACAATAATAATAACCCCCGCGAGCGACCCTGTGTGTAGGATAAGCGCTTTGACAATTAATAAATATTAATACTTAATATTAATATAGTACTTTGTTGCTAACTTTCATATTCAAATGTTTACTGTCATCTCAATTTGGCTGACTTTCTCTGTGATTGGAGGAGAAGCCAATTATAATACAAAGATATGATTACTATTACGATTAATTCTTCTGGTTCAGTACTACTACTCTTAAGCACCAGAAACCCTTTTGAAGGGGGCCAACGCCGTTGGAAACCCAATAATTCTGCCCCAGAACATCTCATAAGGGACACGCATCAAGCACAAATATGTTTATTCTGACTGGTATGTTTTTTAGGAAACATCTGTTGAATTGAAAGTCATGAATCTCACACCTGAGATCAGGTGATAAAGCAGCGACGGCCTTGAGGGCAATATTTTGCTAGTTGAGCAGATTCTGGTGAAATTGCAACACATCACGCACCAAAACCGTCTGGCAATTGACTCGTCAACCTTTAATCTGCTAATAACCCATTTGTGATTCTGCTCAGAGAGATGTGTGTGCAACAGCACATTGCGCCACCACTTACCTAGTCGCTGCAGATGAAAGTGACTCGCTGCCCTTTGCCACAGAACCATGAGCGGATTCAGTTTAAGCAAACACAGATAGCGCTATTGAACATGTTGGCATAGATAAAAACCTTTCATTTATAAAGAAATAAATGAAGGATTAATTCAAGATCTAACTGCGAGTTATTTACCTTTGTTAAAACTCTAATCTCTAATCTAAAGATTATTTTACGGTTAAATAAAATGTGCATAACAATTCACCAAAGTTAGGTGACATCTTTAAATGCTTTGTATTGTTCGAACAAAGTCCAAAGAAGGCAATCCGATATTCACATTTTGACAAAGAATAACGACACGTGGTTTGGGGCATTTTCTAATTCTACTAAATAGCTTTTTAACTTGCTAATAATGATGTACTCAGATCTAGATTCGGGAAATGCTCTTAGAAATGTAAAATTTGAAGTAAAATACATAGTAATATCGGAGTCAAAAGGAGTTATAAAGAAGGATTTCAAAATACTATATATTTACATTATTGGAATATAATTATTTATCCATCAATGTGTTCGTCACTTCAACGCTGTATTTGGGGAAAATGCACACTTTATTTATATATGTATTAGTTGATTATATTCTATATCTATAAATCTATGCTATATAAGTAGTAATGTAATGTAATGTAATGTAATAAGAGTAGCTAAAGCTATGAAAGAAATGTAGTGGAGTAAAAAGTATAAGCGGTAAAGTAACATAAGAAAACCCCAAACAGATCAGTTATTTGTATTGAACAATAATCAATTGATGTTAATTATTAAATCATATGAGTCCAGAGTTTGTCTGGTGTGATGAAAATGACCTGAGGGGACCCACTGGTGATGAAACGTCACAGCTAAGCCCCGCCCCCTCCGCTCCATCCCTTCACGCGCGTTTGGTCAAACAGTACAGTGTCAACGAGAAAAACCGGAAACCGATGATTCAAACCTCACAATTAAGGTTCTACCTGCTAACCAATTATTGGTTCCATTAATGTATCAATTGCTCGTAATGTATTAGTCTTTTAATCCATAAAATGTCTGAACTATAAAGTAGCAGTTCAACACATCCCAAAAGTAGGTCTTCAAATAGCTTGTTGTGACTCTAACGCCACCCCCCACCAACATTGAATAAACAAGCAGCTGAAGTAATTAGCATTTGTATCATATACATTTACTATTTCCAAAATACTTTCCAATTATGCATTAACTAATTATTCTGCACGATTAGTGCTGTATTTCAAGCTATATCTTTGTATGGTACCTAAAATATGAAAATATAACAATAAACAACAAACGGTCTGTGATCTGATAGCTTTTCATCAGGGATGAAAAACACATTCAACTTCACAAAGTAAATATATCAAATCATCAGTACACTTCAGTATTTAGTGTTTACATATTAAAGACTAAATATGTAAATATGCAAAAAAAAATAGCGGTAAACGGAAACGTTTGCTGCGTCATAGTTTTTATTCTGAAAGTCCAAACCGGAAAAGCATTTTTTTCTTTGCTAGCTAGCTTGATGGTGGTGAGGAGAGTGAGAGGCGGTGGGGAAGTGCGTCTGATGGTACCGCATCCTCCCGTCGTCCCGGACTCCGACCGGCGAGCAGCCAGATTATATCAGCTGGAAGAGATCACGGAAGCAGCAGTCGGGCTGTATCCCCCCCCTCCCCGCCAGAAGGCCGGCTCGCTGCGCTCAATTTAGCGGTAGAAAAGCGGACAAGACGAGAAAAAGAAAATGAACGCGACGGAGCTCACGTCCCCGCCATCGGAGTACGACTTCGAACGGCATTTCGACGAACGAAGAGCCCTGGAATGGATGCAGGAGAACTGGTATGTAACACAAAAGAAGACTAGCTTACAGAAAGACAAAAAGCCCTGACGGCTTCCCGCGGTCACCTCCTCTAACGCGCTTCTCTTTCTTACGTGAAAGTGTCGCATCCTGATTGCTGAAACACGCGATAAAGAGCCGAAGCTAGCTTCATAAACCGGGGGAGCAGGGGGGGTTACCCGCTTTAATTCAAACGTCCTTGAGGATGGATAATCTTTGCTCCCATAGGTCAGACTTTAGTCTTGATTCCATTGCATTGACAACCCTTTGCGTATATGCAGATGAGGCTGATGTGTGCTGTGCATGCAGCTCAAAACGTGTTGTCATCTCAAATACACACAAAGAAAAACGTGTAGCTTTGTGTGCACAAAGGCCTTCGCTGCGCTATTAAACATGTCGGTGAGCAGGAAGTGATCACCCAGCAATAGGGACACCGAGTCGGTCTGCATCACCCCCCCCCCCCCCCCTCCCCCTCTCCTCCATATCTTCCTTCTCTTATTCCATTCCTTCCTATTTTTCCTCTTTCTCTTCATCCTCCTCCTCTGGACCTCCTCACGGCTACAAGAAGCAAGAGGGTTTTTGTGCTTCAGCATTTCCTTCTGCTGAGTCCTCAAGCAGGTGTTCTTCTCTAAGGGGGTGAGTCACACCTCCAGGCTGCAGCTTCGTGGATCAATTAAACATTTGTTACTGTTCGTAATATATATATATATATATATATATATATATATATATATATATATAAAGTGACCCATGTCTAAAGTAGAGTAACTTATTATGATGCTCCTTGTGTGTGTGGAGCTTATACCTGTTGGCTTCTTCCCCTCCGATGTGAGGAATCAAAGCTTTTCTCTGTCATGTGTGACACGGCCTCCGCGTGACAAACCTGCAACATATATCATACATAAATGCCCCCAATAATGCCACCTGTCACCTAAGCACACAAACCCTCTCTGTCGCTCTGACACCTGTTACGTAACCACGGCGACGTGACTATCAATTGAACCAAGGCGACCGTGGTGTCATTTGCACAAAATACTACATAACTGTATATAGTGCACATTTCTGCAGTGAGCTTATATAACTATAAGCTTCAAATGGTTCAGCCAGAAGTGACGTCTTGTCTTCTAACTGCTTTTCTGTTGTTGTTTTATTCTGTTGAATATCCAAAAGTATTCAGGAGTATTTCATCTCCCAATTGTTTTTTTATTGAAAACAAAATATTGTAACAGGTTTTAGAGTCAGACGAAAACATGTTCATGAACATTGATAATCGACAGATCAGTTTTCGCCCCTGTATTCATCATCAGTAGCCCCCCTCCCCCATGTAGCATTAACTGGGTCAAGCAGCATCTACTCGGCCTAATATGCGTTATCTGGATTAGTCGTCTGGTTTAATTCGCAAACAACCACATACACACACATGAGTACGTAATGCATATTATGATGATAATAAATCAGGTGTGGCTGTTTTATTATCAGTTTCTTCCCCGTTCAGCCTCCTGGGCTCCGCAGTCGGCCTCTGTTGATTAAAACAATAAGGATCTGCTGATGAGCCGGGCGGCGCTCAAATTGCTCATTGCGCAATTGCTCATTGCGTGAGTGATTGCGCAATCGCTCATCACTCACCGTGTAAACGTCAGTGTGTCAACAATTCATTTCCGTTAATCCTGCGCTGGGGTTCAACGAGGAGGAAGGACGGCGTGCTGTTGTGTGTCTCGTTGTGTTGAAAACAGTTTAATTCCAGTTGAATGCAGTCTTATACTGGTTTAAGACACTAGTGTCGGTATTACTTTTTACTTGACTTACTCTTGTTGCTATTGTTTTACATTTTGCAATTGTGTATTATTTATTGTAAACTTTGTTATTGTGCTGTTCTAATGCTGTGTGCTTCTGTTGACAGGAGCAAAGCCTTCATGTTCTGCGGCCTGTACGCTGCGCTGGTGTTCGGCGGTCAGCACTTCATGAGGGAAAGGCCCAAGCTGAACCTGAGACGCCCTCTGATGCTGTGGTCACTCAGCCTCGCCGTCTTCAGGTGAGTCGCGGATGATCGACGGTTCCTCGGTGGATTGATAGTGGATTAAGTCGTTAACCGAGCAAAGAATACCGCAGGTTGTCAAGGAGAAATGGTGGATCTGCTCTGAATGATGGTCAGTGGCTTTTTATAGAATAGATGGTTAATTGAGACACATCGTCAACAGATTGTGCTCCCTCAATTGTCTTTGGGAATTGTATCTGTAATATTTCCTGGATCTAAGGGGTCTCTGACATCTCTGTCCCTCCATCAGTGGTTTTCAGTTTGTTGTTTAGGACACAGTAATGAGTGAAGTTCAATACTACACAAGGTGGAAATACAAGAGCAATTCTCAAAACCACAACACAAATCAGAAACAAAGGAAACAAAACAAAAAACAATCTGGCCCCTCGGTGTGAAACCTGTAAACTGGATGAAATTAGATAACCATCAGTTTTACCTGCAGGAGAAACCAGTTAGATGACACGGCTCACCACACACATACCTTAAAGAGGTATGTTAACAATATTTAATTAGATACAATAAGACACCTACATTTCCATTTGGAGTCTTTTTAGACATAAACACGTGTTTTCTAAAACAATATAATAACACAAAGATTAGATTTTCTTTTCCAGTGTTGGAGGACGATTGGAGAGATGACAATCTAAAGATAATATTTGCTTGTACAGCTTCTGGCAGTGGCTCCCAAACTGGTTCTGTCAGTGCTCCTTTGAGCATATACGGACGTGATGATGGTGATAATGGTTGCGTTAGGGTTGGTGACGAAGCCGCGACCCCCCAAATTGGGAACCGCTCCTACAAGAGATTGGGTCACTTTGGAGGATGAGCGGGCGGGTCTTGGAGTCGGGGGGGTTTAAGATCTCGGCCCATCTACATTACAGGTCATTTAGCAGACGCTTTTATCCAAAGCGACTTACATTACACTTTCAACCCATGGCCTTTTCACATTTTTGCCTGGGGAGCAATTAGGGGTTAGGTGTCTTGCTCAGGGACACTTCGACATGGAACATGGGGCAGCCTGGAATCGAACCACCAACCTTGTGCTTCCCAGCACACTTTCTCTAACCCCTGCGCCACGACGACCCCGAACACTAGACCTGAATCTAGACCTAGATCTAGACCTGAACGTAGAAGTATTCAGAGTCGCAGATACAGATCGCTGGTCAATATAGGGTCATCCAGCTGATAATCCCTCATTCAGAGGGATTTGGGGGAGCAGAGAGGTTAACCGTGTGCTGACATGTCCTCTCTCTGCAGTATCATCGGAGCTCTGAGGACCGGGTCCTATATGCTGCACATCCTCACGGCCAGCGGCTTCAGACAGTCTGTGTGCGACAACAGTTTCTATAGCGCCCCCGTCAGCAAGTTCTGGGCCTACGCCTTCGTACTTAGCAAGGCCCCCGAGCTGGGTAAGGCTTCTCCTCCAACCCTTTTAGAAGACTCTTTATGCAGTTGGTGTGTGTGTGTTCACTTGACATTAAAGCACGGCTGCTTTAGTTTCTGCTCTTTTCTGATCCTAAAGCAATGAGCTTCGTCGTGACGGCGGCCTCTTTTCCCTCACGCAGGTGACACGGTGTTCATCATCCTCCGGAAGCAGCGCCTCATCTTTCTGCACTGGTACCACCACATCACCGTGCTGCTCTACTCCTGGTACTCCTACAAGGACCAGGTGGGCGGGGCGGCGGCTGGGTTCCATGACCATGAACTACTTTGGTCCCACTCGCTCATGTACACGTACTACGCGGCGCGAGCGGCCGGCCTGCGGGTGCCCCCGCCCCTGCGCCATGATCATCACGGCCACCCAGATCCTGCAGATGGCCATGGGCCTGGCCGTGCTGGGCCTTGTGTACCGCTGGATGCACGAGACGCACTGCCCGTCCAACATGGACAACATCGCGTGGGGCTCCGTCATGTACCTCAGCTACTTGGTCCTCTTCGCTTTGTTCTTCTACCGGTCCTACCTCGGGGGCTCCTCCGGGGACAAAGGGTCCAAGGCAGAGTAGCTGGCGTTTGTCGAAGCGCGCCACACGTAGAGGAGGACCAGCGGCTAACCGCTGGTGTTCACTCGACTTCTCTTTTAGGCGCCTGTAGCTCGACGCGGTGACGCAGTAATGGATTTGGAGCGAGAGGTTCGGACGGAGCGCGGCGCGTTGCATATCCATTTAAAGGCACAGTGTGTAGTAAATTTAAAACAAGTTTATAGCCGAAATAGAATAAAATACACACGGATATGTTTTCATTGATGTAGAATAAATTGAAAGTAAGAATTGTTTGTTAGCTCACAATGACCTTCAGAGGGTTTGCTACTCTGGAGAACCCCACGTTATTCTGACCACGATGACAATGATTTACAGTAAAGTCTTTTAAGGATATTCTATATAAACCACCAGATGCCACCAAACGTACATACTGTGCCTTTAAGAAAGGGAAACGAGGAATAACACGTTGGTTGATTAATGCCGTCCTGAATTCATTTATATTACCGCCTCGGTGACCTTGGCCAGTAAAAACGTCTAAAGGGAAAAAAACAACTGGCGAATCTGAACTGAACTATTTGACAACAACAGGCTAGTTAACGTTAGCGCTTGGCAGCCGGTAGCATCAGACGTTACTGAAGGACACATGGAGCAACATTACCATGTGTTTTATTGGGATTAACTCGAGGCTTTATCTATAATAATTACAGACAAAGTAAAGGATGTGGGATTTATTGCTTGGTTTTCTCAGAGGTATCAAGACCCTGGAACCTTATTTTGGCATCGACCAATGAAGTTCTGATACAGTAGTACGGGACAGAGACGATGGACCCGGAGGTCTTCAGGAAGTCAAACATTGTCTTTTCAATATTTCTGTCTAAGTCCGAATGAAACACACTAAGTTAATTAGCGAGCGACAGCTGCTCGTTCCACCTGCTTCCATGCTTTACGCTAAGCTAAGCTAAGCTAACCACGTCTCAACTTGAACTATTCTACTCTTAAAATAATAGTTACTAGCACAAGTGCGACCTTCATGATAGTGAGTTTATGATTAACAAAAGGGAACAAAGACACAACACACTGAATGAAAGAAGGGTTTTGCCTAATAATTAGTTTTACGGACATCACACGCAGCGTTTCAAATGTGCAGGTGGAAAACGCGCTTTTTTCCGCTTCTTTCCGCTTCTTTCTGCTTCTTTCATTCATCCCGATTGTCGTGGCAGGAAGCCGCCGCACACAATTGCAGAAAGGGGAACCGCGACTATCGATAAAGATCTGAACACATTCCTCGCAGAGGCGCGTCGTGTTAGCGCGTTGTGTTAGCGCTCACAGCCGAGGGGCTATTTGAAGAACAACGTGAGTTTGTGAACCCGGATTTGTTTTATGGACCTCACTTCCCACTCGAACCCCACGTGGCCCCTTATTGTAGGGCTAATACATAAAGTACATCTCCACGTGGTGTCTCTCTGTAGTACCAGTACATTAAGTACCTCCCATGTGGCGTCTCTTTGTGGTAGTAGTACATTAAGTACCTGTGTTTGCTGTGGACTTTAGACCCGTGGTGTGGCTTCACTCATTATTCTCCACACTCTTTGTGCAGGACTGATATCTAATGACCAAACGTACCTGTACAACCGTCGCCTGCAGTAATGTTCCTGTTCTTGTCAACCATCAGAGTAGTACAGGACTGGTACAAAGTACTTCATTGTTTAGGTTGAGCGCTTTAGAGGAATACACAAAATGAATTGTCTGACAGTTTACTGACCTGGTGTTTCCCCGAACTCTTCAAGAGTTCAAAGCACAACGGGCCCAGTGATACATGAAAGTTGTCTTGAGGGTAAAGTTTTCACTTATTCTAAATAAGACTTTAAGATAAAAGAAGAAACAGGCAAATACAAATCATTTATTGAAAATGGAATTGACACAAATTTTCCTTTCTCTACTTGTTAGTCTCCTTGTGCCCAAATCCAGATTATTTGATCCTTACTGAGCTGTAATTTAAACTGTTCTCTAAAGACAAAAAAGCGTGCGCTGGAGAACCGTAACACATCTGGGCTGCTGTGATCAACGAGCCGACGCGTCCGTCTGTAAATAGCTCTAGAATCTATTTATTTTCTATATATATCCCTTCACTCGGATTTACCTCCCTGTCTGATGTCTGTAGACGTTTTCCCACATCCGCTGAAGACGAGCATCACTTTTCGTGGCCGCGCCGTCTCTCCCAGAGGCGTAAAGGATCAGTCGCTCCCTGTTTGGAAGCAGCGTGTTTAACCAGCAGCCCGTGTACCGCGTGAAGGCGATCGTTCTGCCGTCAAGTTGAGCTTCTTTACCGGCGGAGGAGCGGACGTTTACGCGCTTTTTATTCCCGCTGGGACCTCAGCGCATGACCTCGGCTCTGCGGGATTGGTCCTGCACAAATGAAACATCTGCACAGATTGAAACGGGCAGACGTTTTTTTCATTAAGGTTCCCTGACATCACAGAAACACACCTTTTGTGTGTGTGTGTGTGTGTGTCTAAGGGCTGACACCACAGATGTGGCTGTCAATCATCTCCCCAGCGACATGATGGTCTTCAGTGCTTCTTTTTCCTCTTAACACCTGAAGCTGTTGGATCCGGTGGAAACGGGGCCGAGGGAAGTGAGGTTTTTTGTAACGTCGGCGATGATTCCTGCTCAGAACTTTTTAACTTGAAATGATGTTGTGCTTCATGTGCGTGTGCCAAACCATGCTGCTGTTATTTGGATGTGGTGAGTCGGTTTGCGTAAACTGCTCTCAGATTAGGCTGCAAACGAAGGAAAAAATAACAGTTCAAGGGCTTTGATTGTTGAAATGTTGTTTCAATAAATACGTCACAATAATGGTTTTACACTGTCTCCTTTCTTTGTTCCAGACGGGAGGTCTTCTTTGTGACCGTGTTTCAGAAAACACATTCAATAAAAGCTTAAATGCTGCAGTAAAAAGAGAGGTTTTCTAAAGGGACCCTGGTGGTAGAGATACGATCACTTTAGTCCACAAGGAGGCGCTAGAATCCCCTCCAAATCAAACCACTGGACCGTTTGCAAAGGTTTAAATACATTTTCAGCTTCATCAGATAAACAAAATAAAAATGACATAATGTCCTTTTTTGTATTACAGTAGACATTGACATATTATAGTCGGTATTGTACCTCACTTGAGTATTCCCAGATGGAAATATTGTACTTTTTACTACACTTTATTTATATGACACATGGTACTGCTACTTGTACGTTTATTTAAAACAAACTCATTCAATTCAATGTTAAATATTTGACCTGTGACTCCTGACCTTTTCCCCGATGTCTTCTTTAAACTTTCCAGAGTCACTCAATTATATCTGTTGAATAAATAAAACAAAGATAAGATCTTTGTCATCATTTTGCTATCTTGGAAGAACCTTCTGAGGGAGAAAGAGACAAACGGATTAACGTAGTGATGTATAAACCCACGTTTAGTCATGAGAACATGTGCATTTCACGCCTCTCTAAGGCCTCCGTGGGACTGGGAGGAGTCTGAAGCCACTGGTCCCAGCTGTTCCCTCAACGTGGGACCACAACAACCGGGCTGCAGACGGAGGACAGTCTCAGTGCTTGTCCGTGCACGTGTGTGTGAGCGTGTGATGAATGAGTACAAGGCCCCGGATGAAGGGATGAACCCGCTGGACGCGACTTCTCCTCCAGTCTGGAGGAGCTGAGATGAGGAGGAGAGCCTGAAGCCTGGAGGACCCACCGGAGGTGCTCGAGAGGGGAAACGGGGGCGCGTACCTGTGCAGGTGAACCAAAGGTAAGACAAGACAAAGGTAACGCGACTTTAGCTGTTATCTTTGAGTTAAATTTTAAGTTATTCAGGAAAAGCATTGCTGTCATAATCAGTTAAATGCTACATTATGTGTGTGTGTGCATTTGCTATGAATATCGGTGTGTAAATAAATACAAATATAAAGGACACACATACATCGGGAGGAACAGTCTTTTTCATCAGTGCAGTAGAGGCAACAATATGGTTTTATGATGATTAATTTGCTGCTTGTTGCCAAATATTATTCATAAGAAACACAGACATGTAGCGTGGACTCCTGCCGGCGTAAACCGTTCACGTACCCACAATGCATCAGCGTGGAAGGGATCCACGGTGGAAGTGATGAATCAGCTGATCAGCTGAGACGGGGTTTCTGGCCTCGGAGGCCGTGCAGGTGTGTGATGCTGCTTGTTGTCCCGCTCCAGGTGGCCGCCATGTCCCTGTGGATGATCCTCCCCATCAGCCTGCCCGTCTTAACCATCGCCGGCATCTGGGTCGTGTGAGTACCTGACGCCCCCCCCCCCCCCCCAGCTGTCCACACACTAGCAGAGAGGCTGTGCAAAGTTCCTCCATGTAAAACAGGCTCCGTGTTTTTTTTTAAGGGAAGGCTGTTTATACTACGACCTCGTCCTGAGATTCCTCTCTCCTCCCGTCTGCTCCGCTTGTCCCTGCATCTGTTTGCATGTTCCACAGTAAGATTATTTAACCTGAAAACTAAGATGGGATACAACGTCTAAATCTACTTACACCCAGAGTGGGATTCGTTCCTGTTCACATGGAGCCAGAGGCAGCAGACGTTAGCTTAGCATGAAGACTTGAAACGGGGGGGAAAAGCTTTGCTTTAGATGTAAGATGTCACTTTTTAACATATAAATCAATGTCCTCCACCTCAGTTCATCTCGGTTCAATTCCTGTGAGCCGGCCTGGTTATCTGCGATTGATGGAGGTCACATGTCAGCTGTTTAGGGTCACGCTGAGCATCTTGTTTTGTTGCTTTGTCTGCGAACCTTTTGATTGGTTCAATGATTCAGTCGGTGTTATCTTTACTCTTGATGCAGTTGAGCCTCAGATGAGATTGTTGGCATGTGACCGCAGTGAAAAGATGAATCAAATAAACCACAGCTAGCGACCGGCGGACTGAAGGTTCTCAAAACTCAGTCAGTGTTGCTTGTGTTCACCATGTAGCATGTTGCTAAGCACAAAGTGAAGCCTCACGACGTCAAAGCTCCACCAGAGTTTCTTCAGAAATCATCTTGATAAGCGGTTTGACGATGGATGGATCTTATTTATTCCTTGCTTAACCGACAGACACATCTTAGAAGTGCAGCTGTTAATATAGTATATAGTACTAATACTTCTCTCCTTTAACTTTACAGATACGCGATGGCCTTATACAACCAGCATGTCTGCCCTGTGCATAACTGGTACAGCCCCCCCCCTCTTCACTCACACACACACACACACACACACACACACACACACACAAACACACACACGTCTTTGAATGAGACTTTGCAAACGCCCGAACCAGGGAGGTTAGTTTTTCTTTATCCTCAGAAAAAGTTGTTGAGAGAGAAAGACGTGTCTTCTGGATCCAATCAAGAGTCAGAGTGGACGGAGGGGGAATCATGGAGGAGTTTTTTTGCTGTAAAAAAAAATAATTACTGGCAAATTGTGAAAAATGGACAGTGTGGAAGGGGAACACTGCTTTTTTGCAGCATTGATCCATAATAAAAGCAACGTGATCTCCAAAACCTGTTCGTAGAAATGTATACGAAAATCTTGCACATACAAATTCGTAACAATACATACGAACTGTACATAGACATAAACATAAACAATACATAGAACATAGTTAACCACGCCCCTTGAGTGAACAACATGGCGGACCATGGCGGATTCTTGAGTGAACGTTTTTTGAGGGGGTTAGGGTTAGTATTCTATTCTTACAAGTTAACATTGATTTCTCGTTAAAAATGCAACCATAACGCGTTTATTTTACATCGTTAGACTTCACAAAGTGTGTTTACGGGATGCAGGTCCCCGTTCACTTTGAATAGGATGACGTCATCAGTTGCAGTCTGTATTTATTTCGTATGTATCACTACGAATTTGTATGTTCAAGATTTTCGTATACATTTTTACGAACAGGTTTCGGAGATCAGGCTGGATAAAAGGTACTTATTTTTTTCCTCCACCTACATCAGCTTTGGGCCCTCACTTCCTGTCCCATCTGTCTCAATTCAAACATAGTGGGGGGGGGGGGATGCAAATGGGGAGGTGGAGGAGATAAAGAGCCTTCCCATGTTGACGTGAGGGGGAAGCGAGGTCCAGTAAGCCGAAGCATCAGAATGCAAACAGGCTGGAGGAAGGAGGAGGAAACTGGTCTCTTTAAACAAACAAATGTTCCCAGCTGGTACAGAAAAACACATAAGTACACCAAAGTACACCTATAACAGTTCTGTTGGGTCCTTTCACCCACAAGTCTGTGGGAATAATTCATGCAGAAAGTCACCGTATATAAAAGACTATGCCCACAAATGTATGATAATACAAATCCCACTATTTTCAACTGCTGTTGTCTTTAGTGGTGAAAATACAATTATATCATATGCATAATGAATACTATCACTTGGTATTTCAGGTATATTTTGTTACTGATATTTTTGTATTTAAGGAACATTTTGAATGTTGGACTTTAACCCTAAGACCGTATTTCTACACTCTGGTACTCATGCCTTTAATGAGTAAAAACACATTGTCTACCATTGAGGAAGGAATTTGTGGCATTCAGATAAAAACACAAACTTCAAATAAATAAAAGCACTGTCACAGGGATCATAATAAAACATACAGTTGGAGGGATTATGTTGTCTTTCAAATGGAAATGTCTTTCTTCATTAAACCACTATAATACGTAAAGTCTTTGCACTCTATAAAGGATCAAGGGAAAAGCGCTGCTACGTCAGACTGTTGTGCAATCAGAAAACTCTGTGTGTTATTTAAGAGACCTTTAACCTAAATACATTTTGGGTTAATCTTCCACCGTTGTTTGCATATCAGAAGTCACAATGCTGCAGATGTGCTCAAATATTTACAGAGTTTTAATCCATTTACTCACTTTAGCTTCTCGACGCGTCATTGAGGCATGGATTGAATATCAATCAAGCTCACTGTGCCCCGAAGTGGCCTTAAGCCGTAAAATGTCCCTCACAGAGACACAAACGCGCCAAGAGGAGATTCACAATGTGCACAAAGAGATGCAAAAAGACTACAAAGAGAAATAAGGCAGCTAATAAGAGACAGAAAAATAGTGCAAGGACACGTAAAATAACAGCAAAGAGACAGAAAAAGACAAAAAAGAGTCAACAAATGACTAAGAGACCCAAAAACTACAACTAAACAGAGAAAAGCTGCACAGAGACAAAAAAAAGTGCAGAATAACTATAAATCTGAAGAGGCTGCGAGGCCTTTGCATGTCCGAAGCTTAATGTCTCCCAGTGCATACGAATCACTTCAAAAACTCCAGATGGGTCTGAGATGAATTTAAGTAAATTTAATATCTTACTCTTTTTATCTGCAGACTGAGTGTTATTCTTCACGTTATTCTGCATAAAATCAAACCGTCCCAAATGGTTCCCTGTGTTGTTGTACTCAGTTCAGCACTTCTTAGGCCTGTTATTTTCAGACCGTTCACCTGTAAACATTTGGGGTTAATGTTCTACCGTTGTTTGTGTCATAGTGTGTGTGTGTGTGTGTGTGTGTGTGTGTGTGTGTGTGTGTGTGTGTCCCTGTTCACAGGCTTTACAACGAGTCGTGCGAGGAGCCGCTCCCGCTGCAGAGGGGTGCAGTTCTGTGCTGCACGCCGGACAACATACCACTCATCAGGTCAGAGGTCAAACCCGGAGGCTTCCAGTCATTCTGCCTGTCAAACTCTTATTGTGAAACTCCTCTTATGTAACACTCATAGTTTGTCTATACGTCCTGCATGAGATTGCTGCACTCAAACGGAACCGAAGGCCTGACTGCAGGGTGCTCTGCTCCTGTACTTAAAGGAGCCGATTGGAGGATTTACTGACACTGTAAATGAATAAACCGACCCTCCCTAAAGGAAGGCCTCCTCCTCCTCTGCTTTCTGTGTCCACCGCAGCAAATGTGGAACCTTGCCCCCCGAAAGCTGCTTCTTCAGCCTCATATGCAGCACCGGCTCCTTCATGGGTGAGTCTCAACACATCCAGCACGCCGCTCTCTGCGCACTCACAACCTCAGACCTGTTTTCTCAGCTGTGACGCTCTGAGTCAAGACCCCCCCCCCTCACACACACAGGGAAAAATCCCCGTATGAATGGTGCATTTATATGACCCAAGAGGGAAAGAGGGCATCAGCTTCTCTGCTCTGTGCCAAAAACACTTATTTGGTGGGGATTTAGTCCGAGGGTTCAGCCCCCCCCCGATCCCACCACCCTCCCTCCCTCTGTATACTTTATTAAACTCGGAGAATTAACACTCCAGGAGTTTACCACGGTGAACTTTGGTCTACTGAGGATCTTCAATTGGAGGCGGACAGCGTGCGGTTGTGACACCAGGAGGTGGAGGCAAAGGGGAGGAGAGGCGGCATCGTGTAAATATGCAGATAATGCTTCACGCTATAAGACCTTCAGCTGTCAGTGGCGCTCTTCAGCAGTTTGTATGAAAATATATTAGATATTAGACCAGCGTTTTGTGCAACGTAATGGCTAATGACTCCATCTGCGTCGTGATTGGTTCACCGCACAAGCCTGGTTTTGTAATGCATCTCTGTCTGCTAGCGGGGAAGAGCTCCGGGGAAAAGGTGGGCTCCATTTACTGCACAGAGGAAGAGTGTTGAACAACTGAAAAAGAAAGAGGGGGGTGTTTGTGTTTTCTTTAGTAGGTTTCCCTGGTTACCAAAGTAGGTTCTTTACAGTTTACAGTACAATAACGGTTGGTTGAACAACCAGATGTAGTGGAGCGTGTATTGTGCAGAGGGCAACGTCTGGTCCTTCAAAACAGACCATAAAGTAGGGGCTGCTTTAGAGCAGGACGTCTTTGATTGACACGTCTTTGCCTGCTGCCTAAAAATGTCACATTCAACGTTTATTTATCTCAACCCTCTCGTGTCACTTCTGTTATCAAAAAATCAAGACGGAAACGGCCAAGATGCTGAATTTGGGGACATTGACCACGTCCACTTCTTATGCACAGATGTGTTCCTTCATATTTCCTCGTACGAGCCTTGGCTTCCAGTTCAGTTAGTCCCAAATCATTTCTTACCTTTTTCGTTTGAGCAGAAAAGGGCTGACGATGATGTATTCATTACAAAATCCAGTATGGCACACAGATGTGTTTGTTCAAACAGCACTTTGATGTGCGAGGAATGAGCTGGGTGGAGGATCACGGAGGCTCGTCTCAGCGCGCTGCATCGACACAAAGGCAGATAAACACTGAGAAACATCACAAAGAAGAGTTCAACATTTTACATCAATAGAGACAGACAATCATCTTTTTAAGAACAATCAATTCTCTTTGTCATTTATGTGTAATCTATAACAACTCTTCAGACCAGGTTTCTGTGTCTGTTGTTTATTTTCTGCCCCTCTTCATGACTTCACATAACCAAGCTTTGTTATCAAAGATAGAATGGAATATTACTTGATATGTGTTACGTTTCTTTCAATCAATCAGTGTCGGAGGGACGAATTATGCAGAAATCTATCCTCTTTTCCTTTCCTTGCAGAGTTAAACATGGCAGCATTAGCTTCAGCTGTACTTTCTAAATAACAATACATAGAAAATGTTAGCACGCCAACACTCTAGACTAGGATGGTGAACATTGGGAGCGTTTTGCAAAGGTAGCATTAGCATTTAGCTCCAAACAGCGGCACTTAGTTGCAAACGAGAGTGTAAACCGTTTGATTTGTTGCTTAAAATAGCCATTATCTAAATGAAATAACAGTTGTTGATTAATTTTCCCGCTTATCATTCAGCACTGAAGTACATCCAGGCGTGGGGCTCCCCCCTCTGTAAATGACCCCCCCATTAAAAGCATTTTTTTATTGTGCTCCCTTAGACAGTGAGTTTCTATCTGTGGGGCGGCGTGTTTAACTTGGAGGTGTTCACGGGAAACCCAGAACCATCCCAACCGGACTCTGCAGCGTGAGGAGCGCCAGATGTGCTGCTGCTGTGAAGCTTTGATGCAGCATTTCGATAAACAGACGTCACGAAGCGCAAACACACATCCTGACATCGTGGACTTACACTTTTTGATTGAAGTTCAAAGCAGACTTTACCATGTGTTCATTGGCATTATCTAGCCTTTCAATTACAAGAAAACATGATAAAATGTGATAGGGGTTGTTATCGAGATCAAAGATTTTGGCCATAAAGTCTTTGGACAAGGTGTCTGAAAACCTGTTTTTTTAGTTTTATTTGGGGGGAGCCTCAGTTCCTGGATGATGAGAATGTGTGGTCCTCCGTCTGTCCCATAGTGATGCTGATCGGGCTGCTGCGCTACGCTCACGTCATCGAGAGGCACCAGAACTGCATGCTGAACACGGCCGGCCTCTCCGCGGCGTGGATCTGTGCCGCCGGCCTCATCATGGTGGGAAACTTCCAGGTAATCTCAATCGGATCGCGACCTTTTCATCTAATCCACAGGTCCTGTTAAATTCTAGTGTCCGAACCAAGTTTTTAAAATAATTTTTTGTACACTCAGACTTTTGCTGCTTAGATAAGACTTCCCGTGATTCATCGCCACGGCAACTGGAAGCAGAGGGTCCGGCTGATAACTGCCGAGGTTGTAAATAGCCGCGTAGATGAGGACAGAGATTTATTGTGGAGAAGACGTGTGGGCGCAGGTCCGGGTCGTGATGCGGTGCAGGAGGTGTCAGCGCCTCGGGTGCTCAGCTGCTGCTCAGCATGTGATAAGCAGAGTGCTCACACCACTGCGTTCTGCACATCAGGAGGGACTGAGAGGATGTATTGACAGAGATGGAAATATCCAGCTGCATGCACATGGAACTACAGGACTTCATGTGTAACTTAACACTTAAGTAACAAATAGGAACAATAATAATAAGGCTTTTTTTGTAGTTAATGGGAAGAAAACCCCATCAGTAGCAAAAAATGTTTTGGTTTTTCTAATAGACCAGCTGACCCGTAGATGGTGTTGGAGGACAACTGAGCGATCATTAGAGTTAGTAGGATTTATCCTCTGGGGAACATGATTGTCTCAACAAAATATCATGGATGTCCAACTAGTAGTAGATGTATCACACACAAAAAAAACACAAACGGGAACCTCACAGGTGGCATGTGAGGAAAGGTTGAAAAGTAAATATAATGTAGGATTCATCCTCTGGGGAACATGAATGTCTGCACAATATTTATTAGAAATGTATTCAATAGTTGTCGAGAGATCTCACAAAATTAACCACAAATGTGACCCTGATGATGGATGTAGAAATAAGGGTATTTCTAGAATATGTTCAATTCATCCTCCGTGGGCCCTGAATGTCTGCACACAATTGAATGGATTTCCATCCAATAGTCATATAATCATATGGTCGTTTGGACTAAAATGCTGAGGCCAAAAAAGAAGAAAGTCAGAAAAGAAAGGTCAAAAAATAAATGCAAAAATCAAGTGGAGCTCAGCTAAGGAGGAAACAAGAGTAACTAGAGTTACAGAAACCATAGCAACCGATTGTGTGAAATAAAGCCCACTCGTATGAAAGAGCGTTTGTGTGGTTTGTTGGCACACAAGGTGATTCTGTGCCGTCCTCAGCAAGATGATGATGCTGCTCCCTGAGGTCAGACAGACCTAAAAGTGTTCTTGTTCATCTATCAGGTGGACATTGCCAAAGTCCTCCACTACGTCGGCGCCGGCGTGGCTTTCCCCTCCAGCATGCTGTTCGTCTGCCTCCAGTCGACTCTGACCTACAAGCTGGCCAAGACGCAGGAGGAGTACCGAGTGGGTCATCTACGCGGGGGGATGGCCCTGCTGGCTCTGGTAGCACTGGTGCTCAGTATCCTAACACATGGAGACAAATCCGCTTACGGGGTGAAAGCTAAAATATATATAATATTATTAATAATTATGATATAATTATGATGTATATGTATGAATTATTTTGATTGATAAGGACTAATGAGTCATTTTAACCTACTGCATCTCTCAATATCAATATAATTATAAATATAATGATCAATATAAGCAGCTCACATGTATATATAATATATTTAATTTATAAAAATAATAGAAAATATGTTTGTTGATGATCTAAATGGAGGAAATAATATACATTCTAACACACTTTTTCTAAATGTAATTTTACACATGAATTCAGTAAAATATTACAATTTTCTTTGAAACTTGTCATCACTGTAACTTGGTCCTGATTGTTCCTCAATCAGGAGTTGAGAGTAATTCAACCACCTCTACTTTATTTACTTCAGTGTATTGCAAACTTTAATAGTGTAACATAATTTAGAATTTTTATATTTCTATTGTTGGAAGCCCTAAATTTATATAGTGAAATGAAAAGAACAAAGTATTATGTAGCGATAATAATCAAGTAAAGTACCTTAAAACGGTACTTGGAGTTTGTTTCTGTTCGTTGTGCTATGACGCCCCCTGCTGGGGAGGAAACACTTTCCTCAACCCTCTAGAGACCTTTATTAAGTGTGCAAATGAATAACCTTAAACATAAAAAATACATAACATAATATATTAATAACCCGCTTTAAAGACAAGAGAGCGTGTGTGTTTGGATTCAGGAGCTCCCCCGCTGTGCAGCCATTGTCCTCCTTGACCCCAAACTCACCAGGCGGCGTCTTCTTCTGCCAGGAGAGCTTCGCCCTGCAGCACGCCGCCGCCATCTTCGAGTGGACCTACTGCATGCTCATCATGCTCTTCTACGGGACATTCGCCTTCGAGTTTGGCAGCATGTCGGGCGACACACTGACAGTCCTGTCCCGAGGAGGAGGAGGAGCGGGGGGGCCGAGCTTCCCCACCTCTTCCGGACACAAGATGGAGGCGGAAGGCCGCGGCTCCAACCACCACCAGTCAGACAGTTTATCGATGCTGTGATGTAGCTGAGTTTCAAGCTGCTTTGCTGAAGGGATTTCAACAATATGACGAGTGCCTTTCTGCATTCTGAGGGGCCTGTTTGTTTCAACTCCCTGAATGTAACATCGCTTTCTGCCTTCTTGGTCTTCCGTCAGACGCTGGAGGGGCGTCGCTTCGTTGCAACGTTTGGAGCAGGGGTGTCAAACATAGGGCCAACGGGCCGGATCGCAGCGCCCGCTTGAAAATGACGGCCGCAACCACCGCCCCCCCCTCGACAGGACCATCGCCTCTGATTTTACTGGAGATCAAAGTGGACCGTATGTGGCCTTCTACCTAAAATGAGTTTGACTCCCCTGGTTTTTGACTCCCCCTGGCCTGGCTGGAGGTTCAGACATTGAGCTCTATGTTGTTGTTTTTCACTCAGGGAGTTTTGTTACACAACCAGCTTTGCTTCTGTGTGGGGCAACAATCTGTCTCACTTTGTCCCACTTTGTCTCACTTTGTCTCACTTTGTCTCAAGTCCTTCGAAATATTTTATGTTATCAACTCTTTGCCAAAAATAAAAGATTGCTCTCAGTTGCAATTATTTTTACACTTTGAATGGAACTAAACTATTTGTATTGGATCATATGCAGAAACACTTGAACAATAACATTCAGTTTGGTGATGTATTAGGAGAACAAAACAATAAACGCAAATATGATGAAAACAAATTAGTTGCTTATTTTGCAGCCGTGGAGAAAAATCAGGCTGTTTTTTAAAATGTTTTATTGTTCAAAACTCATATTTACATTATTCAAGAAGTTTTTCTTTGGGTTCTGTGACTTTTAAACATCTTCTTTTGTTTAGCAGACATCCGCAAGCAATTATGACATCACACAGTTCTTAGTGTAAAATAATATAACACTGAAGAGACTGAAAAGTAAGACATGTTCAGTATGTATTGTAATTATTTAAGACCTTCAGAGTCGACACTAGAACCTGTTGTATAAGTACGCATGTTTCAAAGCATTCAGGATTTCTCTAATCCAAGAGTCATGAGTCGCTAACATTTGAAATTCAACACTCTCCACGTGTCTCTGCAGTTCCCCAAGTACCAAATAATACAAAACTCAAACAGCTGTTTCACCTCCAACGAGCTGTGACGATAACATCATGTTCACAATGCCGGTTTGATTTGATGAAGAAACGCTAAAAACTAGTAAGACTTTTAAACTAAATAACAATAGTTACAATATTATCATGCTAATGCAATTTATTTTTCCGATTGTAAACTACAACCTGTAGTTATTAGTGGCTTCAATGCTAAAACTTCTATAGTTTGACTTCACATTTATTTTTTGTACCAAATAATGTAAAAAGTAAGAAACATTTGTTTCACCTTAAATTACCGTAGAAGAAAATATGATGTTGAATGAAGAAAGCAGCTATGTACCTTGAATTCTGAAAACTAGTAAGACTTTAGATTCAATACTAAAAACTGTAGCTATTTATTATATAAAATAAACTCAATAAAAAGTGTCATCGGGTCTTTCAAGTCAAATCATAAGAAACGTACCACTCTTTCGTCCCGTACATGAATCTCATGGGAGCGAATACCACAGTGTGGTTAGGGAAAAGGTCTGCCCTTCCCTTAATACCAAATAACAGTTTATTTTAAATACCTTTCTGCTATCTATCATACGAAAACACTACATCTAAAATGAACATATCTAGTATAAATGTTAAGCTGCATGCAGCAAAGAATTTATAGGTGACTAAACTTCTTTGGGAAACTTGCTGTATATCTTTTTTTCTTTAATGTAGATCAAGACTCTACAGGTCTTTCATCACGTTCACGTATTCATAACAAATAACATCAAACTACAATATTGGATTCACGGTGCAGGTTTGGATTTTGGTGCTGACGTTGGTGTCTTTACTTCATGTGAGAACGGAGATGTTTCATCCAGAGTGACACTAAAACCTGCGGAAATGTAATATCACTGAGTTCCCTCTCTTATTTCTGGACAGAAAATAGTTTCAAACAACCAGTTTTTAGGTGTGAAACAAACTGCTGTCATGTGACTGCATCTCTCAGGGACAAAAATACCAAACAGCTGGCTCGTATTTCAAGTCACTATTAAAGGAGGAAACGTTCTCCAATGGTCCAATGAGCAGAGAGTATCTGCACCCACCCTGACCATACCCCCCCCCCACACCCCGCGCCTTACCGGGTTACAGGAGCACGGCGGGTCATTTATATCTATACATTACTCACCCACAAACACACACATGCTCACACACACACAGATACTTTAGAAGTTGAGGTTCTTCGGGACCTCCCAGGGAAACTCCTTCCTGCCAAAGTGACCGTAGCAGGCCGTCTTCTGGTAGATGGGTCTCTTCAGGTCCAGGTCTCTGCAGCACAACGAATGAATCTGGTTAAGTACAGAACTTAAGTACAACGTTGGAGTTACTTGAGATTTCCTTACAAACGTCTCTTCACTCCAGACCTTTTATGTCAAGTTTAATGTCAAAAGGTTTTATTAGTTTCACTGGAGAAACATTTCTCCTCTGCACTTCTCACACGGCTTCACCTAAAGTTACAATGAGGAATTGTTTACTGGTCATGAATGTGTTGCAGTTTAGTCCTGGTTCTCTGCGTGACCTCCGTCAGTAAATGAGACAATCAGAGAAAAGGTGGTATTCTTCTACATAGCAATTCTCATGCAGCGGCTTATTCAGCTCAGACTCCTGAAGAATGAAACCATTAAATACCTAAAGTACATGTCTATTGGTACTTTTACTTAACGGAGAAATGTCCTGCTTATTTCTAGTTCATATTTTTAGTTTCTACTGGAACCTACTCCTCTCTTTTTAGGACAGTCTGCTCTAATTGACTTGTTTTTTAGAAGCTCTAAACAAGCCTCGGCGTGTCAAAGCGAGTCAACTCGACCACATTCTGTCCCGACCTGACGATGACGCCGGGTCTGAGGTCGAAGTTCTTGTTCACGATCTGCAGCAGCTCCTTCTCGCTCTTCTGGGAGGAGCCGTAGGTGAAGAGGGAGATGGAGATCGGGTGGGCGACTCCGATGGCGTACGACACCTGAGATCACAGACGAGAGAAACATGAACGTATCTCCTCCGACGCAGTGGACCAGGTTTTTCTCATCCAGGTTCCTGGAAGGAGGGAAAATAATCCCACAAAAGCATTTTGTATTTCCAACAATCGATTCAGACAGCAGATCCTGTCGGCGCCACTTGTGAAACGATAAATTTCAAGCTAATTTATTTGTCAAGTCCCTTGAGTACATCAGGAACAACCCTTATTGTAATTCAGACATTGTTTATCGTTTAGTATTTCTGGATCTCCTCCTGAAGTGTTTCCCCTAGAAGGCGTAGTGATTTTTTGGGGACCTCACAGATGTAGACTTTGAAGGATTTGCATTGGTCGAACCTGCACCAGGACCCTCCTGCACAGCTCGGCCTTCACCAGAGACTTGGCCACCCAGCGCGCGGCGTAGGCGGCCGACCGGTCCACCTTGGTGTAGTCCTTCCCGGAGAAAGCCCCCCCGCCGTGCGCCCCCCAGCCTCCGTACGTGTCCACGATGATCTTCCTGCCCGTCACTCCGGCGTCCCCCTGAGAGTCACCGGGAAGATTCACGACTTAAGATACGGGACAACGGTGTCAACCAGGGAGCCTCTTTGTGTTATTTATTCAGGCGGTTCATCGATCGCAGTGGAGGAGGGGGACTCGAACCTGCGGCCCGCCGATGACGAAGCGTCCGCTGGGCTGCAGGTGGTACACGGTGTCGTTGTCCAGGTACTTGGCGGGGACCACCACCTTGATGACCTTCTCCCTCAGGACCTCCTTCTGCTCCTCCAGGCTCACGTCGTCGTCGTGCTGCACCGAGACCACCACGGTGTGGACCCTCTTGGGGACCACGGCGCCGTTCTCCTGGGTGTAGTGAACCGTCACCTGACGGATGGGGGGGTCGTAGTTTACTGTACGTTGTGTTGGATATAGCTGACAAACATTTTCAACTGTAACCCATAAATGTGGGAGATGATGAGATGATGCTCGTTGTTGGTCTATTTGTGTCTCTGAATGTGTATTTATAGTTTGTTTAGGTGTCTTTGCAGCTGTGTTGAGTGTCTTTGTTGTTGTTTTATGTGTCTTTGTAGCTGTTTTGTGTTGCGGTCATCTTTGAGGCGGGGGGGGGGATTCAAGCTAAGGATTCAATACGATACACAGGCTACAAATGTGTGTGTGTGTGTAACTAAAAACCAGCCTGCTCTGTTTGATCAGCACATTCTGAAGGTCACTACATACTGAAACCTATTTACAGAATGTTTGATCTAAATGCAAACTCATTAGTAGGGTTGTGATGGCTATTAACAACTATTAAGGCATCTTATGGACACTCGGTTACGTTGTGTGTGTCCTGCACAGATCACACATCAACAATAACTGGGATATTGCGCGCACGCACCCGGATTTATATTGTGTATTTAGTTTTTTTTAATTGACTTGTTGGGATCCTCACCTGCGTCTTGGAGTCCGGGCGCAGCCAGGGGACCGACCCGTTGCGTCTGAGCTCGGCCATCTTGGCGTTGAGTTTGTGCGCCAGGACGACGGTGAGGGGCATGCACTCCTCCGTCTCATCCGTGGCGTATCCGAACATCAGGCCCTGTCCTCAGGAGACAAATCATCCTTGGAACTCAGTACAATGACTCACAGTGTCCTCCGGTACATTTTGCAGTCATACCTGCTTTAAGAGGCTTTAGTAGCCTTTTTAGATTCACATGATACGACCAGTAGTATGAAAGGTAGTAAGTACCCTCTTTACATCCATGAGGCAGAAATGGGTCATTCTGCATAATTAGTACTTTCACTTTAGGTTATTTTAAGTATATTTTTATGCTAATATTTTTTGTGTATCCAAGTAAGATTTTGAATGCAGTATTTTACTTGTAACAGAGCATTTTTATACCGTAGTATTGGTACTTCTACAAAGGTTCAAGGCCTGAACACTTCTTTTCATGTGAAATCGTGCATCATTTAAACTCTCTAAAAGGCTAAAAGCCTCAACGAGGCAGACGAGTGTGAGTGTGTTGTGTTTTTCCAGAGGACCTGGTCTCCGGCTCCGATGTCGCTCTCCAGACGATCGATGTGGACTCCCTGTGCGATGTCCGGAGACTGCTGCTCCAGGGCCACCAGCAGGTTACAGGTCTTATAGTCAAAGCCTGGACAGACAGAGACGGGGAGGACAGGGGACACGCGGCATGAACTCACACCACAACACAAGCACGCCAGCTGCTGAAGGTAGCACCAAACATCTGGATTCGCTCTCACCCTTGTCCGAGTTGTCGTATCCGATGTCTCGGATGGTGTCCCTCACCACCTTCTGGTAGTCCACAGTGGCTCTGGACGTGATCTCGCCACAGAGCAGCACCATGCCGGTCTTACACACCGTCTCTGAGGACAGAGGACGGTACACATTCCTTTCGATGAGATAAGTGACGTGAAAGTTTAAAAGATTCCTTCTGACCGCTTGACAATTTGAATGACGTCGGAATGAGGTGATCAGAGACTGTCAAGAATCCCATTTTATCTCTTTATTTTTATAATTTCTAATGTATCTATGTCTGTCCTCCTACTTCTGCAACATTCGAATAGTGTTTTCTTGTCTAATATGTGTGAAAATGTATTTAATAACTTTAGTTCAATAACAAATTTTCTGTTATTTAATTTAAATTAATTTCTTTATTTATTGTTTTCGTGTGGTAACACATCTTTACATAACTATTAGTTAGATTAAATGAATAAATAAAATGAATACAAAACAAATAAAACAAAAGTATGCTTTTTTTCTCATACTTTTATGTTTGGTCTTATATGTTTGATATTTGTCACTCACCACAGGCCACCTTGGCGTCGGGGTCCTGGCTCAGGTGAGCATCCAGCACGGCGTCACTGATCTGGTCACAGATCTTATCTGAAAAAAATAAATAAAAATGTCTGTCATGTGACCTTTTGCAGCACATTCCTCATCCAGGGCCGAACCCTGACCTTGCCCCCCCCCCCCCCCCCTCCGATCAGGAGCTCTACGAATAGCCTGTGACACAGAACACCTGGACTCGCACCTCAGCACACCTCGCACCGGGACGGGCTCTATTCACCGCGTCACATGACCGGTGAAGCTTCAGAGAATCTTCACAAAAAACGCTTTTTTCTCAGATCTGCTAACTATTTTCAATCAAAATCAACTTAGTTCCTAAATCAAGTTGTTTATTCCAGTGCAGCAACCTGCCTAAATTCTTGCTCGATTTAAGTTAGGTACATTTGTAAATTTTTTACAGTTTGGGATCAATGGTTTTAAGCCTCAATTAAAACCGGACATGTGTTTTCATCATTATAACCCAAAGAATATATTATTTCACTTTTGATTCTGCAGGTTGCTGTGAATACTGTTACTAAAGTCAAAACTATTTTTACTCAGTGGTTTTATCACAATAAATCACCTGTTACACTCCTGGGGATACGCAAAAAGGGAGTCAAGTTTTCTCTTCTTCTTCTTTTTGTGTATTTCTTTTACTTCAGGAATCAGGAAACATTTATTACCAAAATATGACATACAAGGAATTTGACTTAGCGATTGGTGCATAGCAGCAAACAGTTTAATCTGACAACAAGACAGATAAGACGACATAGTGCAAGAGGAATAAATCAAATATAATGCCATGCGTTAGAATATAAGGCTATCTGTTAGTTTAAAAACTAAGTAATAAAAGTTAAAAAACGTTAAAAAGTTACTAGCGAACAGAAAGTGAAAGTGACAAGTGTGTATGTGCATGTTGAGTTTGAAGGAAGAGACCGGTGGGATGTACTTCTAATATGTTTTATGTCAACTGTTGTACTTTATTTTAAGTTACAGGAAATGTTTTGAAATTTTACATCTGAAGCGATACCTTGCTGTTCACCTCCCTCCCTATTCACCTGTCTCCCTATTCACCTGTCTCTCTATTCACCTGCCTGTCTGTTCACCTGTCTCTCTGGTCACCTGCCTGTCTGTCCACCTGTCTCTCTGGTCACCTGCCTGTCTGTCCACCTGTCTTTCTGGTCACCTGCCTGTCTGTCCACCTGCCTCCCTGTTCACTAACAGCTGCAGTCAGCTGACACTCCGCATGTTTACCTTCACCAATGGCGGACTGTCAGGTGGTGGGAGGGGCGTGGTCTGTCACCTTGGACGACAGGTGGTGCCCGGTGGAGTCTAATCTCCCCTGCGGTGAGACGTGACACGTGTCTGCTGTCTGAGAGGAACTCAAAGTGCGCACATGACGTCATACAGGTGGGTGAAAAAACATGCAGCTCTGCTTGTTTAAGCATTAATGTGAATGTGTGTTGCAGCGAAATAGAATAATGTTTTATTCTACTGTTAAAGTGACACGTGATGTGTTTTATGTGGCTTATTACTACTTAATAATATTTCCACTGTCTATTTGTCTCATGCCTGTGTCATTTGAGTTTCTTTGATTTCACTGACGATGGTGGTGGTATATTTATATGGTGTAACAGATGATTTATTGCGCTAAAGCCACTGAACAAAAGTTTTTGCTTTAGTAACAGAAACCTGCAGAAACAAAAGTAAAATAATTGATTATTTGGGTAAAGTTCTGATGATGAAAATTAACTAAACCTACTGCCCCACATAAAGAGTGATACAGAACTCTCAGAGATCATTGTACATGAGAGGGAACCATGAGAGGGAACCGTGAGAGGGAACCGTGAGAGGGAACCATGAGAGGGAGTGGCTTGTGGCTTTTATTCATGATCTTTACACTTCCTGTCAGTTCAGCACCATCACTCCCATCAGCAGCTATAATGATTCATGTACATATCACATACACATATTTAAAAAGGTTCCGGTTGAAAACCTCTCAGGTTTTCTAACTCTGATATAAAAGTAAAAGTTGTCAAAGTAATGAGTTTGCTGGGGCCACCTTCAGGCCAGTAGAAGCAGGTGGTATCTAGTGCAAGTAAAGCTTCACCATCGCTCTCTAAATAGAAAGCCAGATGGATTACTGAATGGGCCGGGAGGCCCAGGGGCCCAAAGTGTTGGGGTCCACACAACAACTACAAGGAGAAGCAAAGAGACTCGTAAGAACTATTAAAAATATACAAAACAACCACAGAATGTCCAAAGAGACACAAGTCGACTGCAAAGAGGAAAGAATGAATACAAATCAAAGTCACAGTTGTCTGGCTCCTCAAACTACTCTTTTTGTACAGGACGGTGGCTCCATGCGGGGCACATTCCTCAAAGTCATCGATGATCAGTGAAACACGAAGCTCCTCCTCATTCATAAACCTGCAGCAGCAGCATGGAGGGTGCAATGGGGAGGGGGGGTCCTCTACTCACCGGGGTGTCCCTCTCCCACGGACTCTGAGGTGAACATGAAGGAGCCGTCATGAGGAGCTCGCTCGTAGGTCCCGTCCGTGGTGCCGTTCATGTTGGTTCCTGGAGAGAGGAAGCTGTGTGACTAATCCAAACTGGTTGTTTTGGGAAGGGGGGGTGGGGGCACAAGGACGGACAGCGTGGCTGCAACCTAATCTCACCGAGGCAGAACTCGGCACTATATGAGGCTAAAAACAACACATGGGTGGGGGGTGCCATGTGAACCCGTGGGTTAGACCATTCAGAGGCCGGGGAGGGGAGGTGGGGATTCCTCGCTCTTCATCCTCTTCTGAGACACTTTTCTTTAACGTGCTGGAAGCTCGACAGGAAATGGACTCATCAAACTCACTCAAGTTAAAACTCTCGAGCCAGAGAGTTTATTTCATCCACGTGATTTACTTTGAAGCTCCTCCTCTGGGTTCATTCATGCCCCGCTCTTTTGTTTCTTTGTACCTGGGGGCCCCTGAGGTCTCTGATGAGGGGGGGAGCACGTTGACCCGTCAGGACTGTTACGAGTTCACAAGCACGATCCAGTAACTAAGTACATTTACAACACTTGTGGTACTTTGTATTTCTACATTTTCTGTGTCTGTGTGAGGAGAAACATAGTTGCTCTGCATAATAGAGTTCTTATCATAGAGTTCTTTTGATACACTAAGTGCATTTTGTTGCTGAGAATTCTGTCCGAGTGAGTCAAATCAAATGAGATTATTTGAAATCCTTAACATGGTACGCGTAAGCTTTACTTCAAATTCTACTGAAATATTATTTGTATGCAGACACATCTGTAAACAAGCGGCCATATTGATCTTTCTTTAATTAAAAACACACACTCTAATTTCTTTTTCTGAGAGTATTTTTTAAACGCTACTTCCAGGAAGTAAAATTCTTACAAAAGTGGCTTTAGAGGTTAAACAAAAACTCTTCAAATCTAATAAATACATTGAAGAAAGAAGTTGTGTGAAACTTTATTCTCAAGAAATAAAAATCTATTTGTGCTGCCAGTTAACGACGTTAACGCAAACCCAGCGGGATTAACTTTTTTTTTGCTTTACATGTTGTGATCCAGCTACTTGATGCTGTTTGAGGGACAGTCCTACAAATGTCACTCACAAAACATGTAGAAAAAAAAACAAATCCAGCACCCCTCCTTCATCTTGTAGTAAAAACTCACACCAGCACGACAGCATACCAACATATGATCGTGTATTAAATTAATTTACATCAACATGTAAATCGTTTTTTTCAGGCAAATCATTTCCAAGTACATAAAAAAAAACCTTTACCTGATAATTTATCATTTTATTTTGTACCGCACTGTTTGGCAATGTTGTTTTTCAATAAAATGAAACATTTGCATAGAGCAAGTCAATCCACTTTTCCATGTTGATAAGACCATTCAAATGAAAAAAGAATAATGGAAAAAATGTGCCATTAATTGTGATTTATTTTGAGTTAACTATGACATAAATGCGATTAATCGTGGTTAAATATTTTAATCACTTGACAGCACAAATAAATATATATATATATATATATATATAGGCTGCACAACACCTGCTCTGGGATCAGTGCAAACGTGAGTCTCGAACAGGGGGACCAGCAGCAGCGTGGAGCGCAGCAGTGCCCTGCAGAGGGCAGCAGAGGTCGGAGGCTGACCAAAGAGAACAGGCTGAGAGTTTCACCTGGACAGGTGTACCCACACTTGAGGCCTTTGTCTTCTGGACGATGATCCTGCTGATGTTCAGGAAGATGCCGAGGTTTTGTCTGTGGATCCAACCCCGGAAAGTTCAAGTCCTCACACAGGTTTTGTATTAATGCTTGTGTATGAATTTAGAGCCGAGGGGTCCAGACTTTCTGTGACGTTGGGCCACATAAAGAAAAATATACAGGGGGCAAACCAATGTAAATGTGTAGTTTTAAACCTGCAGGAAAAGCTGTTTCTAGAGCAGAGAACTGTGTGCCATAGAAACATTATTTGAATACCTACACAACAACACTGGAAGGTTTAACATCTCAGTAGTTTATTAGTTGTGCACGGTAAACGGTATTTCAGAATATGATGTTAAATCTGTAAATAGGTCAAGTTAAAACTGCCCCAAATGCTAAAATATTGATTCCTGTTCCAAGCCTAAACTTAGGAGGCTTCATGGAATGCATCATCATCCTGACACGTGCAGCCTAGCGACTTTGAGACACAGCTAGACACATAACACTGATCATGTGATTTCTATTTTATTACAATCTGCAAATGAATTTGTTTCTGTACTTGTGAGATTGACATTCTGTAGAGATGCAAAAGCTTTCAAATTTCCCTCTGAACCTTTGTGTAGTAAAACTATTCAGCAGCAGAAAGAGATAAGACTCAATATGATTACAAGTACCTCAATGTACTTATTATCAGACCAATTTTCTTTTTTTGTTCCCAATGCTAAACAGTTGTTTTCTATTTTGTAACTCAAATAAAAACATAGATAATATGTGCTTGTGTTTGTTTTGGAAATAAATCTAGTCTTGATATATTGATATCATTTAGTCTACTAAATGTCAAACGTGCTAGAATATGTAGATGGTCACTGACCTGCTGGAAGTCTTCTCCGTGGTCGGGGTCATGACTGGTGTTGTTCATATGATGAGAGGAACCTCGTGGATGGAGTGGACTGCCATCCAATTGGTGACTGGATAGAGGAAACGGGACAAACAGATGAGATGAAACACACCGCCAACTTCTACCTCAATGTGTCCGGTCAGAAGGCCACTCGCTTCTCCAGGTAATGCAGTAGAGCAGCCAAACAAGGCCAAAGCCACCAGTGGGAATGCTTTGAGTATGTATGGCATCTCACACTCTTGGATAACATATTGTAGACTGTACTTTTAGAGAAAGTCAGTCCTGTAACATGAACACTAACTGGTGAGTCGTGCTTTAGCAAGACGCCCGCCAGCATCAGAGCCTCTGCGTGTTTTTATTGTGGTTGTTGCTGCTGAGCTGACCGCCCAATTTCATACTAACATAATATCCCAAATTATTTGTACATTCATATATTCTGAACTTCTCGGTTCAACCTGCAAAAGTACTCCTCTCATAGCCTGTAGCAAGCACAAAATCAGATCCAACTATTTCCCCCCACACTAATGAAATGTAATGCTGATTGAAGGTATTCTGCCCCTGTGATGTGATATCTGATGTGTATTTAACAATACTGAAAAATAATGAGACCCTCAGGGCCCAATGGATCTCCCTGTTGATGTGTGATACTTTCTTAACCAACACCAAGAGCTGATCAGCTCCTCCTGCGGTTTTCAAACATAACCAATCTTCTTCAGTAAGGTCAATATTTCTTGGGCTGCTGACGTCACGCTGCCCTCTCTTGATGGAAGTGGTCACTCTCTCACAGGGCAGACAAAGCCGCAATCACCCTCTTAGGACTGCTCGCGCCTTTGTTTTTTGACCGTGCCAACATTAATGGGAAATCACCCCTACCAAATAAATTGAGTGTAAATGAGGCCATCCCCCCCGCCCCCATGTGTCAGGTAGGGAGGCAACTAACATTCTGAAAAAGGATCCTACCACCGACCACTGGAGGAACCTGCCACCGACCATCAGAACCTGCCGTTCTGACTAAGGAACCTTCCACCGACTTTTCGCCCTCTGCGTCACCTCCTTTTTCTTTCTCTTGTAGAAGAACTATTAAACATTCTGGATGAGTCAACCTCACCTGAGAGAAGGATCAAAGATCCATGCAGCTGGATTTTCAGTCTTCCTCTAATTGAAGTGTTTCATTCTTCTGCATAAACTAAAAGTATTTATAATAATGTGGCAGATGTATTCAGGTGATTATTTTGAAGTTCACTATGTCGTGCGATGATCAGGAGGAAAACAGCAGGAGTCAGTCAGTTCATGTTTCAACCAACAACGTAGAAACTTGTCACTTTTTGTTGATGAAAATTAAAAAGCGGGTGGAGAGATGTGAAGCCTCACTCTCGGTGAAAGAAGGACGGCGTCACGTGAGCAGCTTAGTGCTCACGGAGCGTTCTATAGATTCAATGCATCATTCATGCTCCACACTAAATGTGATTTCACTTATTGTTTTTCATGCTTCCTGTAATCGGCAGCGGTTAAATCTTCCCACAGCAGCGGTTCTTGTGAATCAACGGCCTGTGAAAGCCTGCAGTACTACGCAGGATGTGCACTTATACTGACGACTGGTGGTTTTACTAAGAGCTGATAACTTAAATTACAACGTCAAATTTTCCCTTAAAACAGTGAGGGAGAAAGCTTGTGAACATTGTTTTCACACTGGAACGTACAGTATCTATTCACAAATGAATCTTAAACTATTCGAGATGCGAATATCATCACTAATATAGTTTTTACAACATGAGTCATTATGTTGAATCTGTTACTGGTGCTAATATAAGATTATTTCATGCAACTGTGAGTACCTGCACTTTTACTTGAGTATTTATATTTTTCTGTTACTGCAGACTTACAGACATCGAGAGAGACTCGACATTCCCAACATTCAGAAGCTTAACGGCTTCTCTCGACTTGGTGTAAAAGTTGGCGCTGTGTGTGTGTCTGTTTTTGTGGTACAGGGAGGCCACAATAAGGGCCAGTGAGCAGAGACTGACACAAGGGTGCACTGTTTAGTCCCCCGGGGGCCTCCACTGTTTAATGTGCCCAGACTGGCCATTTGTGTGCGGACCACACCGACCTGTTAGTGCGGCCTCAGTTCAGTGTGGACGACTCTCTCTCCCTCTCTCTCTCTCTCTCTCTCTCTCTCTCTCTCTCTCTCTCTCTCTCTCTCTCTCTCTCTCTCACACACACACACACACACACACACACACACACACACACACACACACAAACACATGTGTTTTCATTTTAAACAGAGGACTCCTTTAGACCTCTTTACTCCACAGAGGGTGGCAACATCAACACTCAAAAACATTCAAATACAAAAAGAGACAGGCTCTACTCTGAAAATACCTCCATTAAACATTGATTATGTGTTTTAAAAATGTCCTGATAATGAGAGATCATTATCAGGACAAATTTTACTCATTTGAATTATATGGAAGCCTGATGATATTTTCCTCAAAATTAGTTTCACTTCACACTTGTCAGTCATTTATGTTTATTTTCAGTTAGCAAAAAACTTCCAGTGTTTTTACTTATTTATTGTATTTTCCATTTAGTTGCTTTTTTAAACGTTTTTGGACATTTCTCATTCAGTACATTTCCTTTATTCTGCCGTGTATATTACATATCAGGAGTCCGCAGCGCCCCCTCCGGCCGCCCGCCGCACTGCGACCAGAAGAGTCCGTGAGATCCTGCGGAGCGCTTGCTGCTGAAGACACCGCTGTCTGCACTCAGGTACGAAAAACAAACCCAGAAACAACCTTAACACATTTCTCTTCTTTGCTCCAGTCCCCACGCCGGAAAAGGTCTCCGCGGGAACACGGAGCTCGCACCGCGGCGTCGTGTTTCTCCATCGGCATTCGTCTTGTCACTTGTGTGTCTTCATGTTTTTCTGCTTGAGGTGGGAGAGGTTGGGCCTCCGAGCGAACCGAAATATCATGCACATGGATGAAACGCATTTTGCAGGCACACTTCCCCCTGCAGCGGCTTGTTTTCGGCGTTTTATTGTCGTGATGATTTATTGAGCTGTGCGCTTTCTCCATCGGTCCTCCGCCACAGGACGCGTTCTGGTTGCGGCCGTCGCCTCCCTCTTCCGACACGGCCGCGGTTGTCCTCCGTCATTCCGCGCAAAAAAACCAAAATGTCTCCATCCTCCGGGGCAGGTCCGGCTCCTGCCCCGCACTCCACACCAATAATCCTCCACAATATTCTATGATGTCACTGTTAAAGGCTCCGGGTGGACAATAACGCGATGCTATTTCTTTGAATACATGGTTTTGCGTCCGAAGCTTTCTTTGTGTCGTGGGATGTGATTTGATTGGGAATGTGTTGCTTTTCTGTTTTTTTTTTCTTCTTCTTTCTCCCTCGCTCCCGTTATTCTGGATCTTTCTCCTCTTTTCCATCTGAGGGCTTAAATGTTTTATTGTAGATCTTACGTTAAAGCAATGCGCGCACCCTGACCGCGCCGCAATGCATTCCATCTCACACGGATGCTCATTCTCCCCTGCGTTATTCAGAGAGCGGACGCTGTCTGGGCTTTAGGGATAGAGACACCGCGCACGAATGCCAAGCCCATTTTCCATGTGATGAACAGAGGAGAGCGCGCAGCAGCGCCTCCAGACTGAGCGGCATCTGTCCTTTAGCGGACGGGAACCCGATGGCACATTATGGCGCAAAGGGAAAGGCGTCTCCATGAGAACAATACGGTTTATGTCAGCGGTTAAAGACGTGCACCTGTAGTGTCTGACACACCTTTTCTCATCCTCATGGGGAGAGGACGGTGGGGGAGGGAGGGGGGAGGAGGGTGTGGACATTTCAGGGTAATTTTGCCAATGTTTGGATGGACAGAAAAGCCTTCTGTGTCTGTGGGTCTTTGGAACCAGTTGTTATGGAGCAAAGGGAGTAACTTGGCTCAAAGACGTATTCATGGTAACAAACTGAGGCAGACAGCAAAAACCAGAAGCCTTTAAGAAGATCTACAGTTAAAACATTTTAAAGCGTGTTTATACGCGGTGGTTCTAGTAAAGCACTGCTTTGTTGTCTTAAAGCTGCGTTCTCTCTGGTGCCCACCAGGGGGCGACTCCTCTGGTCCTATAGAGATCTATGAGAAAATGGCTTCACTTCGCTGTTGATTTATTCCCTCAGTAAACATTGTAAACATGAGTTTATGGTCTCAATCTGTGAGTCAGTTTTAATACAGCATGATGTTCATTTAGTAAAGGAACGTCCATTCACAGTCCAACAGACTATAAAGCAGGGGATGATTTAGGGCGGGGCTACTGTGATTGACAGGCCTCTACCACAGCGTCTCTACATCCTCCTCAGTCCAAACACGGTCACGTCTGTTTCTTGGATGCAAAAAAAGAGCTCGACGATCCAAGATGGCGACAGCAAAATCCCCAGTAAACGAAACCGAACAGTAAACGAGCACCACACCACTAAAAACGCTGAGTGTCTCTGTCGATGGGGTCTGGTGGCTTTAAACAGAGCGTGGTTAACGGTCTCAGGTCCACGTCATAATGGGCCGTCTGAGAGCTAAGTAAAGAGGTGAAAGTTTCTAAATATAGTGTGCACCTAACCTGGTTTAGCATGCGTTTAGCTGCAGCGCTTCACTGCTCTGCTTCTACGCATCGCCAGTGAATGTTTGTGGAGATGGAGACGAGTTCTTGACAAAAATGCAGGTTGCTCGTGGTCCTCCGCCTCCTTCGTTATCAAACGAGCCCGCCCTCCCCTCCTCCCCTCCTCCCCTCCCTGCTCCCCCGTGGGCTCCGGTCCAGAGGTGACTGATGACGGACCAGTAATGTGTGTGTGTGTGTGTGTGTGTGTGTGTGTGTGTGTGTGTGTGTGTGTGTGTGTGTTTGCGTGTGTGGGGTGGGCCGTGTGTACATATTGAAACATGGAGATGACTTTACCCTCATCGCCATGACAACACGAGAGGACTTCCTCATACGTAGGATTCCACACCGCTGAGATGGTCTCTGATGATGAAGTGGCGGATGTCGCTCTCCGACACGGATGTGTGTAGAAGGAGGGCGGGGTGTGGTTTCACATCCTGGAGGAGGGGGGGGGGGCGGTGTTTGACTACCGGGCATCGAGGCTGTGTGGAGGAGACGCTCTGAGGCCTCCAGCTCCTCCACCACCATTGCGGAGAGGCGGAGGGCTGACGAGGGGAAAGTAGGTCAGAGATGCAGGAGCAGTGGAGCACGTGAGCAGCATCCTCGTCTCCCAGCTGAGCTACGAGCTGCTCAGCGAGGACGAGGACGTTTTGTTGTTGGGTCCAATCGGCTCTCAGAGACGTGACGGGGCAAAAGGAGACAAAGCGAGTCGACAGAAAAGTAAAATGTCCTATTCTCTCAGAGGATCTTCTCTCTGTGTTATGTTAATGGTTGTTATTGGTTATTGTGACCATTTTAATCTTCTTCTTCCGGTTTTAAAGGGATATTTAAAGGAATATTTACAGATGAGAAAAAAGCGGCTACATTTTAAAAGGTAGAACCAGAGAATATTTACCATATTTTCTTAGTTGAAATTAAATAAATTATTCTGAATTGTTGTTTATTAATGAACTCAAAATTAACTAATTGATGAACCTATTTTACGGTTTTATTGCTCCGGATGAAGCATTTCGCAAAAAAAAAAAAAAACATTATTAAGGTGGATGAATAATTTCAATAGCATTTCAAGTTTTTTTCTGTTCCTTCTGTGACAGTGAGCTTACTAGAGAGGCGTGCCAGAGAAAGGTCACCTTAGATTCTGAAAGGTTGTTTGTCGCAAATTTAGTAATATTCACAGAACAATTGATCCGCAGGATAAAATCTGTATGCAAACATGTTCAAACGCAGAGATCCGGCTCCAGGTGAAAACTGGGCGTGTGTGCAGGGTTCTTCGAGAGTGGCTCAGTGTCAGTGACACGCAGCCTCCCTGCAGACGCAGCGTCTCAGCAGAAGGTCCGGCTCTCATCAGCGCCGAGTGTCTCTGCAGCCTTTTCGGCTCCTCGTTGTCTCACATCGTCTCCGCTGGCCGGAGAGCTCGTTGTTCGGATTCTGTCATGTGTGAAGCCACAAAGGCCGTTCTGTCCGGCAGCACTGAGAGTACACTATTCATCCGTCTTTCTATGGGACACGCAGATATCTCTCGACCCTTTATTGCCACATCTCCTTGTTTTGTTTGTTTACTTAGATGCAGTCGTTTAAAGGATGCCTCTGGTGTCGCTCTTTGTTTTTTTATTGTCAACAGACCCGATAAAAAGTTAGTTAGTCGAGCTCCAAAGCTTCTTGAATCTCTGCCGCTGACTATTTCAGTGCGTTTGGACCAAAACAACCAACAGAGCCAATCAGGGCTCAGGGGGCTGCATCAAGAATGGGCTCGTTTTGTTCCCGCGCTGGAGATCAAAAAATGACAAAAGACACCAGAGCCAAAATGGCCGCGAGCGCAGAAGAGATGGACGCTGACGCGGCTTCTGTGAGTGAACTCTTTAAATCTGTGAATTTCTTTGTAAATCCCTGAAAGGGGGGGAATAGAGTCTTTGTTGGGGCACTACATTAAGTGGTGGATGAATCTGCACTGGTTGGTAGATCGGTCAAACACTGGGCGTGATGCGGTCTCCCATTTGTGTGTTTACTGACAACGCGGCTGTGTAAACATCGTGAGATAAGACGGCCCACAGTTTTCTCCTCCTTCGTCGTATTGTCATAAAACTATGCTATAATGTATATAACATAAGAGTATCGATACGGATGCATCAGTGTGGAAGTTGTTTTAACTACTTTATACACAGTGGTTCTCATCCTGGGGGCCCGGCCCCTCTAACGGCCACAAGGTGAATCTGAAGGCTGCGAGATGATTAAAGAGAGAGAAGAAGAAGTTGTCACCACATATTTGGATTCATATATCTGGGCCTTTTCTTATTTTGTTAATGTTATTTCAATAAAACCATGTGAGGGGTTTATTAATAAATGTTTGAAATGGACAAAAAAGTCCAAAATCAATAGTCTTCAATCAATATCTTTAAAATGTTTTGTATTTTCTATCAAATTTAGTATTGTATAGAATCTCAATCTTTAAAGTAATCATTGGCAATAGCCGATAAAATAAATCCAGTAGTTGAGGAAAAAGCATAATGTTTCCCAGTAGAAGTATTTCAAATCGTAAAAGTACCTGAATAACAATTGATAATATAATTAATCGAACCACAGATGAAGCGAGTTCTGTTTATCAGCATAAATCAACAAGAAGATCAGAACAATGATCAGATGCCGACAAATCTGCATCAGATCACATGGAAAGAGCAGTTGGGGTAAGCTGTGTGTGTGTGCGTGTACGTGTGTGTGTGCGTGTACGTGTGCGTGTGTGTGTGTGTGAGAACAGATTTCAACCTAAAACTGCTGATGTAACCAGCGGCTTGTGTTTAATCTGACGTGAAATCCTCTTTTTTATGAGATTTGATGCATCTCGCCAGTTGAAGCACTGCGGGTGACTTCCTGTTGTACACTACACGGCGATAGCAGTATTGAAAGGGGATTGAGTACATTTACGTTGTACTTTTATTTGAGGTACTTGGGTTCACTTCAGTTGAAAGCTTTTACAAATTTAGCATTTTGTACACAAAACATACATACAGCTGACAGGAGGTGGTTTATTTAAGTACAGCAGGAACTATACTTGATTTAACTAACTCCATCATTGTTACGGAACATTTCATGGTTGGAGCTTCACATTTATATGAAGTTTAAATATTTAGGATTATTAGGATTATTAACGTAATAATGTTGGATCAATGCATAGAAGAATCAGTAAATTATTCCGCAATGAAAATCATCATCACAATCCTTTGTTAATAGTATAAATTGATCTCCGGCTCAACCAACAGTAAATACTTTTACATCAATGCCTGAGTGGTGATAATCAGAGTCACAGTTTGAATGTTTTAAAGATTACACTTGACGATGATGGTGGAACATGAAACACACTTGTGCAGCAAAGCCGGCGTGCAGGTTGGCAGGAGGGACTATTTTTACCGGTCAGGCTGTAACACGAAGCGGCAACCTCACATCAGGACGTATAAATAACCGGTGCACCAGTCGGTGTGCTTCGGCGGGGGGCGGAGGGGGACAGGCGAGGGGACGGAGGGGGTCCTACACGTCAGGAGACAAAAAGTCAACCAAGAGCGCCGTGCTTGTATTTTAATCCTGTGTGACTGATGCTGTCACCTGACACGTCCCGGGCTTAACTGTGCCCCCCCCCTCACCCCACACCCCCACCCCCCCGCTCTCCTGCAGCCCAACCCGCGCTCGGCAATGGACTACACGAACAACGCCTCCGACAGCTACAGCTCCGGAGACACCATGACCTCCTCCTTGGCCAACATGACCATCAGCGACCAGCACCGCCAGGAGAACGGGGTGCTGGGGGGGCACAGGAGCCCCGGGGAGGCAGTCATGAAAGGTCAGAGGTCACTCGGTTTTATTTAAACGGCCCAAATGTCACCGCGCTTCAACCTAAGACAGGTTGCAGATGAGGAGCAGGGAGGCGAGCTCAGCAGAAAGAGGGGGAAGTAAACACAACTGGAGCGGAACAAGTGGATTTTCAGACCGAATAGCGCTGAAATATCATTCGGGTCATAAGAATCGTTAGTGTGGTAGGTTGATCAGTACATGGAAACGCGGAAAAGATTCTACAGCGAGTCATCACCAGGAAAAACTACGTTTGGTGGTCGGCGAAAAGCGAAAGCGTTCACATGCTCGTATCTAATTGGACTAATGACTTCGGGGGGGAGCAGTTGGACAAACGGTTCAGCCGGGGGGCAGTAGTGGTCTATACATTTTATTATTACTATTATTGCAATAAAATGTGATTAATGTTCTAGTATTTAGCGTTCTGCGCTCGCACTGATTGGTGATTGTTATCATGTGACCCCGCTGACTTGTGGGTCGACCCCGGGGCCCTCAGGTTGAACTTCAGTCACTCTGCTTTCCAGTCAGCGCCGTCATATTTCCCTACACGGGCTCACAGAGGACTTGTAACCCATTTGACAGTGAACGAGCCCCCGTCTCCTTCCCGTAAACCATCAAGAGAAGAAACCAAAGGCGTGGATGATGAATCCTAAAACAAATCTCTGGTTTGTCCGTTCTACAGTTAAACAAACAAACAACAGTCCGGATGGTTGTGCAGCTGATAATCCCTCTCACCCTCCCCCCTCCTTTCCTCATCACCCGTACGGGACGGGTAGTGCGAGGTTTAGCCCCCCCCCCCCCCGGCTTACAGGCCTCCCTGGCGCTCCTCTTCCCACGACCTCACGCGCAAGGTGGAAGGTGTAGTTTTTGTGGTGTGGAGGTAGTCGTGGGGTCTTTAAAGCAGTAAATTTGGTTTATCGTGGTTCAATAATTAAATTATTCCTTAATAAAGGAATTGGGAATACACTTAAAAATGTGATCCTGGCAGTAAAGACGTTTCGTCTCATTATTATAGTACATTTGTCGGGGCCATATTGACCTAATTCGTAGGAATGATTCTCTCTTCCTCTTTGTTCTGTATTTCATTTCTTCAGGTTCCCTCCAAGAACCTTTGTCTGAATACAAGCTGGTTGAAATAGTTTTTTTCACAATAAACTTCCAGCTTGAACTCCAGTGTACCTTTAATTCACAGAGACTGAAGCGGCGCTCAGTGAGAACGGGGTGACACCCGTTTCTGACCTCTGTGACGACGAGGGGAAACCCGGTACGCCTCTCCTGCATTAGCTCGAGCTAACCCTCATTACGCATGCTTCGGTTCCACTTTTCACAATAAACGTCTTCTTCCAGATATTCAAACATGAAATAATGTTCATCTGTGATTGTTAATTTTCTTCTTTTTTTGCAGCATGTCTTGTTTTGCTAATGTGCTAACATGCTTTTCTCAGATTCATAGCACATCTGTTTGTGTTGTCACTGCGCACAAATTGCGTAAAGAGAGAATTAGCTCTTCTCAGTCGAGCACGCTTCGAAACACTGAGAGTGACAGCGGGTCCGAAGCGCAGTGGAAACAGAGGTCATCGGGTTCAAAATGCTCCTTGATCCATTAAACAGCTTCTGGGACGTGCAAAATACTTTGGTGACGTTTCAGAGCCTGTTTAAGCTGTAAAAACAGAGTCACATTGGCCTGAGAGCTGAATCAGTTTCCTTAAATGACTCGGCGTCCTCAAGGTTCTGGTCTTTGTTTTTTCTTCTTCTCTCGCCTGGAGACGAGGATCTCGAAGCGCCTCCGACATCTCAGCTGCTTGTGCATTTCCATTTTTTTTTCTTGAAGATTGACACCACAATATGTATGGTTAGCTGATAGCTCAAATTAGCATAAACAGGTAACACAGTCTTCCGCTCCATGTGGGACAGCACTCAGAACTACAGATCATTCTGAATGAATAAAATAACAAGATCGTTATCTTGTGAAGTGAGTCAGCAAGTGCTGTCATTTACTTTTGCAGTTGTGTGATTATTTAAGTGATGAAAATGACACTGGTGACATTTTTGAAGTTAGCACAAATATCAAAGTGGGAATATTTGTGGTTAATGGGGATCATTTGCAGTATAATTTTGCCAGGCAGCCAATAAAACCTCTCCATGAAACGAGAACTTGCAGTCTATAAGATATAACATGTTATCTGAAAGGCTTTAGCCGGGGTAGCGGTTTCTATCTGCTCTCGGCCCTTGTGCTAAGCTAAGCTAACCGGCTGTAGCTTCACGCTGAGCGTGCAGAGTGGTGTTGATCTTCTCATTAAACTCGCTGCAAGGAATAAAATCCATTTAGAACTATTCTTCTATGTTGTACAACCGAAGCTTCTCTGGTGAAAGTGGAGCTCATTATCTTTTTCTTAGGCTACAGCATCTTAAATGTAAAATAGTGTTTTTTCTGTTCTGCTTCTTCTTCTTTGTGCTAACTCTCATGTTTTTATAGTTTGCTTCTTATTAGAACTGCAACATGACCGTAAACAGACTCACACACATGCTTCTTTTTAACAGTAAAAGATCAATTAGCGTCCCGGCTATTTCAGAATAAAAGGGCAGGTTGATTAGAGCGTCCTGTGATCTGTCGAGCAGATACGCTTAAGCAGCGCGCTCGGCCTGCTGGAAAGCCGACAGTCTGCATATTGACGTGGTTCTGAGTGGTTTATTGCAACAGTTATGCGCTTTAACAGCTGTGTGAGGGCTTCGCATTGATTTGTGTATTAATCTGTCGTTATGATCCGTCGTGAGTGACAGGAAGTCGTTGCTAATGTCTGTTTTCCTTTTGTCTCGTTGTGTTGGAGCAGCAACAGGAGGAGCAGCTTCAACAGGTAGGCGGCTTTATGTTTCATTGATCGCACTCGGAGTGTATTTATATTTACTGCAGGAGAGAGATATGAGGACATTTATGACTGCAGGTGCACAGAGATCTTTTTTTTATCCTGTGTGTTATCTGAAAAATTCTAGACTTTTATGTGCCGTTACCCAACTTACTTTTAAAGCTGCATTGTCCTATAAACCCGTTACATTTAAAAGCCTTTAAGTTCATTTTAATCTTATTAAATAATTCATAATTCAAAAACAAGTACCAATAACCAACAATTAGCAGAGCTTTTAAAGTATCATTTAATTTCTAGTAGTAGATTTAGTTGTGTTTTAACTAGGGCACCGTATTATTTTACAGTTCACAGATGGATTACAGACTTTATTTTATATTTCATAACATTGTTGGGTTCAAAATGCCTAATCTGAGTGTTCTCTAGTGTTCTGTGTTCACTCATACGCATCTTCGGTTGTCTGTCACCCGGTTGTGATGCATTAATCTCCATGTCCATCTGATGTTTTCGGTCACGTCTTGCATCTCCACCTTTATAGCTCTGTTTTCTGTGGTTCGTGAAATAATCATTTCATCATTTGTACAGTTCTTTTCACTCCTTTTTATTTATCTATTTATTTTCGACGGGGAGATGGAAAACAGCTGCTGTGAATGTTGTCATTAATCTGCTTTCCAAACAAATTAGCGAAGCCCGGGTCTCCTGCAGCCCGCGCTGTGTTTATGTTTGCGGCCGACGGGTCGAACCCGGCCTCCGTGGGAGCTTCCTGCCCCCCGGTCCTAGGAAACGAGGCGGCGGGGGAGTGCGGGAAGAGGATGAGCGAGTCCCTCTGGGCCTCCGAAGACCTGGGCTCCGGGCCGGAGGTCAGGCGGGAGGACGGGGGGAGCCCCGCCGACTCCCAGCGGGCGATCAGCCTGGACGCCTCAGAGTGCCTGAGCGAGAGGAGCGACCTCACCGGGACGTCTCTGGTCCGCAGCGAGGCTCTGGAGGACCTGACGTCCATCGGTTACAAGGGCTCCAGGGTCCCTCAGGGGGAGGAGCCTCTGGTCTCTGAAGACCGAGCAGCTTTAAAGTCTGGAGACGTCCCTCTGGAAGCACAACACGACCAAAGCCTCTCGCTCTCTGACTCCCAATGGGAGGAGCCTCCCAGCGCTGGGGACACTTCGCAGAACGAATGTCCCTCGAGCAAAATGACGTCTGAAAACAGCAGCGGTGACTCGTGGTTAGACAGGCCCGGCCATTCAAAGCCCCACATTTCTAATGAGTCAGACTGGAGCGTGGCTCAGACTACCGGTACCGCCAAGCTCCAGAACCCCCCCCCCCAAAACCCTCAAGCCAGAAAGTCTTTGGTCCCAGTCGCTATTTGCAAAGGTCTGTCTTGCTGTCGTATTCACTAGAGTCCTCTTCAGTTAACTCCTCCCACTTCTTTATTTTACAACGGAGCTTCTACTATCTGTCACGCTGCACTCCCCCACTCCCCCCTACCCCCTATCCCCCCACCCCAAACCTCCCCGGGCTGTTTCTCTATTGGATGTTACCTTTGACCCGAGGAGAAGCCTGTTCCCCCCCCGACACTTTTAGTCTCCATCTCCGTCTCTCACCTTGCTGGTTAATGCGGCCCACGGAAATAACTGCAGTTCTTCTTTTGGTTTCCACGATCACTTTGTGTGACCATGCATGCTGCATATCACCAGCATCACATTTTGTTTTTTGTCTCCCTGCCATGTGAATGTGTTCAGGCACAGACTGGGCGGCAAACGTCTTTCACTTGGAAATGATGGAGAGAAGAAGGTGTATGATACTTCAAATCTGTAATCTGCTTCTCTTCTCTGCCTGTAGCTCAAGCAAAGATGGATAACGGTTCTGCAGATAAGGTACGTGACCAGGGATATTATTAAATATATCTACTGTTTACGGGATTATTTGGGGATATTACAACTTGGGACATATTTTTGCAGCATTTTCAGTTATTGCACTACAGATCGACATGGCGACAGTGGATGAAGAAACATTCGGTCAGACGACTGTGAATAAACCTCCAGGTTCAACGGCTCGTGTTTGAGACATCGGGTTGTTTGTGTAGAAGAAATGCATCATGCTTATTGTGGTCTAAATGATACTAGAGATTGTTATTTAGGAACCAGGAACCAGTACTTTACAATCTACCTCTACCTCATACCGTCTTCATGTGATCGTCAATGGGACTTGTGTCATGAATCATGTGCGTCATGAACAAAAGGGTAAGATGAAATATTATAGGGAGCAAGCGGATCTTCAATGTTCAGTTTATTTTAACCCACGACTGCAATCTCGTGTCCAAACCCTAAATGCATTAATGCATTTATTTTTGTTGCCACAGTTATCACCTTGAGCAGCTGTTTGTTTTTGTGCCTCCACTTAACCAAACCATAGCACCCCATCACTTTGTCTTTGGGGTGTTGCTGCGCTTTCAAACCTCGACAATAACTGTTGCGAGAGTTAACGGCCGCGACTATGAAAATAAGACCCAAGTTGTAACAAACCGGAATAAACCTTTAAGGAAGTAAAATCCCTTTTAATTTATTGAATCATTCCTCTGTTTTATGTTCACTGTCATCACATCTTTAGTTTATTCATTCATCATTCATTTCTTTTCCTCCTCCATGAAAAAGACTCTAACTTCCACCAAACCAACCGCCCCCCTTAAAAGACCTTCCGTAGTCACCGGGGGCAACCAGACCCACGCTCCCCCCCGGAGCGGCCCCAGCTCCATCCCTGTTAAAGCCGGCGCCCCGGTGCCCCGGCAGCCCGAAGTAAGTACGGCTCCGGCCGAGATCGGGGTGTCAAACGCGGTGGATCGAGCGGTTAAGGAAACGCAAACGCAATGAAACCTCCATTCCTTCTTGTGGTGAATGACCATGAACGAGTCCAGCCGATCGCTGTGCGATGCTCATTCACTTGTGAACCAGATGTTTGTGATTGGTGACGACTCGCCCCTGAATAACAGCAGCTTTCTGCTGAAATCCCTCGTAACTTCTTGGCATTGTTTTTGTTTTGCAGAGTCTTGGTGGAGCGAAATCTCAACCCCCCGTGGTCAAGGCTTCGGTCAGAACCGCAGCTCAACCAGGTACAAAGACGTCACATTTCCTTCGCCGTATTTCGTTTGATTCCTTTTCGTTTCCATTTTTTTATTGATTTGATTTCTATGAGGAGTAAGATCTAAGGACTCCTTATGATCTGTCATATTTTTTGTTATGCAGCTAGTGCCAAGAAACCTCCCACTCCAAAAAATAAAAAAGGTAAAACGCCATAAGAAAGGAAAAATAGTTATTAGAGATCACTTATAGCTTCTCGTAGCTCACAATACCACAGTGTGATCGGGACTTTGATCAGACTTGGTCAGCTTCTAGCCGCCAGAGATCTTAGTCTTTATCTATTGCTATTTAATATTTTGTTTCCACGCACCTCTGACTGGTGGCCTCTCCGACTGCTTCAGATGGGAGTGGACAGAGCAGCCCCGGCACTCCCAAATCTCCAGCTAGCCAAGCGCTCGCCGCCAAAGCTGCGGCCGAGGCCAACAAGGTGAAGAAGGTGGCGGTGGTGCGCTCCTCGCCCAAATCCCCGGGCTCGCTGAAGAGCCGCCCGCCGGCCCCTCTGGCCGCCGCGGCGCCCATGCCGGATCTGAAGCACGTCCGTTCCAAGATCGGCTCCACGGAGAACATAAAGCACCAGCCGGGAGGCGGGAAGGTAAAGCCCCAAGTCTTTCCGCTCTCGCGGCACGCAGGAGGTACCGATGGCTTGTGGCCGGGGGTCAGAGGTTCTGGAGGCAGGAAGTCTCTCATTGGAGAGTTTGAGCCTCACTGAGCCGGTTCAGATGCCGACTAACTTCACAAGACACTTGGCATGAAAACAAAAGAGGTAAAAAAAGGTCTGACTGCGTTTTCTTTTCTAGCAAACCCCACAGTTAAATATGATTTGAATCCTGCAAAGCGTCAAACAGGCTGAAGGAATGTGCATGCTCATGTTCATAACAGCCCGCAGGCCCCTTTAACATCAGGTCATATGCAGTAAACCCGAGCAGTGACTGAAACTAGGCCGGAGAAAAGAAACCAAACGTGAGAGTTATCACCCAAACTGTTGTAGCAGTTTGTTGTGCAGCAGTAGATGTCGTCGCAGTGAGACGTAAGGTTTGTTTTGTTTTCAAAGCAGAGGAGGAGGTGAAGTGTGTTGACCTCGTCCCTCGTTGTGTTGCTTCTTCATTAAATCAGGTTCACAGACTCCTCAAAAGGTCATTAGACCTGTTGATACTGGCCGAGGAATTTATTCCTGCATAAGTATTCTCAGTACAAACCCAAAAAGGTTTAATACGCTGACTTTGCCCACTTGGTTTTAATGAGCCAATCAGGTTCCTGCTTCCAGAGCTTCTGCCTTTTGATGTTTTGAGTGTCGTCTGATCAAAACAGTCCAACCTGATTTGAGTATGAGGCTGTGTGTATGTGTGTGCATGTGTCCCTTGTTTACTTGTTTATTTACTGCTGAAATTTATAAGAAATTGTGGTGTGTTATTTAATGATTTAAACGTGAGCCTGCTCAGCTTGCCTGACGTTTAAATGGTGAATCAAAGAAACAGCGGAGAGGAGGAGCGCACACATTGCAACTCGGTTACTTAAAGAAGAGAGATCAATAGGAGACAAACAGCACTGGTTACAGGAAGCGAGCCTCTCTTGAGCTACCTGGCTAACCAGATAGATAGATAGATACTTTATTGATCCCTCAAGAGGGAAATTTTGTTATCACAGCATGTACAGGAAAGAATAGAATAAAAAGATACACATTATATACACATTATATACAATATAATAAGATAAAAAATATTAAATTAAATTAAATAAACTAAACTGAAACAAAAGAATAACCTTCAAAAAGAGACAATAATAATAATTTGTAAAAGAAGAAGAGGAAGAGCAGCAACATCACAGCAGTACAGGGTTGTTATTGTCATTATTTGCTAGCAGTCTTGCTAATTCCACCACACAAAGCATAAGCTAGCAGGCTAGCAGGCTAACTAGCCAACTTGTCAGTTATCCGTCTCCAGAGCTGCGACCAAAACACAACTGCTGTTCTTCTCTCTCTCGTTCTGGTGAAGTGACCACGGGAAGCCGTGTTCGCTCTACTCCTTTATTGCGTTTCTATTGGCGCCTCTTTCTTCCTCTCTGACACCACGTCACCTCCACCCAGCATGTCGCACGCTGCAACACCAATCACACAGCCACTCTCCCCGGCCCTCAGCGCCGTCATCTCCGCCCAAAGACGTCTAAACGCTGCCGTTTCTCCTTCTTCCAGGTACAAATCCTTCACCAGAAGGTGGACTATAGTAATGTCCAAGCCAAGTGTGGCTCCAAAGACTTTGTGACTCATGTACCCGGTGGAGGCAATGTGAGTAACTGAGGGGTGAACTCAACACCAGACTCTTGAGTTTCTCTGCAGTTATGAGGATCAAAACCAACTTTTGGTAAAAAGAAAATAGATGCAAAGAAGAAGGTGCTCTCTTTTCTGCTTTCTTTTCTGAAAATACATAAAATGAAGACGGACTTATGAAGGGAATATGTACAAATATGTCACAATCTGCTCAATAAGTTCAAGGTGCAATTATTCAAAAGCTGTCTGCTTTTACGCGTTAAAGTTGGCATCTGTAACAATTGATTAGTTATTATATTATTTAAATGGTAATTAATGTGTGCTGAAGTAGAGAAATACATTTTTTTTAAAGATTTACTCAATAGCTTATTGAAAATCCTGGTTCAATAACAGAGCCAGATGCGTAATATTCTGCATAATATTTTCTAGTTAATGCTCAAAAGTTGTACAAACTTATGGATGGCAGCTTTAATGAAATAAGTTAAGAATATATCTCCCTTTTGTCATTGGATTGCGTTCTTTCTGGGCGGATTCCCCTCTATCTTAATTTTAATTGTCTAAAGACTGGTATTCTCACACTTCTGCAGGTCCAAATCCTGGATAAGAAAGTGGACGTGGGGAACGTCCAAGCTCGCTGTGGATCTAAAGACAATATAAAGCACACGCCCGGCGGAGGAAAGGTCAGGAACATCAATAAATGCACTTCTTTTTGTCTTCTGAGCCTTTGACACAAATTTGTGGAAATATTCACAGTTAGAAACCGGTGTCCTCTTTGACCAACTGTAACATGTCCACCAACAGTATTGGTACATTATTGGGTACGGACATCTTTAAAGGGAAATTTGCCACATTTAATTTAGGAAGTGGAAGGCTGACTTTGTCAATACAGTGTCACCTTCTTATACCTCTCACAAGAGTCCTTCCCCGTCCTCTTTAATGAGCCACCTCCTCTGGTTACATTCCTCTTCCCTGGTTAGATGATTAGATCCATCTCCCCTGGTAACATCCCCTCTTCTGGTAACGTCCCCCTCCTGGTTAGATGGTTAGATCCCCCTCTTCTGGTAACGTCCCCCTCCTGGTTAGATGGTTAGATAACGTCCCTGTCCTCTGGTAACGTCCCCCTCCTCTGGTAACGTCCCTCTCCTCTGGTAACGTCCCTCTCCTGGTTAGATGGTTAGATCCCTCTCCTCTGGTAACGTCCCTGTCCTCTGGTAACGTCCCCCTTCTCTGGTAACGTCCCTGTTCTCTGGTAACGCCCCCCTCCTCTGGTAACGTCCCTGTCCTCTGGTAACGTCCCTGTCCTCTGGTAACGTCCCCCTCCTCTGGTAACGTCCCTCTCCTCTGGTAACGTCCCTCTCCTGGTTAGATGGTTAGATCCCTCTCCTCTGGTAACGTCCCTGGCCTCTGGTAACGTCCCCCTTCTCTGGTAACGTCCCTGTTCTCTGGTAACGCCCCCCTCCTCTGGTAACGTCCCTGTCCTCTGGTAACGTCCCTGTCCTCTGGTAACGTCCCCCTCCTCTGGTAACGTCCCTCTCCTCTGGTAACGTCCCTCTCCTGGTTAGATGGTTAGATCCCTCTCCTCTGGTAACGTCCCTGTCCTCTGGTAACGTCCCCCTTCTCTGGTAACGTCCCTGTTCTCTGGTAACGCCCCCCTCCTCTGGTAACGTCCCTGTCCTCTGGTAACGTCCCTCTCCTGGTTAGATGGTTAGATCCCTTTCCTCTGGTAACGTCCCCCTCCTCTGGTAACGTCCCTGTCCTCTGGTAACGTCCCTCTCCTGGTTAGATGGTTAGATCCCTCTCCTCTGGTAACGTCCCTGTCCTCTGGTAACGTCCCCCTCCTCTGGTAACGTCCCTGTTCTCTGGTAATGCCCCCCTCCTCTGGTAACGTCCCTGTCCTCTGGTAACGTCCCTCTCCTGGTTAGATGGTTAGATCCCTCTCCTCTGGTAACGTCCCTGTCCTCTGGTAACGTCCCCCTCCTGGTTAGATCCCTCTCCTCTGGTAACGTCCCTGTCCTCTGGTAACGTCCCTCTCCTGGTTAGATGGTTAGATCCCTCTTCTCTGGTAACGGCCCCCTCCTCTGGTAACGTCCACTTCCTGGTTAGATACCTCTCCTCTGGTTAGATCCACCTCCTCTTGTTTAGATCCCCCCCTCTAGTAAGAGCCCCCTTTGGTTGGAGCCCCCCATCTTTCCATCTCTGGTCCTCACTCGGGGTCCCCGCTGCTGTTGCTTCGTGCAGGATAACCGTCTTTTATATATTAACTTTCCAGGTTCAAATTGTTGAAAAGAAGCTGGACTTAAGCAACGTGCAGTCCCGTTGCGGCTCCAAAGATAATATGAGACATGTACCCGGTGGAGGCAATGTGAGTAGATAGGGGATGTGCCCCTCCCCCCATCATGTTGCTCCTCCTGAATGCTTCCTCACGAAGAAGCAGGATGTCGGCACGAAACCTGCCGTGTGTGTTCAACCCTCCGGACCTCGATGATCCCGGCTGTTAACGCCTCCTTTTAACTGGTTTATCACTAACACAAAGGCATGAGCATTTCACACTGATGAACCGTAAACGATCATGTTTGAATGTCACACCATTGGTTTATTTCAGGGTCCATTATAAATGTTTTTTTCATTATTCCAGCTTCTCAAAAGAGGCTATTATTTGTTTCAAAATGACATTAAATCGAATAAATTTGAGGTCTAATGACGGTATTTCTCTGAATTCTCAAAATATTTACAACCCAAGCAATCAATTAGAAAAAAAATCTGATTAAGCCACGATGGAACGTGTCATTTTAGATTCAAATAGACTACTACAGTAAAATCCTGCTTTCACTTAAATGCATTACTAATAATGATATATTGATTGACAGTCACAAAGAACATTTTACACTTTTAACACATGAAGTACATTCTTCTCATTACACTTGAAGGACTTTTGGAATATTTTTAAATGTAGTATTAGTACTTCTACTAAAGTGAAGCCTCTGGACTCCACCAATACCATAGAGAGACTTTGTCCGTAATAAATCTTAGATTTCTATTAGTCACCATAAACTGGATGCTCACAGAGCTCCACTGTAATGCTCATGTTCTTCTGTAAGCTGATAACTCTCACTTGTCGGTTCTTCTGTGATCACAACAGTTTTACCCCTAAAACAAACATGCATGAATCCTGTGTGTGTGTTTTTGACTTACGCAAACCGCCTCAAGTTTATTCTATTACAGAAACTCTGTGAATGAGAAACAGGAGTGCCCCTCGCACTGAAGAGAACCGATTGTGTGGTGAAAGAAGTGCACGGGGACAAAGGGCCTCTGTGCACTCTGTGCCTGTTGTGAGGAGCTCGCAGATGACCTCAGCGCTTTGTGGGATGAGACCACCGGCCATGACGGGCTGAGAAAGAATCCTCTCAGAATGTCATTGATTAGACGCAATACAGATTCATTGGTCCGCTTGACCCTAACATGAGATTAACTCAATGCATACCTATGTATTCTAACTCTGATTAGAACTAATCTCAGATTAAATTAATCCTTGTTGGTGCAACTCAGCCTGAGTGTTTCGTTGATCTGTGTTTCCCCTCTGGTGGCTTTTGTAGAAGACTAATTCTAATTCCTCAGTTGATGTTTCTGCTTTCAGGTTCAAATTATGCACAAAAAGATCGATCTGACCAACGTTCAATCGAAATGTGGATCAAAAGCCAACATCCGTCATAAGCCAGGTGATTTTTTCTTTGTGGAATCCAAAAGAAGGAGAAAAACATTTTCACCACATTATTTATATTTAATTGTTAACTTTTCATTTCAGTCATTTACTTCACAACTCCCAAGATATAAATTAATATATTTACATACATACATTTGTGTATTTCTTTCCGTTTTCTGCTCTCTTCTCATGACCCTCAAATTTAACCAGTGACCCTTTAGGTGAGCCCGACCCCTAGGTTGGGAACCGCTGGAATAAAGTGTGTATACAATTATTAAACCTAGATGCGCAGCTACGAATTTAAAATGCTGTTTACACATTGGTGCATCTTTTTATCAATGGACAAGGTCAGCTTTATTAACATATCGGTTACTGGAGAACAAGTTGTTTTTAGATGTTTAACACATTTGTATTGTTTTTCTCAAGTATAATTTGGCCTGAATCATTTTTACTCAGTTGTATTTCTACTTTTACATATATATGTATACAGCTATTTAACTTATAATAAATAATAATGGTGCTTCATTCTGTTTTTATCAGGTGGTGGAAATATTGAGATAAAAAATGAGAAGATTGAGTTCAAAGGTCAGTCGAAGATCGGCTCTCTTGACAACATCGGCCACGTCCCAGGAGGAGGACAACGGAGGGTAAAAACTCCACGTTAAGAATCTATCATTCTTATTTTATTGTTTTTGACATTCTTCCAGAAGGATATGCTCTGAAAACATATTCTTCTGTTTGCACAGCTGAAGCTTTTTATGTGCAGAGGTAGAGCTTTCACTCTTGATAAAGATCAACAGTACCTCGCCGCACGAGAAAAAAAACATGATATTGTGAATTTAAAAGAAGAGCAGAGATATTTGATGTGAAGATTATACTCTGTATAATAACAGAACAATATTAGGCCTATGTACATACATATATATATATGAACTTCTTAGTCCTCACATACATGGAAGACAAAAGTCATATGAGCCCTTGCAGCGGGTTAGGAATATAAAATATGTATAAAATATAAGATACATCTGTTGACACAGAGCGGATAAACTGTTTGAATAGAAGATGACACAGTATGCTCAATATTGGTGCGCAAAGGTTGAAGAATATCCTCTTTTACTAGATTTATTCAAGTGTATAAAAGTACAGGAAGTGTAGTAATATATGTAGTAAGTTGTTAGTTCCCACCAGATTTCATTTAAAAAGATTTGCCTTTCTGGAGCTAAGTCTTACTTTTGTAGTCAATTTGGCAAACTTCATCCCCCCACAATGCAACTTCATATCATACTTAAAGGGTTTTACACAAACATGTAACATTTAGGAGCAGAAGACGTGCTGCCACGCCCTTCATCTCTCATGCGTCCCCCCCCCCTCATAAGTTTGGCACCTTTCAAGCTTCCATCTTCTCTGTGCTGCCAGTTTAAATCATCACTTATTCATTTGTCGTCCTTATTTTTGAGATCTTCATTTGTTTTTGTTGCCTTTTTGATTTCTGTTGATGCCATCACATGTATTGTGTTGCATGCCTTGTCATTCCTCTGGTGGGGCTCCTCTGTAGAGGGAGAAGGGGAAGGAAGCAGAGGGGAGCACCTCAGACAGCCCCTCCATCCCCTCCCCAGCTGTCACCCCCCCTCAGTCACCACAGACTGTCACACCCATCTTGACGAACCCCCTCATAAAGATTGAGGACTCCAGTAAGTACTCACAAGCAGCCTGCTTTAAACAGCAGCCAAAAATAGGTTTTCTTCTCCTTTCATTTCATTTTTCTAACTTTTTTAGCCGAAACATGGTTCTTTGCATATCCACTGGTGGGTGGACACCACCGTGCGGTGGGCATTGATCTGCGACTTTAGTAGCTGGCTCCCTAAATTGGCCCCCAGTTATAAAAGCTCTGACAGCCACTGGTATGGTATAGCATATTATAACATCATGAGAATACTTGGATGTTCTGTAGCAAGTTGAAAAAGAAAAAAATGTGACAAAAGTAATTGTGGGGTATTTGGAAAAAAGGTAAAAATAAATTATAGTTTGGTATGTTGAAAAAAAGTCATAGTTTGTTGGAGAATTGGCATGTCATGTAAAAAAAGGTCATACAATAATATCTATATATAATATATCTAAATATATATTTTTTAATGTTTAATTTATTTTCAAAAAGAGGTCATAGTATAGCACGTATTGCTATACTATGAAAAGTATTAGAAAAGACAGCATATCAAACAAAACTAACAGTATATGTTATGAAAAAGTCACAAAAAGTCATAGTATAAGTTCTGATGAACTGCAGGTGATGAATTGGCGTCGTGGATGTTTTATCATCTTTAATTCAGCACATCGGTGGCCACCAGATGGCGCTCTTCAACACCGGCCACAGTTAATAATACTTTTGACATAATCCAGTCGGCACTTCTCACCCCCCCCCCCCCCTGCTTCAGATTGAGAGCCACAAGCTGAGTTTCCGCGAGAGCGCCAAGGCCCGCACTGACCACGGCGCTGAGATCGTGTCCCTGGAAGACTCCCCCCACCAGCTCAGCACCATGTCCTCCTCTGGCAGCATCAACATGGCCGACTCCCCGCAGCTCTCCACGCTGGCCGACCAGGTGTCCGCCTCTCTGGCCAAACAGGGCTTGTGAATGCACCTGCGCCCCCCCCCCCCCCTCAGAAAAAACACACCTCCACTTCCTCCACCTCAAACAAAACGACCACTTAGAGGAGTTGCGTCGCCTTCCTCCTTGTTTTCCACAGGACTTCTCAGCTACCCATCACTGTTTATCCTTCACTAACCGTTGAAGCTGTCCTGAGGCATTACTGGTAGAGAAGAACAGAGTAACATCCGCTGTGTTTTCATCTCTCTCTCTGGTATTTGAGCCCTTTATTTGATATTTCTACCTTTTGTAAGTGTCCCTTTAAGAGTTCAAATCACCCCAGCAGAGCCAAACTCTCCCTTTGAATCTGAGGATGTCCTCTCATGTCTCCTGTGGACCTGAGGATGTCCTTCTCATGTTTTCTGGTGAATCTGACGTCATTTAACACCTGGTTTCCCTTTTAGAAAATCATGTTCTAAATGTCCCCCGGTGTTTCTTTCAATGAAGCTGAGCTCCAGCAGTCAACAGGGTTGTTAAAGAGAAGAGTAGCATCGTTTTTCGTCAAGGCCGGAGGGGGGGAGGAAGATAAAGACCTCAGTGCTGTCTTTGCTTTGTGTAGTCTGGACCCCACGCAGGTTTGACCTGGATCTAAAAGAAAAAAGAAATTAAAAAAAGGGAACGACTAGAGTAGAAACTTTGATTTGTGTTGGGCACAGTTTTATAATCGTATTCTGTGGATATATGACATGTATTTGATATGAAGAAACATTTGTATTGTGCCTGCTACTGTCAGTGTTATTTTATTTTTTGTTACTGCTCAATTGTAAATGCGCTGAAGCTTCGGGGGGGAATTAACCTTTTTCTTTTGGCATTTAAAAAATATAACTCATGTCCAAATTAATAAGAAGGAATAGAGACCGTTTAATGGTTACAGTATTTAAACTGCGATATGCACATAAAAACTAGGTAGAATAATGTTCACCACCATTATGAAGTATTCCTATAGCGAGACTACGTAACTTTGAATAATCGTAAGGGAACAACCCGGCTAGCTAGCAAGCTAACTGGCACTTAATGTCAGCGACGGGGAGTGGTCTCACGTTAACGTTAAATCGTGGTGCAATTAGCGAGCTAAGTAAATTAGCCAGCTGCCCCGCTAGTAAGCTGGTATCCTGCGACCACGCTTTAATGCTACACTGTGAAGAACAGTAGCTCATGTGTTGATAGCAACGAGCTGTTCCTAGCGTGGGCGCTAGGATGGCACAATACACTTAACAGCTCGTTGTAGTCGCGGTTAGCCTGCTGCTGGGGCAACAATGGCAACGGTGCACGTAAAGATGGCCGCCTCTGACCATCCCGCCTCATCGAGTAGAGTGGGAATCTACTCACATGGTATTTCTATGCAGCAAAGAACACGTTTGCTAACATTAGCCACTGCTCATCAGTGTGTTGAACGAAGTGAAATATAACGCTTTTTGGATTTCGACTTTTAGTTTGTACTTCCTCTCACTAAAGCGACTTAGTCTCACTCTAATTGGTTGTAAAATAAACAAAAAAAAGTAGTATTTTAATGTACTTAACCTGAATGAATATTTCAGATGGATGATGACTGGTTGATTGGGCCAAGTCGATAGGAGGGGAACAACAACCAACAACCTGTGCAGCAAAGACGTCTTGCCCCCCATGACGCGTGTCTGAACCTGATTCAGCAGGTCACTTTTACCCAGTTCTCTGCTTCCTCACATGGCCTAAAGTGTGTGGACAAGAGCACACGTGTGTGCAAGCCACTCTCCTGTCCTCCGGCCAAGTAGTCAAGTTCACAGAAGATACTCTGAGGGAGTCAACACAACCACAGGAATCTGGAATTTTTTGTATTTGTTGAATGAAGCGAATACAACCAGCTGCTTTCCTCAATTTGTGACCCGTCAGAACTACATGTGCTGAAAAGCATCCTTGATTACCCTGGTGGCTCATTACTGTTACTCGCATTCATATGAGAAACTTCTTGCATGCACCTCATGTAAGTGAAGAGAGTCCGCTTGTCGCCTCCCCTTATCACAAAGTGGTCTTTGTGTACCCTCTCTTATCAACGCTTTCTGCATTTTGAAGACCGGCCAGTGGAAGACTTAAAAAAAAACAACAAAAAAACACGTCACTCACATTCGTCGCCGCAATAGAAGAAAAACTGTGAAGATGCTGCTTTAAATGGGCAGACGGTACTTCAGGGTGCGCATGTCATCCGCATGCCGAGTTCTTTTTTAGTAAGACCCCACTCATCTCCAGAGGGACGGGGGTCAAAGGTCAAAGTCATCTCAAGAGGTTCTCTGCAGTAAAACTCTCCACTTTTTTTTTTTATTTTGTTTTTGGGGTTAGGTCTGCCGCTGTATGGTCTGTGGAAATGTGATTGTTCTCGTTGTTGTGCATTTGATCAATAACTGGTTTATGATGATTCTTGTTGCTGTATATGTGTATTTCAAAATAAATGTTATGAAGCCACAGTCATCATGAAGGACTTTCACTGAACCACGCTGGAATTTGCACAATGAAATGTTTACACAAGTACACATATATCACTCACTCACTAAAAGTGAAATCAGGAGTGATTTCACACTGAAGGACTTGAGGCCAGAACAGCGACGCCAAGTTAAACATAAATGTTTTAATGGTACTATTTACAAAAAACAAAAACAAACAAATCTGCTTTTTGATTAGGTTAATTGCTGCAACAATCAAACAGGTACATTGACATCTTGCTTAAACTACGAAAACAAAAAACAGTGATTGAATGGCTGTGGCATAAAACGGAGGTGTCAAATGAAAACAACCAGTATTTTTTTGCATAGCAATTAGTTACTTACGGTGGTGTGTGGGGGCAGGGGGGGGGGGTTGAGGGGAGGAAGGGTGTGGTTATGACAAACACACACATACAAAAAAAAAAATCCATCTGGCAGGAGAGTAGTCTGGATATGACGGCATAACGGCAGAAAATATTCCCTTCAATTGAAAAACCTGAGCTCGGGAGGATGAGGGGCGGGCGGGGGGGCTTCCAGCTGAGGGCCGCTACATTTCAAATGTCTGCAGGACAACCAGACGGAAAAGGAAGTCTGGGGGCATTATCGTTTTCTTTTACCACAATTTAACTTAATAAAGTAACGACTGTAGGCTGACAGTGAATTAACTAGCGGATTGTTCAACCCCTCCCCTTCTCCCCTCCAGTGTCGATCTCTTCTTTTTTAAATAAGTGTATCGCTCGTTGTGATAAGACTAACATTAGCATGTTTTTGCAGCATGCAGCAGCGCTTTACTGTAGGGCAAGTGCTCAAAAGACGCCCCAGCTCTCTCTGTGTGTGCCACCACTCTTTAAAAAAATAAAACTGAAGAGGCAGAGCTGTGGACTAAGGAATGATTTTTACTATTTAAAAAAAAAAAGAAAACACAAAGAATGTGTTACAGACACAAAGACGTCAGGAATGAAAACAAAAGCAAACAGAACTTGGCAGTTGGAGAAGTGCTCTGGTGATTTCAGGCGACCTCTAGAGGGAGAAGAAGGGAACCACATCTCAAATGTACCTGTTTATTTGGACGAGGAGGAGCAGGAGGAGGAAGGGGTGGTATTTTTTCTTGTTTTGTAATTTGTCACTCCACTAAAAATGTACATGGGAATTACAAGCAAACTAGTCAATAGAAAACACCCTTTGGCCATATTTTGAGAAGTCCGCTACATAGTGCGCTACAAGTGTACACGCGACGTATGAAACACCACTAAGCCCCCATGTACATTGTTTAGCCTACTACAGAAAACATTTTTTTGTAATGTGTTGTTTTATACTTTTTTTTTACATTTATCCTTTTTTTCCTGTGACAAAACAAGTGTAAGGAAGGCTTCTATCTCCATAATGTTCACTAAAAACTGTGAAAAGTATTAGACTGATGTTTGAATATCAAACAACAGGAACCCATTTAATATTTTTATTCCGCTTTGAGGTTCTGCTTGTTAATGCCAGAGAGGAGCTGTGGGTGGAGGAGGGGGAGGCGGTGGTGATGGGGGGGACCTCAGCTTATCAGTCATTTATCGGTGGGCGGTGGAGGAGGCCTTGTGTTTGGTGCCGCTGTCGTCGTCAAAAGGCATCTCCATGTCGTCCGAATCTAGCCGCCCGAAGGCCGTTGCTCGGCAACCTGAGATGCTGCGCATTCTGGGCCTGACTTCGTCGCTCTCCGGCTCCGGGGCGGGGTCCTCCGGCAGGGGGAAGCCTCGCCGCTCCCACGGCGCCACCGTCTGCAAACACCAGACGCACGTTACAAAACCCGAAAAACACTGTCATTATCAACTATAGTTCTACAGCCATGACGGAGGCCCGTGCACCGAATCAACCGGGAAGTACCAGATTTCAGGCAGAATCTTTACAAAATACCGTAGTATGAATTTTTGGCGACGCCGCCCAGCGCTACATGACGGGTGGTGTAACGGAGCAATGTAGATCTGTACTAATACCCCCTGCGCTGCCCCTCACGTTTCACACACACACGTGTGACTCTGATTACATTGTTTATTGTTAACCATCACAGTATAATTCAAGTGTTCTAATGCAATATTCAATAAAATCATCATACTATCTCATCTGTGATCATTTGATCATTTTGACATTTTCCATAGTACTAACTACTACAATATGTAAATATTCCCTTATTGGCATTCTGAAGAAAAAATAAAAACTGCATCACTGCACTCGTTTCAATTCATGGTTCAAAAAGTCAAACTCAAAAAGTCTTGCGTGTGTTGCAGAGCAATTCACCGCCAGAACAACAGGTGGAGTAAACGTTTTTTGTCGAAGACGACCTAGAGAGTCACGTCTTTGTGTGTGAAAGCCGTTTATTTATTTATCAGACTTTATTGCCCCGTGCATCGCCACTGCGCCTTTTTTCCGCAGACATATTTTCCCGTATTTTCCTCCACAACTTTGTTCCCCTCGACCGGCAAACCTCCATGAATCGGAGGCCAACCGCGCGTCCTTATAGTCCGCCAATGACGGGTTGTAGAAGGGGTCATATTTACGCATTTCTTCCGACCAAAGCTCTTCAATCTGATTCATTTTCTCGTAAAAAATCTTTGTTTTAATAATGGCGGTATTGTGCTATGAAACCGAAAATATGATACGTGATGTGAAATGTGTTGGGTCTGCGTGTCCTTGCGTCTTTAACAGTATTATCGTGTGATATCAGATGTTTCCATTGGTGTCTCAAAGGATACATGTACATAAGAGGTTCCTGAGCTCTGTCGGTACACAAACTCTGCTGACAGCTGACGTTTATTTGTGGACTTCAGGCTCCAGAAGAGACAGAACTCATCCTCACTTCCTGCGTAGTCTAACGAGAACGTACCCTCTCCTCAAAGGTGAAGTCGGGCGTGGAGCAGCGCGTGTCCTCACTGGACAGCAGCCGGTGCGAGTCCCTGGAGCAGGGCGTGTGGGGGTTGGAGGCGGTGTCGGGGCTGGGCGGGCTCATGGGCGACGGCAGGTGGCTGTAGTCGTGGAGCAGAGGGCAGTGGCCCGGGTCGGGGGATGCCGGCTGAGGGGTGGGGGGGTTGGTCCCGCACAGCAGTGGCGTGGTGCGTCCGTCCACAGACTTATACGACCTGTGGAGGGAGGCGAGAGACATTACATAAAAAGAAAATAGAAAACGGCTATGTGGCCGTGTGGTTGTCATGGTGACGTTAACGGACCTGCTGCCCCGCCTATTAGCAGGAGCCAGGGCCATCCAGGTCCAGCGGGATCGCTCCTGGTCCTCATAGGGCTGGTGGAGCTCAGTGAAGGCCGCATCCGTCAGGTCCTCCACCTACAGAAGCACAGAGCACCGTCAAGACCGTTAAACGCGCCACTTCAGGCAACTTCTTCATCAAGTCACTGAATATTATTAGCTACAATAGCTATTAATTTCAACCAGAGCGCGAGAGGAGGATGAACTAGACTCACAGCTTCTGCTTCCAGTCACTTACATCACAGTCAATGTAGATTATTAAATCAAAGATTTGAGATTCCATTTGATCTACTACAGAGAATTAACCTTGAGGGAGTTGGAGCTTTGACCACTAGATGTCCCCATTCACTCCAAACCAGCCAGTTCACGTTTTAAAGTTATTGTGTTTGACAAAGTGGATGAAAGACATCAAAATGTCTCATCAATGTGGATCCTAACGAAGGAGAAAAGTCCTCGCTCACCTCCCGCTCGTCCTCCTCCTCGGTGATGTGCTGACAGAAGATGTCCACTGATCGCCACCTGCACACAAAACACAAACATGAGGGAACACCAAACCTTTAGAATATAAACAGAAGGACTCCAAGCACTCAGACCCGGTGCACTCACCTGGGTGTGAGGATCTCTTTGTACTGCAGCTTCTCCACCCGGGTGGTGGCGGCCACAGACATGGGGATCACAATGTTGTTGATGTCGAAGGAGCTTTCACCTCGCCTCCTCTTGATGGGCTGCTGCTGGGGGCGGGAGAGACAAAAAATGAGCTCCGATTAGGGTTCAGGGTTTCATCTCTGAGACGGTTCCATCAATGAAATCATCGTCACTCATTATTCATCAGTGAGTATTGGCTGTTCTAATACCAAAGTTTCCATTTATTGATCTGGATAATTGACCTAAAAATGATGGAATTGGAACGTTCTAAGCTCAATGGTAGGTTGTTAATGCAGATGAATTAATCGTAGCCGAGATGGTGTCAGACAGCTGCTCGTGTTGTGACTGGAGTGTTTCATAAATAACAAAGATTGTTGAAACACTCGCGTTTCTCTGCTTCACTAAAAAAAAAAAAAAAAAAAATAATAATAATTAAATTTACAACATTATTTTTCAATAACTCGTAGGATAGAAAAGTATTACATTCTATTTTTTATATTTATTGTCTAACGGATAAAAGGGGCTCCTTTCATGTGGAAATCCAGTCAGTGTAGATGGTAAATGAGGTCGAGCTCACAGCTGCATAACCTGTCCTTGTTCCACCCGCTGACGTAGTTGGAGGCAAGAAGAACTACAAACTATTTCATCTTAGACAAAAGGTTAAAATCAGAACTTCCCCGTTCCCTCAGCCTTAAATATTCACCCCAGAATGTGAGTGCAGAGGATTATTTGGAGGAGATTGCATTGTGGAGAGGCTTTACTGCATCAGATGTTCAGCCATATTTATTCCAGCTTAATAATGCTGTGAAAAGAGGCGGAGTCCTAGAACATGGAGGCTTTCTGGGTCAGCGCAACATAAACACACTGACTGGACATCCACATGTAGGGAACCCATTCTTTTCTTCAGCACACTAATATCCGGACGGGTCAGAACAACAGTGTGGTCCTTTAGAGGCGGTGCTTTAAAAGAAGCTAACTGACAACCGCAAGGTTAAATTTGAACCCCCGACAGTCTCGAGTCCCCGTCCATCGTCATGTAGCTCGGGTTTCCTTACAGGTGTGCTCTGGATGCTCTGGCCCAGTGGCGTGGAGTTCTCTGAAGACGTGGACAGCTGGCGTGTGAGGGGGCTGTGGAGGGACGGGTGCATGTTGGCCAGCATGGGACAGGGGCCGCTGGAGTCCATGAAAAGTTTAGGGGAGGCTGGAGGACGGGAGACAGACAGATTTGTTGTCGTTTTTTAGGATTGGTCTCCTCGAGGCCACACAAACCCCATGACAACACAACGTGTGTGACTCACTGTCGGCCCTGTCCAGCGAGTGCTCTCTCAATCTTTTACGGCCGTAGTTCTTGTCGTAGGGCCCTAGCGGCGTGGAGAGGCCCTGCAGCCGCTCCGTCTTGCACACGGCTTGGCCCTCGACCCGGGCCGCGTTCAGAGCACCGCCGCCGCCCACGCTGCTGTCCACCGTCCTCGGCTTCTCAGCGCGGTTCTTATAGTGGCCCAATCCTGCAACGCCAGCAACCAGTCACACATCATCATTAGACCAGGAGTTGATGAAGGGGGTTTTCAAGGCAACGAGTTAAAAGATTTTAGATAAGAAGTTCAACGGTTGTCTTATGAGATTCACCTTGCGGAGTATGAATTGTGTGAGATTAAAATAAAATAAAAAATTGCAACGTTGTAACAAAAAGCACAGCGTGAAAGAAAAATCACAGCTGGGAGAAATGCCATTGTGAAACAAGAAGTGCTGGACTAAAATAACAACGACCTTCGATAAACTGCAGCAGGAAGAAAAAACATTTTGTCACAATGACCCAAATCCTGAGAATGTATTCATACGATTATTTTAAACATGGAACAGTTTCCATTCTTGTCACATAACATCCTGTGCAGCACTCGTACTTACTGACTGCCATGAGCGAGTTGGTGAACTTGTGCTTCTCTTTGGACGAGGACAGCTTGTGTTTGAGGGAGAGCTTCTTCAGGGGTTTGCTCCTCTCCAAAGACTTGGCCTGCCACTGGCTCTTCATCACCTGCTGCAGACGAAGGCCAATACAAACATCTGAGGAGGAAGGAGACAAAAGACAGTGCAACAGTCAATTAAAAAAAAAAACATGCCACGTTTCCATTTTTCCTTCGTCAGTACAGAGAGGCCTTGCTTTGTGTGGAGGGAAGACAATATGGCCTTGAAGAATACTGAAAGGATCCACAGAAGACAACGCGCATTCAGGGGGAATATGACACCAGTCGATTTAGTTCCCCAAGAAGAACTTCCTGTCAAGGAGTCTCCTCCCTCGTCCCCCGTGGAAGAAAAGAAGGAAACGAGTGCGTGAACTGACCATCGGGGAAGGAGAGGATGGGGTGGACGCCAAGATCCAGTCTCGACAGGCGCTCCAGGGTGGGCTGCTCGTACTGGGGGTCCTCTCTGGCGGTGGGCCAGCCACCGCACATCACACAGCTGGGGTTCACCCGGCAGTTACACTGGACACAGCTGCTCCTCTGGGCCTGTGGGAGAGGACACGGAACCACGTGAAGCTGTGGACAGTCACAATGAGCTGTGCACGTCCAAATCTCTTAATGCACCACAGGATTCAAGCAAGTCACAAGGAAAAACCTTTCACTGTGTGGAAATATAGTACAAATGGTACTAATGGCAGCTCTTCTTGTGGGCCAAACTAACAGAACATTTAGTCCTATTAGCATAAATAATTCAACTGGGATTTGGACTAATTAATTGATTTATCAAAATGCAAAAAGAAACCAATTAGTCTCCCCTCAAACCAAACATTTTTACCCGCTGATAATCAGATCGGTGAAGAACACTTCATTATCTGTCCATTGTCTCACTGTCTGATGTAATGCACCTCTGCCAAGTCAAATTCCTCATATGTCGAACATATTTTGGCAATAAATGTTCCCGATTCACACAAAACAGAGTGAAACCCATCAAACTCATTCTATTTGATCTTTTCCATTGTTCATTCGTGAGCTGAAAAGGTTGAGAAGTGGTTCTCAATCCTTTTTGTCACAATCCACTTTGGAGGAAGAAAAATGTTCTCGCCACAACAAAATGGTACAAGATAAAATATTGTGACTATTCGATGCTTTTTTCAAAATGATAAATTGCAATCCCTTTCAAGTTAACAAGATTCAGAAAAAAGGTAAAGTACAACGAACAATGAAAATAAAGTTCTCTGCAAAAAATATATTTGGGAGAAAGTGGTTTACTGTGGGTGTAATTAACCTCTTAAATTTAACAATAAGGTGCAACCTGTGGAGAACTAAACAAAATTGCAAATATGTATAAGTCATCTTATACTGATAAAACAAGGTTTATCCGTATTAATGGCTCCAATGAGCCTGCTTTTTCACCACAACTCGTTTGGTTGCAGACTTGATTCATGCTTAATGTTGAGCTTGGATCTGTATTTAGGTTTGAAAGGGGAAACAGCAGCCTGTACTTTTCACTTTTGTTATATGGGAAATTCTAAATAAAGTTCCTTCAATTCAGAATTTCCCCATGGGACTGAGCTGTAATACCACAGCGACCCACCAGAGGGTTGAGTCCCACAGCTTCAGAGGACGACTATTAATGTAATAAACCCCAAAATACCAGTTTTCCATTTTTGATGCATTCAGAAAAGGCTTTTTTCTCCCGTGTCATCTAATCTCGTTCTATTGTAATCAGGGAGTTGGTTTCCCAGGTCATGTCGTCAGTTGTTCATACTAGGCTGTTTATCATGTTTTCAACAAACCAAAGACCTAAAGTTGCCAAAACATGTTGGCTCTTTATTATTTAAATAAAGACCAATTTAATATTTCTTTCCTCGTTGTATTTTTTTAGGTTTTGAAGCTCCTTGACTCATTTCCTGTTTATCCTGTTGTTTCTTTTGGCACCAGATACTTTTTATCCACAGCGTAACCAATTTCTAAGTGTTAAGCCTTGTAAATGGTACAGACAGAAGCAGTAAACACTTCCTTTTCCTTTCAACTGCGCAACAGATGAAAAGTGGGAGTGAATATTCCACTTCTGAACGAGAGATCTCGTTGCATTACGTTTCAAAGGAACTCTCCCTCTGAGTGCTGAGCCAGTGTGTGCGTGAGGGAGGGGAGGGAGGAGAGCCTGAACAATCGGCTCCATGTTTCTATTTTCCGCGGCTAGAACTTGTGAGTCGTCACAAGGGTTATTTCCCTTCTTTGTTGTTTGTCCCAGTTTCTAACGTCGGTCTGCGGTTTACTCGTTAGGTTACAAACAAAGAAACTAATGAGCCAGTGACGCCTGGAACATGAAATAAAAAACAAACAAACGCGGAGCCCTTCAACGTGGACCTCGGGCCGACCACAGCAGGACGTGGCGCTCACCTTGCCGTTGAGGTTGGGCACGCCGCTGGGCTGAATGAGCCGTCTCCGTCGGCAGCTCACCAGCGGCCTCGTGCGCGAGGCCGTGCACGTGCTGTCGTAGGCCGACGGCTGCTGGTGCTTGGCGTCGCCCCCCTCCGCCATCCTGTCACAAACCAAAGGGAGCACAGTGAGGTCACGGGCGTCTGACCTTCAAGACGACACAAACACATTTTGTCTCAAGTGACAACCAAGTTAATTAAATACATCAGTATGAATCGGTTCGTTTTGGTTAGTTGAGATGAATTAGACACCGACGGTTATCCAATATGCTTTTCTTTTTTTGCATGTCAGCATCTAGATAAGGTGTGAATTAGTAATGTATTGCCAATTTCGTCACAACTTAATCTCAGTAGCGAGTGACATTAGGCCTGCAACTTCTGATGATTGTCATCGATTGGTCTGCCAATAATTTCTGTGATCAGTTAAAATGTTATATTTACAACAGCTTCATTGAAATGCTTTAAAGACATTTAGCTTCACATCATATATGAAAAAGAAAAGAAGGTAGATCGAGTAAACATGTAGCAATAATGATTAAAACAACCCGTCATTCGATAACACTTCTGTAATAAGTGCGAGTCAGAAAGCAGGTTCCCTTCTTGGGAAAAGCCAACACACGGCCGTTGGGGTCATTTTTATCAGCTGTACCTGCTGAGGACTCCGTTAACCGGCTGTGTGTTTTGACCTTTCCACGGGCCGGGCTCTGTGTTGGGGAGGTGGGCGGCGCCCGTGTGCTCCAGCCGCTCTGAACCAACATCCTGCATCGACAGATAAGACAAAGCCAGTGAGACTACACCTCGCGCCAACAGGCCGACCAGCAGCGCTTAGGAGACGCGCGGGACATTCGGGGAAGCTACAGAAAAGACGGAGCCAGCCCCCCCCGCCTCTGTGGCCGTGGGTTAGTCGGGCCAATTTGACCCAAAGCAAAAAATAAAGAGACGCATGGAGAAACTCCATCTCCAGCTTTCACACAAAGATGAAAAATATTTCATAGTTTCAATCGAACTTCAGAACTGTCCTCACAAGTTACAGGTCTGATTATGGTATTCCAAACTACAGCCCCTCATTAACAGCTGTTACAGCAGATTATCCTTTGTTTGATACCAGTATCCTCAGCAAAGACACAATCATGATGAAAACACAGTTGTCCACCAGGATTAGAGGCCACACCTGCACTCGTACCAGATTAACAAACATTTTCACCAACAGAAACAGGCTCATCCTGTAATATAACATTTGGTAATTATCTGAATATGAATTGAAGAAGCTTATTACACAAAAGCCAACATCTGATTCATTGTGGATGACATGGATAGAAAGTAAACATTTGTTGTCCACCAGATGCTTTGCTGGGCAAGAACAGGTTGATAGTCAGATATCTATAAAAAAACGCTCAGATTATTAAAAGTGCTGAGAGAAAGTAGGTTTAAACAAATGTATGCAGAGAACATTTACATATTGAAAAATAGATTTCTCTAAGTATTATTGTTTTTCACACGTCAGTGTTGTTTTTATGAGCATGTTTGAAGCTTTGGATTTCCGTCAGCCTTAGTTGCATCATTACCACAATGCATCACCCAAGAAAACGACAATCAAATTCATACCTTTCTGCCCCAACGATCACAATAAACATGAGATCTCTGACCAGGAAGTAGAAATAGCTGAATACTCAATAAGAGACTTTACGCTGGAAATGCATCTCTACTGACAAGCTGTCACAAATTAATTTGGTTTAGCCCCAAGAGACAGAACATGACTGAAGCAACAGTCCTCCGTTAACGCCCTCCTTCACATACCTGAGCGTTTGCAGGCTCCGCCTTCACTGCGGTCCCACAGGCAGCTCCTCCGCTGGGGGAGCCGCCTCCCAGCTCCACAGAGCCCTGAAGGATCAAGACCTGATGGTTACACTTTCACCACATAGAGCTCACCACACCACAAAAGCTCAGACATTCTCACACACACACACACACGCACACGCACACACACGCACACGCACACGCACCTTGCTGGCACGGATCTGTCTGTAGATGTCCGTCTGCTGTCGAATGCGGTACTCCAGGTCCGAGATGTGTGCCTGCAGCCAGTTCCAGTGGCTGATGATGGCGGCTCTCTCCACGGTGTAACGGCTCTCTGCTCGCTTAAATCTGGGGGGTCAAAAGGTGAGGGTGATTGCTTGTTTGAAGAAAGAAATAAGTAACTTGCTGCAGTTTTAAACAGAGGATCAGAATGGGGAACAACGGGGATTTTGGTGACTTTGAACGTGGCGTGGTTGTTGGTGCCAGACGGGCTGTTCTGAGTACGTCACAAACTGCTGATCTACTGGGATTTTTACACACAACCAATTCCAGAAAATATCCAGTGAGCGGCAGTTGATGTGAGAGGTCAGAAGAGAATGGGGAGATTGGGTTGAAATGATAGAAAGGAAACGGTAACTCAAATAACCACTCGTTACAGAATTATATTATATACACACGCACACTAATATATATATATAAATTGTAAATTGATTAAACTGATTTGGGGGTTTTGGATCTTTGTCAAATTAAACAAGGAGACATTTTCACTATCTTGGTCTTCTATTTTATAAAAAATGATCTAAAAAATATAGAACATTTAGCTCCATTGAGTTGTAAAGTATTTGCGTTGAAGGCCTGTTACGTCATGACGCACCATTTCAAACATGATGCATTTGAATGGAGCACTCCAAACTGATTATTTAGAGCTCATTATCTGGCAAGTATCCGAGCAGTTCCCCCATCAGACCGCAGAGGTCAGTGAATCAGCATTACACAAAGCTCCCAGCAAAGGCAACTGCAGGCTCCCTGGAAAATCCTCATCAAACGAACAACACCACAAGGGATTGCATCACAAGTGCGGGAAGAATATCGAAAAAATGTGGGATTTTCATTGCACTACATTCCTCCATGGCAAACAGCGGGTGCCAGCTGGGAGCCGAGTACTCCATTTTACCAGTATGACACGCAGAATGGGCATTTCAAAGGCAGACACGAGAGGAAAATGTCTGCTCTTGCACGGCACAGCAGCAACCACAGAGGGCGCCGTTTCCCCAAAATGCCAGCTGCAGCCAACAAAGGCTGAACAATGAAGAGAAAAAAAATGACTCAGATGGCAGACAAAGATAGACCTTGCACTGCTTTGCGCTTTCTCCACCCCACACCCGTCTCTGTTTTCAATTTACAGAGCAGGATGGAGGAAGTGGAGAAAACACTACTGCTGCGGGAGGGAGAGGAGATGGGGTGGGGAGGAGGAAGAGTTAAAAAGAGGGACAAGGAGTGGGAAAGCTCTGGCAGCCTGAAGAGGAACAGCCGGGCTTTAGAAGCAATCTACAGGCCACAGGGTGGGGGCTGTTCAGGGGACAGTGCGGCAGATACTGGGATAACCAATAATTCAAGCAGGAATCCTGTCTACTGTGGATCCGAGCGGAAGGAAGGACACGAGAGGCTTCAATGCACACGTTAGCCGCCAATCAGCGCAATGACAGGCGCCGCCTCCTCCTCGACAGCGAGCGGCAACGCGGCTCATCGGCTGCGATGCGGCTCCAAGGATACCACAGCAAACGCAGCGGCAGCTGCACCTACTCTCAACACCTCAACCCTGCACGGGTAAACAAGCACGTACTTCCCTCACGCACAGCAACGCTACCAACACGCCCACAGCTGGTGCATCGGATCAATGCACTGGAAATGCATTAATTTGCACCCCCTGGGTCCCCTGTGGAGAACTCTTTTCAAAACAACACTGGTGGTGGAAGGGGAGAGTGTCACACGATTTCCTGACAAGTTGGTGCTTTGCCTTTGTGCCATGATTCACCCAGTGATGGAGGACAGCTGATCTACCAAAGGGAGAGCACTCTCAAGGACACAAACTCTGACATGGAAGATGTCCCGGTATGCATTGTTCTGCTCACAAACTCAAGTAGGTCCATCAAAGAAAGTCACACGAGAGAGAAAACAGGGCCAGGTGGTGGAAAATAACCAAGTACATTTACTGTGTGTACAGTAAATGTACTTATTTACTGTGTGTACAGTAAATGTACTTATTTACTGTGTGTACAGTAAATGTACTTGCTAAACTTAAAAGGAGTTTTGAGGTACTTCCATAATTACAGCAAATATTGTGCTTTATTTAACAACTTAGTAGTAGTTAGTCAATGCAGTCAGATTAATAAAACAATCTAAATAGATTTATACTGATAGTAGTTGCTCAGCAGAATATCAAGAAATATACAGGATACAATTTAAAAAAGTAGAATATAGTCTTACATTTATCAGGATGAAGAAATTATCAAAAAATTGAATGATCCAATTATATTCATTGTTCTTACTATTAGTATATTTTGAGGCAAATCCTCAAAAAAGCTGCTGCTGTTTGTAGCCCCCCCCGGCGTGGACATGGATCTTTTCAATGTGTGACTAAAAAAGGCTGAGTTGCAGGGAGAAATAAGCAGAATTAGGGTTGAAGTGGAACATTGAGCGGGGTGGAGGCCTCGGGGCTACATCATGTGGGCGGATTTAGACTACACATACCAGGTGAAAGAGGTTTAGTAAAACATAAAACACATGGAGACCACTACAGTGCAGTTGCCTCAATCGCCATATTAATGGAGGAGGAGGGGTCATTTAGCGGCATTGAGAAACACACACACACACACACACACACCTCCTTCAACCCCCCGCCCCCTAACCAGGACACGTCCCCCCCCCCCGCACACAAAGCACCGGCGGCAAATCAGTACAGCTTTTGTTTTGTGCTCGTCAGCACATTCTCCATTGTGGTGGATCTGGATGAAGCATGTATGTTATACGGAGATTCCATGTACCACACTCCGCCCGCCAAAACCAACACCACAAAAAGGCCTCCGAGGCCAGCCGACCCGCCGACCTTTCCCCCGGATATTCACCATCAACAGGGGAACCGCCAACAGAACCAGTAAACGGTGCATTTCAAATCACAGCTCTTTTCACGGTGAAGCAAAGGCACAAGAATCATTTCCATCAGCATTTACGCACCACATCTAGTGCCCCGATGTCTGCCCTTAACTGAGGGTTAAAACTGGAATACTCTCGGCACGCAGAGTAAACACACAGCTTTTTGAGTACATGCTGAGCAGAGCTTGTAAATACAAGTCTGCTGTATAATGGAGGTAAAAGTAGTCAGAAAAAAGGGCTCCAACAAACATTATCCCTCATCAAACAATCCAACAAAAAGACATTTAGCTTGTAAAAGGTGCAGCTCTGCCACAGCAGTGCTGGAGTGAAATTTGACCTTTGTTTAATTAATATCTACAGACAATTGATCAAGTTGAAAGCAAAAAGAAATCTTTAGAAAGTTACAGAAAAGTTTCCTGTAATAACCATGCACGCCGATAATAAATATCAATGAGCATAGACCACCGTGAATGTCAATGAGATGTAAGTGCAGCTTGTGTTTGTCCCACTTTCATTGTTTCATCAAGGTTCGGTGTTATTAATGATATTGATTGGAAACAGGATATTATAGTCCATATTCTGTGCAGGCTGGCAATAAAGAGAGGGTACGAGTCTCCAAGACCCAAATCATCTTGCAACAATAGCTCAAACAAAGACCACAAAGTCAAGCTGTAATGCCAGATATATTATCTAAAAGCAGTTGGTGGGTGTGCGACTAAACTGGATTTGGGTTTAATTTGAGGCATGGCACATGGTTTAGTTACATAGATTATGAGGGACCCTTTGTATGAGGATTAACAACAATCAATAAGAACTCCAATCAGGGGTGAAAAGGACTTGGCACATCTCATTTTTTTCCATGAACATTATGGAGGCAACGAGTGACTCCATAACTCCCACTTCATCACCCATGTATACATTTTGAAACCAGAGATCCGTGTACAAAAACCCGCCACAGGAACAGGGTTAGGAGAGGTAAAGCAAAACAAAGGCCCGCTCACGTTCCACTGTTCCCTAGGAAACCGAAAATAAAACCACTTTGCAGTGTGTGTGCTCCACAAACCATGCTGTTATAATTCATGAAGGGAATTAAAAGCGCTAGTTGTCACTTTAAATTCTCTGTTCTCTACAATAGAGGATTTTCAAAAGCGCACCAAAAGAGCAGATAACCACCCAGCCACCGAAACCGGTTGCTGGTCAAACTGATCCATGACAGGACGAAAACTGCTCAAAAGCCGGGTTTGTCGAGCGAGGCGGGCCGATAGGGTGTGGGGCAGGAAAAACTAAAGGGTGAATTCAGCCTGAGAGCTGCAGCAGACATTACATAAAAGGGGGAGGGGGGGCTTACGTAACGCCTGTGGGTTTGTGTTGAGGAACTTCGGCCGAGCTAAAACGCATCCATATGTGTCAAACGGGACAGACGTATCCAGGCACACACACATGCTCACAGCGAAGCCATTCAGACTGCAGAGTAATGCTGAGCCATAGCACGAAAGGCATGCTGTGGTCTCGGCTAACCCGGTCTCCCAGATTCACAAGGCAGCAGGCTGACCGGCGTTTATACGGTAACACAGACTCTGCCCATCCAGCTATGGGTTTATCATCAGACAAGACAGAAAGCCTGCAAACCGCGGTGCATTTTAGTGCTGCTTGGATAACAGGATTCCCGCAGTTTTTTCTGTCTGAGCCATTACGTAAGCTTAGATTTCCTGATGGGTATTGCCTTTGCCTTATTGCTCCATGTAACATGTCTAGGTGACTTCATAAAGCATTCACTGCCTCTTGCAGCTCGTGCAAAAGCAGATTGAAACCAGCAGGCCCCCCTCCCCCCTTCCCCCTCTACTACTCCCCCGCAGGAGGCTATTGAGTCAGGTTCACAGACGGGCTCCAATGCTACAGCAGAAAGGCCCTGTGGCACAAGTGCCACAACAGATGTTGGCAGGCCACCCAATCTTCTGAGATACTGGAAACCACGTCTAGAGCGCGGCCGGGATGACGGGATTAGTCGGAAGCAACACGCCTCATCCAAACAGGCAACCAAAAATGGGTTGCTTTCCACAGCGTTGCCAACTCAGCCGATGTTAAATAATATATGCGCTGCTGCCTGAAGACCACGTTTCAGTGACTCCTATAGAGTTGTAAGCTGATTGCTAACAAAATGTCAGTTTTGAAAATGGGGCATTGTGGTTACATACTCCTCAACTTTGTGAAAGACTAACATCTTTACAATGAGGCAGTGTTGCTGTCAAGCTGTTCTTTCCCCCCAGCAGTTGGCTCGGCAATCTCGAGTAACCACGACTGGACAATATGAAAATAGAAAGGACGGCCCTGCCCTAGTAAAAACAAATCCACAGACAATGAAAGCTTCCACACAGGGACGAGTTCTACACACTGTTGCTAACGCAGTGACTGATGTGGCAAGAAGCTGTACCTGCTTCAAAATAAGAACCCATATAATGGCTGGCTGTCATGGCAACACAAGGACAAGATGCGTCATGTTTGCTGGAACTGAAGATAAACTAAGAAGAGGGAGAATTTTTTTTGTTTATAAACAGTAATTTGTCCGGTTTATTTTAGGCCATCACAGGATGTTGGTCGAGATTAGAGGAAAAACACAGGGATGACAGTGACGAGTTGGGCGGGAGTCGTGTTACTATTGTACCAAGGTTGCTCCTGTACTCCTGCTGATAAATCTGCATAATACCTCAATGGCTTTCAGATGGTTTCTCAGGCACGGAACTACATCTAGGAACCTCTAACAGTTTAAAAGGCAACCACAAACATGATTCACTTAGCAAACAACCAAAGCTGTTTGAGTATAAACACAAAGGGAAAAAAAGAACAGCCACAACGTACGATATATTTATCTGTGCTGAATGATGACGGGTGAAATCCTCCAACTGACCATAAATACATATCCCATTCAGACACACATTAAAGGCGGATAATTGATGCAGCCTTTAACCATGACTTACTATGGAATTAATATTTGAGGTTTAAATATCAAAATACTTTTGGTTCAAGCCAAAGGGTTTTTTAAATAGCCCTTTCATCCAAACACATTGCTAATTTAATGAGAATATTTCATTTGGAATATTGCCATTTCCAGTTTCAAACATGACACCAATATGGCTGATGACCAACAAAATTATCCTAAAAGATGTTTATAAATGTGGAAAGAACCTCCAACTTCCAAGGATCAAACTGCCCACATATATTATATTACAAAGAAATAGCTAGATAATGTATATAATATAACATTGAATATTGGAAATCAACCACTCATAAATAATAAATAATGGATAGACTAACTAGGTTGATAAATTACACAACATAAAATAAAGGGAAACCGTTTATCTTTTAAGAATGATTAATGTGGATGTAAATGATAAATAAAATAAACATTAAATAATATCAAAACATCCTTCACGGAGATTTTATTTAAATATAGTCTTGCTATTTTGTTATTGGCTAAAAGGCCTTTATTGCCTCTATGTATAATTTTATGACTTAACAACATAACACGTACATCAAAGTGGAATGTTGTGAAATGACTTATGCCATGAGAGAGTACACTGACCAGCTGCCAGGCCAACACGTCTTAAACATAAGATTCCTTCTACATAATCACTTCTATATCGTAACAATATTTAACATTATACTATTATTAAATAACTAATTTGGCCATTTTCTATTTGTAACAGTAGTATAAGGAGTAGTTTAGTAATGACTCAATTCACAACTATTATGAATGATACATATGATATAGTTATATTCGTGATGACACAATGACCCTCACTCTTGCTAAAAGCTCATTATCCATAAATGCTGCTCTTTGTCCACTCTCCTCGAAAAAAATCATACATTATCTACACCGTTGGATACAGACACAGTACGAATACATTACAACTATTTTTCTACTTTGGGACCATGCATGCCACACACACACACACACACACACACATATACACACACAAGCGCGCAAACCTGACATCACAACAATCAGCGAGCAAAATACAGAAAAAAAAACAAAAAATATTTGATAAAATCAAAATATTCATCGGCTCTGTGGGCGCTCGCTTGTTCGCTCTGCAGAGAAACAGAGCGTTCAGTTTCAGCCTGAGTCCCACTCAGGAGGAAGCACTGTGTTTCATGTGAGAGCTTTTTTACAGTCAAATCAAACCTGTGCCTTTTCCACGGGTCAGTACCACCCACACGACTGCACAGGCTCTCTGGGCAAATGCTATCTCTTCCCCTCCCTGGAGTTTGACCCAACCACTACCGAAGCAGTTAGTGTTGCAGGGCACAGAAATACAGGGACTTTCACAGGGCAGTTCAAGAGCACCATGGAAATAAGTAAGATATAAATGCTGCCTCCCACCATTCACCTGGAGCCTAAGCAGTGAATTCTCAGCACCGCATTGTGTGTGACGCTCTAAAAAAGCTCGAGGTCCCAGTGGAAAAAGGGACAGATTTACTTACATTTTGACATGTCGCTGCTCAATGTCAACTCTGGTCAGCTCCTCCTCCTCCAGGTCGGAGTCCCCTCCAGAGCTACTCTCTGTCACATCGGAGTCAAAGGCGCTTTCTGCAGAGTGGAGGTTAGCCGAGCCGCTCAGATACAGCCTCTCCAGCTCCAGGGGCATGGAGCCGCTTTTCAGGAAGCGACCGAGGCCGTCCCTGCTGTTGGAGGAAGAGTGACGCCCGGTCCTCCATGTAGCGGTAGGGGTTGCCGTCTCCGACTTGCGGTTGCTGACCAGAAGCCGGTTGAGAGCTGAGTCCAAGAAGCCCCCAAGCTGCTGTTGGATGTGCCGCTCCACCTGCTTGGCCTGCACAACCTGGAGGCGTTTGCGCAGGCGCCGAAGCCGGCTTTCGATCTCTGATTGGCGGCTGCTGTTAAGAAGGGTGCGCTCCTTTACGTGAGCGTCAAGGCTGTCCGAGGAAGAGGTACAGGGTACAGGAGGCTGCGGTGCAAGTGTGCAAGGCGGGGAGCCCTGCTGACTGCTACCGGGTCTCTCCCTATCAAAACCCTGTGGCTGACCGGTAGTCATGTGTGAATCAGCCTCCTCCAAATTCACTTGTTCGGTGGAGTTAGGGTTGTCGTGAGTGTAGGGGAAAAGTGAATTAGGCTGGAGCACTGGTAGTTCAAGGTTTTTACCGTCTGTATTTTGAGAAACCCCAGAAGAATGCTTCTGTTTAAGGGTCCCTTTCGCCGGGATATGCCCCGATAAGGTAGCCGCCAAGGTCCCAGAACCCAAGGGCAGGTTCTGAGACTGGGAGTCTGTGGACTGCTTGTCGCCATTCACCGCCACCACACAGCCGGGGCCGGACATGGTGGCGAGCTTCTTGGCCAGCCCGTTGACCGGTGCCATGGGCTGGTCACCTCCGTTAGTGCTGCCACTCATGAGGCCTTTGAGCTGACCACCAGACAGTTCGATAGCCTGCCTCTTCCTCAACAGGAAGTCTCCTCCGCCGTTGAGCACTGCGCTGGGCAGTATTCTGTGGTTCTTTAACACAGACTGTTTGATAAAGACTCCTTGCAACTTGAGTGACTCCTTAGTTGAGGGCACAGGTATCACATCAGAGTATCGGTAAGAGGCTACAAGTGGCTGGAGCTTTCCAAGGGCCGAGGCCTGAGCCACAGAGTCGGCTTGGGGCTGTTGTTGTTGCTGCTGCTGCTGTTGTTGTTGTTGTTGTTCCTGGTCTACGACGCAGAAGTCAAGCGGGCAATCTTCGGGCGCGGTCTTGCACTTAGCTGGGCCGCTGCTGTGGATGAGGATGTTGCTGGCGTTACCGTTGTTCTCTGCACTGGCCGGTGAGAGACTTGAGGATGGGGGAGCCAGTTTGAAGCGGATGTGGTGAGCTTCGGCTGGGGCATCGGTGAGAGCGGGCGCCATCGCAGCCATGCAGTGCAGAGGGACGGGCACCGCGGCCTGCTCCACACCACCCGCTTACTGCCCCACCGGAGGACAGCCTGGACAGGGTGAAGACAAAATAAAGAAGGGCAGAGAGGGGAGACAACGAATCCAATTAAATGATTTACTTGCAGAAACTGATATACATACATATTTTTTTAAGAACACTATGTCAAAGTCTGATCCCTGATGGGGGAGAGGCTGTTGGGTGGAGATGTTTTCCCATCAACAATTTTCAGGCAACATTCAAAACCGTGAACCAAAACCACAGAGTGTAAACAACCATACGGACACCTACAACATGTTTAAATATTGATTCAATACTGAACGCGGCAGCTCTCCCAGAGTTTTATTTGTATTAGTGCACTCAGAATTATTTAAAAGGCCATGACGTCAAGTCAGTCAACTGCACAGCCTAAACAGTTATAGGAAATGCTGAAATGAGAGAGCTTTTAAGTCACGGGGTCACGAGTGTTGGTTTAATAGTGGGGGGAAACATTTTGTTTAAGCAGCAACTATGTTGTATGTATGTATGTGTATATATTCTATAATATGTATTAATAGAGATGCAACATGACAACTGGCTTCTATAATAAAACATACAAATGAAAATCCTGCACTACAGGTTCAGTAACCTTTAAGAGGGAGTGGAAATTTACTAACTGGCACCTAAAAAAAGAAAAAGAAAAAGTGTAATTTCTAAAATATTTGGCACCAGATACGATCAATGAAAAATGCTACCACTACAAGTCTTACAACTGCCTCAAAAACAAACGCTGCAGCTGCAGGTGGGAATTTTTGCTAAAAATGAAACATTTATAGGAATAATGTAAAAGGGATTTCAGAGAAACCCCTCAAATGAAGAGAGGCAACCGATAAGTCACTTGCTTCTCACAAAATTTCCATAAATGTGGTGCAGTTTCTATTATAATAAGAATATTACATTTATCTACAGAGGCCCTGATCCAAGATCCAAAATAAAGCCCCAAAAATGAATGGTATGAACTGACCTTGGTACATGAAATGCTCAAGATATTTATGGAATAACACTAGACATCTGACCCGCTTCCCAGTAAGCTAATAAATAATTCCCACTGCACCCATACATGTGTGAACACGCCTTCATCCATTGTCTACTTGCATGGCTCCTCTTTAAAAAACATGCTTTGGAATTTCAATTCTGATGAGGGGAAGAAACCGGGGAAGCCAAAGCTCACCGCCCGGACCCCACTGCCACACATTTGCCGTGGTTAAGTCGCTGTGAAGCAGAAGTTCACAGAGGCGGTTTAAGGAGGTGGATTTAGGCGGTAGCATTAGACCACAGCACATGATGTCATCCTCACTCAGTTTCTGGTCAATTGGCTGCTGAACCAATTGAAACTGTCCAATTTCCCCCCAAAATAACTGCCAGGAAATTAATATGTGAAAGGTCGATTAAGGTGGACTACTTATTCACGGGTTAACGTTCCCTTCGTACGTTAGTATTAAACTTTAAAAATATTTTTTTTAAGCAGCCTCCCTTCAAATAAAGCAGGCGAGCTGCATCTCCCCCCCCCCCGGCTGCAGGGTCAGACAAACGGGGGCTCAGTATTTCACCGCAGTTTATAGTCAGCGCGCACTACGCCATGTTGGTATTTCCGAAGCGTATTATGCAATGCGATTCATCCGCCTACGAACCACCCCGTTCACCCAGAACACGCCGAGCGGCGACATGCGAGGAAACGGGTCGTTTACGGACGGATGTCGGTGGACGCGTCGCTACGCGAATCGACGTGCGCCGCAGCGACAGAACCTCTGGAAACCGTCTGGATACAGATGCGACAAAAACAATATGCCCACAGCCAACGTCAGCAGAGCATAACGTAATCACCCAAATGTCTTCCTGGGGTTTACAGAAACACATCTCGCCTCTCCACTAAATGCATTAGCGCCCGATAAAGGTTATTTCGTAATCCTAAAATACACATAGAGACACAGTTAGGACCAGCCGGGTGTGTGTGTGGCATCGAGCCGTGCGAGTAATGCATAAAATAATAAGTCCAGATAGCCACAGGAACCGAACAGATAAATATCTAAACTGTCACTTTACACACTGCGTGTATATTAATGCGCCTCGCTTCTGGCTAACGTTAGCTCCCGGGGGGGTGGGGGGGGCTGATGCAAGAAACACAACCTGCTCCTGGAGCTCGCGTGCGGACCCAATAAGACAACTGCAGTGGAACACTTCCGAACAGTCATCACATTATGGATTTTAAGATTTCGTTGTCTGTTTAAGGAAACCGACGTTGAACTTCAACGTAAAAAAAAACCTCTGTGCAAAGTAAACATTTTAGCCACCGACCGCGTAACGTACGCTCCACGCCAGTGACAGTTTAAGCCCCAAAACCCATCAAAGTAACGCATGTGGTACGTCCACAAAGGCCCAGTGGCCCATGCACGAACACCCGGGTTACATCCAGGTGCTGAAACGTCCACATTGACCGCAAAAACCCTCCCTCGTTACGGATCACAACTTATCCCCGGGACCGATGCAGAGCGGAGGCGGTGTGCATTGCAATAAGACTAGGGGAATAAACACCGCCGGGCCTGTTGTTGTACACGGTGGCCCGTCCATCGGAGGATACCGTTAATGCACAGAACGTCTGAAGTTGGGAGTAGACCCCTGCCTGTCTAGCTAGCTCGCTAACAAAGAAAAAGGAGGAACCTACCACGTGACGAGGTTGCACTATCCGAGGGAATTTCGGCAACAATCTCCCTGCAGTTTTTAGTGGAGAAAAGAAAAACAAGGGTGCTAACGCACACCAAAAAAAACACGATTGTGGATTGATCAATCTGCCATTTGGTAATCCCCCCCCGCCCCCCAAAAATAACAGCCAGACTTCCCCCGCCAGCAAAAAAAAGGCCCCAGTCGAGGAGCCGCTCGGGTTCTCGTTCCGGATTCAGGGCGAATCAACGATCCACACCTCGCTAGTAGCTAGCTGCTAACAAGCAGCGGAATATACACCACAAGGCCGCGAAACGTTCAGTTTCTACCCCCCGAGTCGCTTCACACCGGGACGATTTCACGGTAATCCGCTACCGAAAAAAAGAGCGTCTCTAGCGAGCGAGGGGTAGTCCACACGGCGGGTTTTGACGCGAGTTATTTTTCTCTCGTTTTAGGGAGAGACGCTTAGAAAATGGCGGCTAGCTCCTCTCCCTCGGATCTGAGTCTGACAAACAGGAGGGCTGTGTGAGCGCGCGCGCGCGCGCGTATGTGTGTGTGTTTGTGTTGGCTGTGTGCGTGTGGGCGTGCGTGTTGCTCGCTGGTAGGCGGGAGACATTTCTCATACTCGCCACTAGAGTAAAGGGCAGATAAGAAGCAGCATAAACGCTCAGAAGAAGCTACCAAAGCAGGGCATTGTCTCGCTAACAAACATGTCACTTTAGCGCGAGTTGGTGACGCACCGTGAGGACGGCGTGCCAACGTATCGCTCCTCCACCGTGCGCGAAATATCCTTCCGCTTTACTTTAAACACGTTTTTTTTAACATGCTGGTTTTCGGTGTTGTGGTTATAATACGAGTAGTTCCTCCTGTTTGTGACCCTTTGGGTGGAACTAAATAGTCGTCCAAGCCCGTCTCCGTCACTGCGAACAGGAACTGATCAGCAGCACTCTGTGGCCACTAGAGGGAGCTGCTCTGCAGCCACAGCCCAGCGTGATACATCACCACGAGGCCCGGAACAGCAGTAATACTGCACATACTGCCCATTATTTAAGTCCATACACTGGCCTTTGAGATTTAGTTTAGTCTGTGTGAGGTTGATCCTTTGAGGCTGTGGTTAATTGGTTGTGTTGTAGTTGTTGTTGTTAAGATGACACAGCAGAATATTGTTACTCAGAGTTATATAAAACTGATGACTGTCATCAAATAGGAATGGGTATTGTTTTATATTTATGACTAGTGCCCCCCCCCCCCCCCAAAAAAAAAAAACCTATGCTATATTCTATATTATAAAGCAGCCACACTGTCATAATTACATAGGTTTACAGATTTGTAACTACCTGATCAAATACAGAGTAAATATAATCTCATGTCTCTATTCAATTTCTGATACTACCCTAAAAGTAATCTGGTTCAACATCCCTCTCCTGCTTTACACTGCAGTACATTCTGTAACTTTGACTTGGCAGTGTGTGTATGTAAAATTATTGTGGCTTGTCTGCATTGGTTAAGGCAAGGAGTCCCTCAATTTAACAGAATGTAGTTTGACATTAAGATTAAGAATCAGATACATTTTGGTGTCAAAGGACCAGCAAATTAAACATAACCATGATGTCATATCTGAGGAAATGTTACTTCATCCAGTTTAATTGCTCAGTGTCCTTTGGTGCTTGGCAGTGGTGGAGATATTGTATTATTAAACACATTTATAGATATCTCCTATTTTTTTATACCTATTATAAAGGGATAAGAACTTGTGTAGGTATATATAAGCATTAGTACCCATGTTTCTTATTTCCACTCATCCAAGATAACGTTTTTTCCTGTTTCTCACCTGTTAGAATATAAATAGTCATAAAATACCATGACATCTAAATAAATAGTATCACTTCCGGCGCACGTTGAGACAGACTTATTGGACATTAGACCTTTTGAATGTTGTGTCGCTTGCTTGTTTGGATTTTTTTCTTAATGCAAATTATTACATACTTATTTCCTACTGATCTTTCACGGCATCAAACTACCAGCGTGTCATTGATCACAAGCATAATAAAGATGAAATGATCAATTTGTGCTCACACATGTGCCAATGAGAGAGTACTACAATCAAAATCTACACAGCAGTCTCAGATGGCAGAACACAAATGTCTGCATTAAATAAGTGACGTCTTCACTTAGATATTCTGCGTTTATCCTCGTCATGGTTTAAAAAAAAATGTCCTGTTCCATGTCACCATAGCAACAGTCCCAAGCAAAAGTTGCCCATTCCAAGACTCCGATGGCATATGCAACATATCCAGCAGGTGTCGGTTTCCCTCCCAGTCTGAAATGCCTCCACAGGGATGCGCATGTCTCCCGGTGAGAAGCACCTCATTGTGCCTCCTCTCTGGGCGACAAGGTTAGCCAAGCGGTCCGAAATATGACGCTCATTTCGGGCCACAATCGGACCCCACAAACCTCCCGAGTCGAGAAGGAACATCAGTAAATAAAGAAAAATTAACCACTGCTATTAGGAAATACCTGTATCTCCATTGTGGACATCATCCATTCAATAATCCAAGGGGGCATATTTCCAGTTACCTCGGATGGAAATAAAGTGACACCTAAGAACAGAAAGTATAGATGAGGAACATTAGTTTCATCTTAGTAAAACTCTCCGGATGAGATTCAGATGCGGTCAATAAAGTTTTTTTCCTAATGTCCAGCTGGCAAGCTAACGCTAACTGGGCTAACGTTAACCTACGCGAACGTTATCGCTGCACATTCATAATGAAAAAGTTTTACATGTCGGACAATGTTCACACTGAGCTCGAGAACACGCACGTCGCGACGGGGCTGGTGCGTTGTTTACTAACCGACCGTGTAAAACAACGCGCTGTCCGTCATTTTAAGTGATATAATTAAACAGTACTTTCTCCCGACGCCAGATGAGAAGCTAACGCTATCCATGCTAACGTTTGACGTCGCCAGCTAACGGCCAATAACAGCCGAGTAAGCTAGCGGACTGCGCTAACGCTAGCTAGCTTGTTTGCTTCCCCCGATCCCCACACTGACTTCTCAATGACTGCCGTTTCTTTTTTTGAGCACGTTTGCCATAAAAGTGCCCCGAAAAATCCGACCGGCTGAAACAGGACAGCCAGTAGTTTAACTACGGTGACTCTTTTTTTTCAACAAGCGGCACGTTCGTTAATTTTGATGAAAAATAAGACAAAATCTTACTTACCTGCTTGTCCTGTTACTAACCGTTTACGACTTGATAACAACCCCTCCCACTGAGCTCCCATTGGCCGACGCTTCCAGGCAACGCTTCCCATTGGCTGCGCACGCCTGTCTGTCACGCCAAATGCCCGTACAGCGGAAATGTGGGACGAAAGTTCATGCCACGAAACTTCATTATCCAAAAATATTCTTTTTTGATTTGAAAATGAATAAACAACCTCCATGTTATTAATACAATTGATGCTTTTGCTGCCCTGTTAGACGAGCCTTGTTTACACTTCACCGCATGCTAGCTACTCAGTCCATTCTGGTGAGGGGTTTCCACTCAACACAACTACAGTAACGATATATCACATCTTCACTGCCCTGTCGACGGGACTTTAGAAGCGAATACATCTCAGTACGTCCCGATACGTTGTAAACCACACGCAGATGGCTGCTATCGAGTTGGTTCAATATGTTTTATTTGATTTTTTTAATTGCTCGCTTCACATGCTAAAGAGGCTGTGCAGCTGGTGTTGTTGGGATGAGAGCAGTGTGGTCCGGTTCCCTCAGCCCTTCACCTCAAGAGGAGAGGAGATGTGAAGGAGGAGACGTTTCCTTAGTTAAAGCTGGAGCGGATGAGACGGGAGACACTATGGGGACTTGAGACAGGAGACACTCAGAGACAGAGGATGGGTGGAAATATGAAACGAGCCAGGCAGTAAAGTCACATTTGCTGTGTTCCACATTCACAAATATTACTGCAGATTAAAGGATGTTATTTTGAGAATAATTCAGATGTATGATTGTTATTGGCCCTTTTGTGAGAGTTGGTGTTACTTTGATTGCCTTTACTCACAGGATTTCTTGTCATGCAGCATGAGGCCAGAGATTTGTAACTGTGATCATCTATGAAAACCATTTTGTATGTAATCTAATGTATTGAGTAGTTCAGCAGATAAAACATGACATTTAATATAACATGAGCATTATCAGTACATTTATCCTTGTGTTAAAATTTGCTTTGTATCCCACTTTGTTGTACTATATTACGTACGGTATTGTATTATGCTAGTCTGCTGATAATCCCAATTAATTTGAGACAGACCAGGCCGATGAGGACAGATGGAAATAAAAGAAGTGTGTTTGGTTTCAGATATTTTAGCCATCCTACTTGATAATACGCAATATGTGGCAATACATTTCACTGTAATTATCAAACAGCTGCTTGGATTTTAAATAGAAAAACATTGAAAAACAGATTTAAATGACTGATCTACAAGAGAGCTCCTGAAGTCCTGAACACGTTATTCTAAAGTTATTCTGTTGATAATGTGTGTAGAGATCATTATAGACATGACAATAAGAACAATTCAGGACTTTGAAGGCTCTAAACACTCTACAAGGACAGTCTTTGTTTTGTACGTAGTATTTATTTTGCTGCAAATACATTTGAATGCATTTATTTTGCTGCAAATACATTTGAATGCAGTATTTTTACTCAGTATTTCTACCCTGTGGTACTGCTACTTTAACTGAAGAAAAATTATCAGAGTACTTCATCCATAGTTTTTTTTATTATTCACTAGCACATCTTCGCTCACATCCACACTTAGGTATTGAATTAAAATCAGCAGGTGAGCAACAAACTTATGGATGAGAATACATTTATTTATCCGTAGAGCAAATATGTGTGAAATGAACGAGCAACAAAGCGTTGCTTTGTCATTTTTCAACACAGCGTTTCACAATCAAATGTGAGGTTTATCTCACATAATTAGAATAGAATGGGGATTAAGTATTTGATACACTGCAGATTTTCCCACTTACAAAGCATGTAGGAGTCTGCCATTTTTAATCATGGGTACTGAACTGTGAGTGACTGAATCCAAAACCACTCCTCCATACAGACCTTCAGCTCTCGGGGTTGTCACTGGGCAACACAGACTTTTAGCTCCCCCAAAGATTTTCAATTAGGTTCAGGTCTAGAGACCGGCTATAGGCCTCCCCACGACCTTGAGATGCTTCTCACACAGCCACTCCTTAGTTGCCCTGGCTGTGTGTGTCGTTGTTATGCTGGAAGACCCATCTTCAATGCTCTCACTGAGGAAAGGAGGTTGCTGGCCCAGATCTCGCGTTACATGGCCTCGTCAATCCTCCCCTTAATACGGTGCAGTCTGGGGATGCTTTTCTGCAAAAGGGACAAAGAATGATGTTTTCACCTCCGTGCTTCACGGTGTTCTTGAGCTTGTACTCATCCTTCTTCCTCCAAACACGGCAAGTGGAGTTTAGACCGGAAAACTATTTTCCTCTCATCAGACCACATGACCTTCTCCCATTCCTCCTCTGGATCATCCAGATGGTCATTGGCAAACGTCAGACGGGCCTGGACATGCGCTGGCTTGACCCGGGGGACCTTGCTGCAGGATTTTAATCCATGACCCCGTAGCGTGTCAGCAATGGTTTTCTTTGAGACTGTGGTCCCAGCTCTCTTCAGCTCATTGACAACGTCCTGCCGTGTAGTTCTGGGCTGATCCCTCACCTACCTCATGATCATTGATGCCCCACGAGGTGAGATCTTGCATGGAGCCCCAGACCGAGGGAGATTGACCGTCATCTTGAACCTTTTCCATTTTCTAATAATTGTGCCAACAGTTGCTGCCTTCTCACCAAGCTGCTTGCCTGTTGTCCTGTAGTCTGTCTCAGCCCTGTGCAGGTCTACAATTCTATCCCTGCTGTCCTCACACAGCTCGCTGGTCTTGGCCATTGCGGAGCGGTTGGAGTCTGTTTGACTGAGTGTGTGGACAGGTGTCTTTTATACAGGTAATGAGTTCAAACAGGTGCAGTTAATACAGGTAATGAATGGAGAACACGAGGGCTTCCTAAAGACAAACTAACAGGTCTGCGAGAGCCGGAATTCTTACTGCTTGGTAGGTGATAAAATATTTATGTCATGCAATAAACTGCAAAATAATGTAAAAAAATATATACAATGTGATTTTCTGGATTTTTGTTTAAGATTCCGTCACTCGCAGTTGAAGAGCACCTATGATAAAAATGACAGACTCCTAGATGCTTTGTAAGTGGGAAAACCTGCTAAGTCGGCAGAGTGTCAAATACTTGTTCTCCCCACTGTGTATAAGAGACTTTGGTTTATAGTGAGAAGGTACGAATGCAACGTGAAAAGCCAGTAACACAGAATGTTCCATGTAATGTATTGATGGTGGAGTGAATAACTAAACAATATTCACCAAGCTTTATTGGCCCAAGAAGTAGCTGCATTAGTGTTCATATTTTTGTTACTCAGTCGGTGTTGTGGGTCTGTTGGACCTGCTGTATTTCGGGGTTATTAATTCAACACAATGTTAAACTACTCCACAGATATTTACTTTATCCCAATTAGAAGCAATATAAAAAGCAAATATGGTTAATATTGGGGAGCTCAGTGCTGTTTTTCCTCGTTGTTCCCGCCATGGTCAGCTTCCTCCTCAGGAGCTCCGAAAAAGGATTTTTTTGTTGTTGTTTTGATAAAAAAGATGAAAACGGGTCCCACAAACACAAACACCATGTTTGAAATACAATCAGTAATACAAGGACACCAACAGGTTACTACTAAATGTATGAAAAGAAAAATACGGTTCTCTCCACCATCTCTCTGGATCCTCGTTCTTTCTGCCAACTCTCAATTAGAAAGAATCATTAACTTTGTTAGCTTCCACAATGGCTTCTTATTTATTTATTAATTGCATCTCACCTTTTCTGTAGAGGTTTATTCCGCTAAATGTTTTTGAGGTGACATGCGGTTTTATTGAAGCAGCACTAGGTGGTGCTGAGACATCACACTGAGCATCATCATCACCATCATCACCATCACCATCATCATCACCATCATCATCATCACCGTCATCATCACCACCGTCATCACTAGTAATTCAGCTGCTGGCCGGACGGAAGCTCCTCTGATACATAAAGAGAGAAATCCTTCAAACATTTAATTAAGTAAGTGGTTGAAGTCGTGTACATTTACTCAAGTGTATTGTAAGTATCAAGCAAATTTAAGATATTTGAGCTCTAATTTCTTTTTGTACTACTAAAGAACACTTTATTCTGTGAGATTCACAATGTGTATAAAGTAATTCAAATGAGCTAAACTTTAAAAGTGATGACAAATTAATACATTGATAATTATGATCTAGTATTATTTTCTCAACCCTCTTGGCACGAAGGAGAATCCCATTAGACTGGAAGTCACCTCGCCCTCCCAACTCCTCCTTGTGGCTAAAGGTCCCGGGGCCTCATTTATAAACGTTTCGTACGCACAAAAGAAGGCGTACGCCGCTCTCTACGCAATAATTGGTATTTATAAAAAGCAAACTTGACGGAAAAATGTGCGGTCCTTCACGCAAGCTCGGACCCATGCGTACGCACAAAAACGGGTGTAATGAGAACCGTCGGCAAATGCAAGAAACACGCAAACGTGTGTGAAAGTGTGTAAAACTAGACTGTTGTAAAATAAATGCCGATACTGCCTCTTATAAATAACACGAACACCCGTTTGATCGAACTGCAGCGTAAAACAAACAAATACAAATTAACACATTTTCAAAAAGAAAAGTGAAATATGTTCTGCAATAATATTGGCATGTTATGCAAATCATCCTCAAAACACAGCTGTTGCTTGTCAGATGCAATCAAATGAACGGTAATAAAATGCCGTGATACCATCACAATGCGTAAGGACGCTGATGGCAAGTTCGGATCATTTTACCGACTCGGTTCTTTGAATCTCGTTCAGTAAAATGAACGGAGATTTGCTGGACGCATTGCTCTTAATGTGCCGGTAATGATGGTAAATGATGGTTGTAGCTGGTTGTCATCTACGGTCCACTACGATTACCGAAGGGGGGCGTTTGTTTTTTGACAACGTTTTATCTCATAATTTCGACTTTCTTTCTTCAGTGCGGAAATGAGCTTCTATAGTTGTGTGAATGCATCACTCCAGCCAATCCAAAGACGCGGTTTGTAACCAATCAGATGTAGAGACCATGGTGACTGGCTCCGCCCCCTTACTGTCAAAAAGAAAAACAGCGAGCGCGTAGAAAACACCTTCGAGCGCGAGCAGAGATTAATCTCGCGAGCGAGGAAGTTCACGTTTCGCGAGGGAGCAAATATCTCGCGCGAGATGAACTTTTGCTCGCGGATGTTTGATTTACGCGCGCGCATCAACCTGATTTGCGCTCTCGAATTTTGACAGTGATTTGCCGCCATAAGCGTTGCTCTGCAACCTTTTGCCACTCAAGTGCCCTTTTGGCATTAGTAATGCCCATACTGTGCCTCCAAAAAGCCTTAGACTTCTCCTTTCCACCTCGCCAATGATCATTTTGACTTCGAAGTTACGTTTCTTCGTTTTCCTCTCAGTGTTTGTAATGATTTCACAATCGATAAATATTCATTTGTGGGCGTTTCACAGACTGTATATGGGCAACTATGGGCGTGACATGAAGCCGCAAAAGCTGCGCTGCATTTAGAAGTGATTGTGATTTATTAAGGGAAAACTGCGTGTGTCTGTGGGGGGGGATGTGTAAAGGTGTAATGTGTAACTACACTCTGCTTTTGATAATAAACATAACTTACAAAAAACATTAAGATCTAGTATTATAATATAGATGTCAATATTAATCTACTCTACTTCTGCTTTTGGTGTGTACAACATGGTACTCAACTTGTAGCAGTGTTCTTACTGTTACAAGTGGCAGAAGTTGGTTCTACTTCTGTTTAAAGTAGATTATTATTATACAATTTATAATTTAACTATAACTATACATAGTGTGGCTATGTAGTGTTTATAAATTGGGGATTAATGCTACATCCTGTAAATGTCTCTTATGATATACTTAAAGCAACACGTTTAGTACTACTACTTGATTTATATTTTGTATTAATATTGTGAAGCTTGTAAGGCAATTCAATCTAAATGCAGTAAATGCAGTAAAGAGTGCAATAATAACAGCAATGGAAGGAGGAGTAAAAGTACCTCATAATGTACTTTGGTGCCTGATTAAATGCACTTGGTTTCCACTGATGCAGCTTTAACAAGTCAAATCATAGATTGTTCTCTTTTGGTTGTGAAATCAGCCGGAGCTCCGTAACGTTCCGAAGCATCGGAGAGAGAAACGGGAATGTTTCCCCTGGAGCATCTCGGGCGTCCGCACGCAAGTTGTCAGCCTCTGAAAAGAACATCACAGCCCCCCCTGCTCTGTGCATTAAGGTGACATCACAGATTAAAAAGTCCTCTTTCTTGATCATTGGAAAAATACAAAATATTTGTTCATCATTTAAGCTTCCTTAACTTCAGCTTTACACTTATTAAACTCAACTGCATCATCACGTTCTGACATCACCACGTTCAGTACCGGATTCTTTACAGAAGAATTTAATCTTTAATGAATGAATTTAACAATAAATGAAATCAGTGGGTAGGTTCATTTATTATCTGTGGATTCTTCGGATACTAGAATTTAAGATAAAGTTTGTTACTCTTATCTAAAATCAAAGTTGTTGTTGGGCAGAGGATTAAGACTATTACTGATGCTCCTGAGATGTAAAAAAAACAAATTGGGAGGTAATGTATTGCTGGCAGCGGCTGAGCAGTGAACGATATTCACCTGGTGGAGACGGAATGGGTTGTCGCTAGGTTGCCACGGCGATGACGCCCAGTGGAGAAGCGTGCAGGTGTTGGAGGTGGGCGGCACTACGGCTCATCAGCAGGATGGAGACACCCGAGCTCATGAGCAACACTGGCATCAGGATTTTTCGGTTGACGGATTTTTTTTTTAGCATGAACACCCTCTTGGTCCTGCACACTGCTGAACTCCTTAAATAGACACGAGATGAAAGATATTTGTCTTCTGTACAGAGACAGGATAATGCAAATGGAAAGTTAATCAGTCCTATTAGTGGTGGAATTAAATGCATCCACCGAACCAAACAACGGTCAAAGCACGTGACATAGTTTATAATATCCAGCCGAAATGTAACCGTTGGTTTATCTAAGTATTGGTTTAATATTTTAAATCTAACTGTTGGTTTAATATCCTAAACCCAACTATTGGTTAAGTAGCCTAAACATTACTTTTATCTCGACACATGTAACGTATAAACCCCCCCGTTGGAAGCAGATGCTCTGGTTCCCAGTGCGGAGAGGAGATGTTCGCCTGTGCAGAAGGATCTTATTTAATAGCTGAGTTCCCCTCTGAGTCGGACACGCAAGGCTTAAAAGGATCACACGATACTCAAGATGTATGTCTTTTTTCCTTTGTCTCAGGAGAGAGGAGGAGGGAGGGGGGGGCAGCAGAGCGATGCTGAGCCATCCCATAATAACGCCAGCCGGAGGAGCATTTCTGTAATATAAGATGTGCTCTATAAATAAACTTCACATTGTTGCATTTTTCATTCGGTCGAATGAGACACACAGTTTATTATTTCTTCACATCTTTTCAAGTATGAAAATAACAATATTGAAAATAAATAATAACGTGAACTACATTGTGATTTGGTCGGCAAACGTACCGGATGCATTTCGCCGCGCTGGAATGACAACATGTCCCTCTGATACTTTCTTTTTCTTACATTGATTCTACATTGCAGAAGAGCGTTATCCATTTTCTTTCATTTGAGACGTACAAAGCGTTCAAAAGTCTGTAATCAGAGGACAAATGTTCTTTCATGCTTTTAATGTGTTGGAAAAGTTCTCTTCACAAACAGATGTTATCGAGTTAAGAACGTGTTCCACCAGGCTGAAGACTAAAAGAGACTAAAAGAGAATTCATCCAGAGACTCACTCTGGATTTAAAGTCCAATGATGATCGAGGCTCAGTGGAACGTTTCCAATAAATCGTACATTTGGTGTCCGGATTGTTTTTCTGTTAGTACAAAAAGAAAGCGAAATATCAATATAACAGTTGATTGCAAACTTTTGAACGGCGTCATTTTATCCCCCATAAACCTGCTTCCTGGATAAACACCAGGTGACACGTGACACATCCTGTCATCAATCATCTAAACACAACTACAGCTCTCATGACATGACCAGGGTCTTTGTAGGTAAATAAAATACAGCTTGAGACGGGGGATAAGAAAACTTTGATCCAAGAGAATATTCCATTTCTTTGGAATTTGAATAGAGAGATTCTCTCAGAGGGGGTTTTGTTTTTGGAATTAATTTCTTTATAATCTAAGAGAATATTTTAGTTATACTTCCTCAAACAATAAAGGCCTCACTTCAATCTCTGGTTCCTCAAATTGTAAGTTTGCAACTTTAATATGGTGAACTTTAATATTTCCCCTCCCCCGGTGCTCCGTTATTACAATTCCTTTAACTGCAAAGGCCCAACTACGCCTGTCAATTCAAAGAGGGTGAAAATTAAACGGTCAACAAAAAGTTAGATTGAAACACAGCTTGACATTAACATAAAACAAGCAGTTAATAAAATGCACAGGTGCTAGGCAGACTGGTTCAGGGGGAATGTGGACTGCTAATGGATTAATATGCTGTTTCACAGTGTGTGGTTGGTGTTTTTTGGTTCATATTTGTGACTTTAACCCTGCTTATATATTTATATATATTTACAATTATAGATTTACATTTCATAAATCAGTAAACAGAGTTACTGCGTAGCTCAAGCTTCAGGTGACCGACACAGGAAGTCACCTGGACCCCGTTCCCCGTACGTGAAAAGTTAGACGGATCATTTTCAGGATAAGATTACATACGTCAGGCTTTTCGGTTCCACGAAGCAAGTTTGGCAAAATCACCATAGCAACACATTCATAAAGTCGAACCTGCAGGCTCATTTAAGTCCGCTGGGTAAGCTTACAAGGCTTCTTTTTATCTGCTTCTTTTGAAAGTTGAGATAATTATTTTCGCTAGCAGGATCTCATTGGATGATGCAGACCCCGAAGCCTACTGCCAGCAGGCACATTCAAAAGAATATAATCTGGTGGATTGGGGAATTAGCCTCTACATTTTGCCAACACCTACGCATTTAACCCGTCTGCGATACTTTGCCGTGCTTCTTGTCTAGCCCTCGCAGTGGTGGCGGTGTTCGATTTTGCCTCAAATATTCAGTTCAATTCATTTCATTTCATTTTCTAAAGCCCAAATCTGCATCAGAGGGCTTTACAGTCGGTGTCCCGAAAACCCTCATCGGCCCGGGAAAAACTCTTTGACTCTTCCTCCTTCTGAAGTAGGACACACATGCGCGATTATCCTGGTGACTGACGTCTGGTTCAGATTAACGAGACTGTTTGAGCCCGGATCAGCCTTTGAGGAGCCAGGTTAGCGTAATTTCCATCATCGGGTTAATTCAAACTGGCTAATGGGGCATTTTATCGTCTTAATTGAACCACGTACGAGGAACGGGGGCCCTGGTAAGATTCCAGAGTCGGATAAACTGTGTTCGTCTCCACTGATGGTGGAGAGGAAACAGTAAGTCGCTTAATTCAACTGAAGAGTTTTGTTCCAAATACAATAAAACAAATCCTTCACCTGGTTAATAAATGTTGGAGCAGATCCACTTGCTCACATTTTACGGAGTTCCCGAAGCAGTCCTCTCCAGTTAAAGTGCGAATACGACACTCTCCCTATGCTAAGCTAAGCTAAGCTAATTACCTCCTGGTTACCAGTGGTGTTGATCCTCTCGTCTGACTGAACTACTGCTAACTAACCACTCGTGTGCTCGGCTTTGAGCTCATTTCATGAAAGACGTGTTATTTTGGAGCAAAGCTCTTCAGGTAGAAAACGCTGGAATGTGCTTAAGCTTTCTGGATAGTCGATGGAAGTGGCCCGACTTCGCCAAGCTGGCTGAGAACAGAGGAAGGTAACACAACACACTACATCCAGAACACAACAAAACAACAAAAACATAAATCTTAATTTAGTTATTGGCTGCGTCCAGTGGATCCAGTTCAGTCCAGCTGTGCCCCAAAGTTCTCACTGATGTAAGATCATCCAAAAAAACAAACACAAAAAAGAAAGTTTGCAAGCAGGAAGTAAAACGGAGACGTGCCACGAACGTGGAGAGCTGTACATACGTCTTCTGACCCACTCACCTGCCGCAGTGTCCTTGACCTCCGTCCTCATCCAGCTTCTCCTCCTGAGGTTTGTGAGGCTGATGCAGCCTTGCAAAAGTGTTTCAGTGTACTCCAGTGATGTGGCGGAAAAGGATGAGGACAGCAAAAGGGAGGGACGGGGAGGGGTATCAAGGACAACGCCAGCCTCCTCCTCCTCCTCCTCCCTCCTTCATAGCGATGTGGACTGCTTGATGCTGTGAAAGCTGACCCGTGAGGGGGAGGTGGGGATGGACATGGCCTGGGTCATCCGGTTGCGGATGGAGTGCTGCTCCTGCCAGCGGTGGAACCGCTTCCTCACGGCCGACCGCACCTGGGAGAGAGGAAGAAAAGTAGCCCGTCAGCCGCGGTAACGGAAAGGCTCCACCGAGACGTCACCGCGTACAGGTCCGCGCGTTTATTTGCACGATTTTCATAAAACCTGGTGAAGAGCAAGTAGAGGCACTTTAATGGCGGATCAGAACCTCTCAGCTCTTCCAGCTTTTAACGCTCTAATAATAAACAGTACTGAGGCTTCTCAGCAGGTAAGAAGTAACTAAGTACATTTACTCTAAGATAATAAGATAGCATTCCTATTTTCAAATACTTCCATAACAAGATAATTTAAGGCACAATGTCAAACTGTCGACATAACCCTAATCATATGAGGTACAAGATAATAAAGATAATGAGATAGTTGTCACTGTTTTGACTAACTTATGTGAAGAATTTGAGGTACACCACATAAATCAGTCTCCTCCATTTCAAACCAAATCATATATTCCAAGCAGAATCTGAAGCGACAACATGCTAGTCCCGATCCAACGTCAATGACCCCGTGTGTCGACCCTCCTGGCAATCGCAAGCCGATCAGAACCATGATTCTAACACACTGTTTTTTTTACAATTCATCAGTGGGTTAAGGAGCGCCGTGTCGGCCTGAAAATACCCGCTGATCCTCCACACACAAACACACACTGGCACACACACACACACACTTTGTGTGTGGGGACCAGCAGCTCGGGTGGTGATGGTGAGCAGAAATAAAAACACCAGATTACAACTCAGCCGTGAAGAAGCTCCGTCTTGATTAAACCTAAAGATCTGGAGTAATCTGCATTACCGCGGTGGAAAGGTCAAGCGCCCTCGTGCCGGCTTCCTCAGATCCCAAAACCCGAGATGGGAAACAGGACGGAGCAGCGTCTTACATGAAACAAATTAAATGAGTTCCACGCGGGGAAAAAGAGAGTGGGATTACACGAGGATGCTGGTCACAAGTGATGGAGGACGGCTGCGAATTCTAGAATCCATGCATCTTTCTCTAACATTTCCTTTTCTCTAGCTTGTGAAATTCACTCTTTTCTCATAGCACCCCCTACTACACTGCTACGTCGCCATGGAGACCACACCGTCACTAACTGATCTCCCTGAAGAAATAGTGGCTCATTATAATGTATCCAATGGAATTTCAGGGGAGAAGCCAAAGATATTAAAAAAGATAATAGAGATATTTATCCAGGATGAAAAACACAGTTCCTGTGACATCACAGGTAGCAAAGAAGTGCTACCACTAGTTCCTGATGTGCTAACGAGCATCGCTATCAGCCCGAACGTCGATGACACACTACAGGGCAGAAAGATGCTCTGCTACGATCGGCCGGCCTGCGAGCGAGGGGCGACTTAATGAAACGTCAATCATGGCACTTTATATGTTTTCACCCCCCAAACGGGGTTCAAATGTAAAAAGCATGTCACAATAGATAAGTCTAATGTACATAATAAAAACACTACAGCTACTAGTCATATTAATAATAATAATAACACATCTGCACGCACAAATGTTCATGTTTCTGTGCTATTCTGAGAGGGTTTCACCTCCGATCTTCAGCGGGAGACCAGATTAAGGCTGACACTGTCATAAAGAGTAGAAAGTGATGTCACTTACGCATGGCGCGTCTTAATTGTGCCCTAAATACGGGAGCCTCGAGCTCCATCACTCACTAATAACACACCAAAAGGGAGAGCGCTGGCGCCCGGAAGACGGAGGAGTGTGGGGGTGCGAGGGGAGGACGGGCGGGCGGGTGGGGGGGGGGGGGGGTGTTGATCAAATGGGTGGATGTGGGAGTGCTTACCTCGCTGTTTAGGAAGCAGTAAAACACAGACACAAAGAAGCCCTGCGAGGAGACAAAGGGATGGAGATCAAGAGAGGAACGAAATGTCATCAGAAAACAAAAACAAACACATCCAAACTGATCTGCTTCTTAATCCGAACACAGCGGCTTATCGCACGCGTCACTTCCAATCACCTCTGGGGACGGGTGCGCTGTCCACTCATTCCAATTACTGGGTCTTTGTGTGGGGGAGCGCGCACACGCCAATACGACGCTAAAGGAATCAAACAGGTTCCACCTCATGTCCGGAGATAACGCCGCCTGAATCTAACGCTGTTTTAAGTTGGTGGTGTGTTGGTGTTGCCATGACGACCCGTGTCAGCGTTTAAGGAGTAGAGTGAGTAAAAAAAACAACAAAATAAATCAAATTTTATTCTCAATGTCGCCAATTAAGATAAAAGGTATTATTCGTCTGCCCCGAAGCCAAAGTGATGTCACCAAGGATTCAGGGACGACGAGTGGATTCCCTCGAGTGGACCTTTTTTGTGAATGTTTTTCTTGTAAAGGTTCAGATTTACAACGTTTTATATAGAAGGTGGCAGTTGAACACAAATTAATTACGGCTGGAGGAAAGTGGGGTAAGGGGAAGCGACACACCAAAAAAGACGCTAATAATAAGCCAGAGTCTAATCAAGGCTTTAGTGTGAGTGTTGTGTCTTAAAGCTGTATTCTCTCCAGTGACCACCAGGGGGCGACTCCTCTGGTCCTATAGAAGTCTATAAGAAAACTACTGCATGATGCTCATTTAATGAATTATGGTCCATTTAGTGTCAAATAAAACCATAAAAAAGGGGATGCTTTAGGGCGGGGCTACACTCTGATTGACAGGTCTCTACCGGAGACATTGACAGCGTTTCTCAGTCAGTTCAAACAACCGAAATTGATCTTGAGGCTTTCTTTACATCAGGCCTATTCAGTCTCTGTTCTAAACACGGCATTTTGTAGCATGAACGACTTTTTTAACCAATACAAAACAGCCTCGGCCTCATCGACGGTGTCGTTAGTCCCGCCCCTAGCGCTGATTGGCTAACCGTTCCAGACCCAAGCAAGGGTGAATCGTACCTGGAAGGACTCCAAAAAAGAGTTGAAATAAATGAAGACGATTTGAGAGATCTCGTCTTCTCCCGGGTTGACGAATAAGAGCATGTAGGTGATCCCCAGGAGAGGAAGCAGAACCAGAGTGGCCTTCACGGCTTTCCTGCAGGGGTTCAGACAGACTGACGTCTACAAACACATCTGTGTGGCACTCAGAGGCAACTTGGCGGTTCAGCAGGGTGATGTATTCCAGGTGAGGTATATCTACTATTCCAGGTGAGCTATATCTACCTGTACTGGATCGTCTCCGATGTGGTAGAAGCGCGCAGTTTGGTCATCAGGATTCTCACAATGTTGAAGAGGAAAATGAAATTGATCTGTTGGGAGGACAGAAGGGCAGCGGATGAATGTGAGGCTCTTCCAAGTCAAATACTGGTTTTGTTTTTTACTTCAAATTCTCATTTTGCGTTGATCATGGCGCCTCCTGTGGACTAAAGCGGTAGTGCCTCTGCTCACCCGGTCTGCTACGAATGCAGTCAGGGCCGATAGATTGAGCGAGTTGTAACTGAAGCACATTTATTACGGTGTAATAAAACTCAATAATGATTATTTGGAAAGCAATCACGATTGTGAAACTTTTTATGGTTTATGATGAGGTTATTAAATACACAAATAATGTTAGCCATCTCCCTCCTTTCCTAAATTGGGCTTCAGCTTCCTCTCTCCTAATTGGCTTCAGATTTGGATTGAACAAGCATAAAGTCATTTTGAAAAACCTAAACTAATACAATCTGTACCCTTCAACATGGCCAAACCCTCGGCCCTCGTGATCTTAAGTGCTTCTAGAGACGCGCCGAGAGGCCGAATCGATAGCTGGTGCGAGTCGTGTGAGTGGTGCAACACTAGAGCGGGAATCACAGAATACTTCTCAGGGCCTCGGGTGACCCGACCTTGGCCACCTGAGCAGATGCAGGGAGATCACTGACTACCCCTCCTGACTGGCCCTGCGTATCGGGTTTAATGACACCCTGCGGTCATCATATGAAGGGGGAGGGGCCTCCCAACGGGAGACAGCGCCGACGTCCCGGTGACCCCACAAAACTTGTCGAGGAGATGAAAAGCCGAAAAAAAGAAGCTTTCATTGTGAGCAGGAGGTTTTTTTTTTTCTTGAGGGGAAGCAGCAGCAGCGATATCGGAGGAGGCAGATGTGTGCTTTCGGGGAGAGTCAGAGGCAGCAGTCACAACCACAAAGAGCCTCCAGGGTGGAATCACTCGCTTTTCGATTGAGGAGATGAGGGGACAAGGAGATGAGGGGACGAGGAGATGAGGGGACAGGCTGCTCCTCTGTTTCGGGATGGATGAAGGTCAGGCCCCCAGCAGGGGGGGAAACCACCCTCACGTCAGAGGAGTGGCTCCAAGTCCCCACAGAGATGAAGGCTGGCGGTCGGGGACCAGGAGCAAGTACTCAGAGTAAAAGTAAATAATTACAAGAAGTACTCTGAAGTATTCATGAATTGACCTTTGGTATTTATTTGTCTTATTTTGGGTCCATTGGCTCTGCATAGCTTGTCACTTTTAAATAGACAGTAATGGAGTTGTAATATCAACTGTGTGTTTATTTATCTGTGTGTTCATCCTTTGATTTGTGTTCATGCTTTTGGGCATAAACCCTGATACTTAATACACACACAGTTCATTAAGGGGGCGAGTTTCAAGCTCGGCTCCAGTCTGTGGCGCCTTGATTAACAACTCCATGAAAGCCTCAACAGCACGTATTTATTATTTGATATTTAAAGGGATTACGAACAAGCAGCAGGTTGTTATTATTCAAACTGCTAATTCAGTAAAATGAACAGTGAGTGTGACATCCTCCTGTTTGTGGATCGAGATCGACTCCCTTTGGTCAAATTTAGGAACGGCCGGACGAGATCCTCCCCCTCCCACTGCCACGGGGTTTCCCACACACCTCCAATAATAAGTCCATAACTAACTATAAATAGCAGGTACTCAGACCTTTAAAGACAACAATGTCCTCAAGTCATATCCACAGACATTAAAAAAAGGATTAATACCCTGCAGTTGTGATTGGGACTAATCGGGTCGTTTTCCTCCTCTCGGGAAATCAGAGACTGTTCTTTAAAGTGTTGCAAAAGAGTGAAGATGTTATTCCGCTGTGGTTAAACGTTTAGCTGCCGGTGCAGACAGTTGAGATTTAGTGATGAAGTAGAAGCCAGGAAAAGACCCCCGGGGGACGGATATAACCCAATATTAATTTATCAGAGGGACTAACAGGACCGAACGCATGGCTGGATTTCTCTCCTCTCGATAGCTGCAGAGATTAAACGTCACGCCCGACAGGTAGCGAGTCAGAACTCCACATTGATCATCTCCAACGCAAAGAATGTGCTGCGGCACTCAAAACATTTCACGCCTGTCAGGCGGTTTAAAGATGTAATAAAGACAAACTGGATCGGCGATGCTATGTAAAGGAGGAGAGCCTCACCACTAAGACGAGGATCATGGGACCCTGGTAGATGTAGTCGGTGTAGACGCCGGCTCGCTTCCCAAACCAGCACCTGAAATGAAAAGAGAAGCCGGTCATGCTTTTAGTTTTATTACATCGATTTGTGTTCAGGTGTAAAAACGCACACTTTGTCAGTCAGGGATTCGGTCAAGATATGACACATAAAAGATTGCGTTGCTCCAAAGTGAATTTTCCGATTTTCCTAAATTAAATGGAATCTGGAAAGCTGCTTCAAATAAAATAAATGGTAATATATATATAATAAATAAATAATCAGCCACAAAAAGAAAGTGTGTATCAGATTATACTTGGATAAATATTAAAAGAGCTAATATATAACAGGATTTACTCACCTTCTGTATTTTTTTCGTATTTTCAACAAATTCCATCAATGCTTCAAAAATGGGTCACATCTAGTGTTATTTATTATTTAAAAGAAAAAAGGCTCAGTAATTTCCTAAAACAGCTGCTCATTGCAGAGTCAAACATAACTCACAACATTTTCAGCAGCGCTTTGATCCACATTTGATACTAGTGTGTGTGTGTGTGTGTGTGTGTGTGTGTGTGTGTGTGTTGCTGTTTTAATGGAGCTCTGTAGCTCGGAGGAAGGAGAGATTTTATCAGACTGTGACCCTTTACTCACAGTCGATGGAGTTTAGAGACAAACAGGAGAGCAACGTGGCGCTGAGGACAGACCGTAGATTGTAAGATAATCAATGTCTGTCTAATTATAGACTATATTTAGAACATCATCATTTGATCATCACCTCATAACAAAAGTAATCTCCCCCGAGGGACACAGGAGTCGGCGCTCTAATTTATGTTGTTGTGTTTAGGGTTTCAAAGGGTTAGTTGACATTCATCAGTCACACAAAAATGACTGAGAGGTGAAATCACTGCTTGGCTCAAAAGAGCCGAAAATATTTTAACTAAATAACAGATTTGTACACCGACTAGAGAAGAACCTCACACATTTTAAGGAATCAAACACACACCAAATGGTGAACGCACTTATGTAAGTCGCTTTGGATAAAAGTGTCAGCTAAATGACATGTAATAATGTAATAATAAAAATTAAAATATTTTTGGTGCAGACTTCCATCGCCACCTGTCTTCCAGGTAAAGAACGAGACCACTTCCCATCGATCACTGAGGACTCCCTCTCAAAGGGAAAATGGCCACAGGGCATAACACACCTTTAACTACCAACATTGCACAATGCAAATGTGATTATCAGAGCTTATTAATAGGCATTCATCTCCTCCTGTCTCTGCATTTCTTACTTCTCGTTGTCGTAGTACAGCTTCCCAATCGCCCAGGCCACAATTATGGGGAACGGTATACCTGTGAGAAAATGTTAAAAAAAAAACAGACAAATTACATTATTTTTTCATCTATTTCTGCTTTCATTCTTGTTTTTTCTGCTTCTGCTTATAAAAATACCCCCGCAGGGATTTCAAGCTCCTCGTCAGAAGCTTTTCTTTGCTCGTGCTCTGCGATCCGAGGATTGGAGCCGGGACGTGTCACCGGCCGACCGCTTTTCCGCGTGGACGAACGTGAAGCCGGGCGGCGCGGAGCGAGCGTTTGATTGACTGACTCGAGGGAGCGAAACGGAGACCTCGGGAGACTTTCCACTTCGTTGGCGACACGCCGCCACCGGCGCGTTGCTGCACCTCAGGAGAAGGCCTCAGACTACCTGAGAAATGTCATTTTTTTCCTTTTTGTTTACATCTCCTATGCTTCAGTAACACGTCTGCTGCGCAAAGCCTGTGCTAAAGGCAAAGTGAGGCGTTTAGTCAACGGAGAACCCAGGGATCTCCATCAAGTCCAAGGCTCCAGCTGCTGGGCGGATTTCTGTGGCAGGTTTTTTGTCAAAACGCTCTTCAGTCTAACTGACTGGCGTTAGATCAGGAGTTCAACGTTTGAGAAAATCCCAAAACCCTGTTTTCTTGCTAGTTCTCATGACGTTACGCTATGGAGTGAGCTAGAGCCAGAGGCGTTTAGCCTAGCTTAGCACAACGACTGAAAGTAGCTACCCTGCTACGTGTTCAAGATCAACTTTCAGGTTCACTTTCGTTTTGCTTAAAACCTTCGGCCTGGATTTGGCTCCGTACGCGCCGTGTATTGAGTGGGCCGGTCTGACAGTAACTCCCGGGTCACTTTTTTCCCCACAGTCCGCCCCTGGTGGCGGTGGCCATTTTGTTTTGCTTTGAAGGAAGCAAAGTTTGCAAATTTGCCTGTGTTGCCGTTCTTTATGCTAGGCTAAGCTAACTCCTTCTCACCCTAGTTCCTGACCTGACACACAGAAGAGGAAAGTGACATCAATCTACTTGTTGAAACAAGTGTATTTCCCACAATACCTCAGCGTCGTAAGGCTTTAGCGGTTTGTGTACTCACACCAGCCGATGCAGATGAACATCCACTTGCGCAGCTTGTCGGTGGAGTAGGTGAGGACGATGGCCGTGTGGAGGTAACAGCCCTCGCCGAACATCCAGAAGAAGTTGGTGGAGTGAAAGTAGTTGAAGGAGGCGGTGACGAGGCGGCACCAAACCTGCAAGAACGAGTCCTTCTGTTAAAGATGTGAAACATCATCGGACGGTTCCACATTTCATGACCTATTTGAAAAGATGGCACTGCTGACATTCCATGTTTACTTATTGCCAATAACCTCAGTAATTTCCTAAAGCTGTAGTTTTTATCTAACGAGCAGTAGTGCATTTGTTGGGGACTACATTTATTGTTCTGGTGCGTATTTAACCTCTTTTGCATCCAGATCCCTGTCATCTGGATGATCATAATCTCACCTCTAACAGGGCTGATGATGAAATACGTCTAGGAAAACAGAATCATGCAAGTGGAAGCTGAGTCTGCATGGTGAGAGGGAGCGATGCGTACCACGTTGCTTTCGTGCACCTCGGGACTCATGGTCATCTGGACGATGAACCAGGTGGCGTTCCTCAGGATGAAGGCGGTGATGAGGTTCCAGTGGATGATGTTCCTCAGGCAGCGAATGCTCCTGTGAGACCAACAAAAGGAGAATAATCTCCATGATCCCAGATGCTCATGCCTCATTCTCAACATTGATTAATAAAGTATGACCTGTGACACGTGATCAAACCAGAAAGAAATATCTGGATTAAATACGTTTTGAGTTCAAGTTTTCTTGTTTATTCTAAACAAGCTTTAATTGAAATAAAGTAAACTGAGTTGAATTAATTATTTAAACATTTTGGGAAATACAATAATTGGATTTCTTGCCGAGAGTTTGAGGATAAAAGCGCTCTCATGTCTGTGTGACAATACTTCAGCTGGAACTAGAAGGGATTAGCTTAGCTTAGCATTAAGACTGGAAAAATCATTCATGTTTTATTGTAATTGTATTTTAAACAAAACTCACAATGAAATGTACCTAAACTGACTGCTTAAATTCCTTTTTCAATTATTAAATGCGAAAGATTTATACGGCTTTCATGTTCAGGTTGAGTGGGGGGATTAGCTTAGCTTAGCATGAAGGCTGTAAATAGGGGGAAACAACTAGCCTGGAACATAAAATCACATTGTGTCCTTCTCAAATATCTGTTTGTTGATTAAACCTACAAAGTAAAGCTTTAGTGGTATTTGTAGATGTATTTCTACATTTATGCTTAGTTAAGCACACTCATACTCACAGGCAAAGGAAATAGATGAATTAAATATCTCCCCCTGCTTTAAACAAAGACATGAAGCTCAGAGCAGTGATCTCCTCCATTAAGACACAACCCTTAAGTAGATGAATATGAATAATGAGGAGAGAGAAAGTAACATTTTCCCCCTTAAAGCAACACAAAGTAAAGCCTCATTTCCACTAATTTAAATTTTCATTTTGCGTCTGCCCTACAACGCCTGATGTTGTTTTTTTTCATGCCGTAAATAAATTGACCCTAGGACACAATTAAGAAATCCGCCTCAGAGCGAGAGCTCGAAAATAGAAACACTCGACCGAACGGACGTATGGAGCCGACCTCTGTCACAGCGGTGACATGCTCACCAGCTGACGGCATCATTAGCCAGCCACCGCAGAATTATTATTTAATTATATCCCAGCATGCATCATTTCTTAATAGGTGTCTCTTGCAGTGGCTTTGTGCGGACCGAGAAGACAGCGTTTGGACCGCTGACGTTTCATTGTTGTGTCCTATTTGTTACTGTCATTGTATAATAACCATGGAGCTCTTTCCTTAATTAAATGCAATAACATGCTCAACTAAAGAACATAATTATGATATTGCTACACAAGAGTAAAAGAACAGCAGCCCTGAGTATTGAAAAATAATACAAAGTTAGGTATTGTCCAACAGACAAGCAGCTGATTTCCTCCCAGTATTACTGTGACTCCAAAGGCAGCCGAGAGCATTTCCTTTCTTCTTCTTTCAATGAGTCGTACTCATTACGCTGCGTGACCTCACTTCCTGCGGAGCCTTGCCCGTGGGGATTGCTCAGCCTGATGGGTAATAATTAAGAGGAAACAGACCTGCAGTCTTTGTCAATGAATAAAAACAATATTAAAAAAACATGAGTTCTCATCCTTCGTCTCTTCTGCTATTTCCCTTTATGGTATAAATATAGTATTGTTATTACTTAATAACAATACTATATTTCTGCAATAGTGATTCTTTTTATATCATAACATATACTATATTGTGGTATTATCTTATCATTTCAATTATATTTCTATATGTCTATAACACTATATAGTGTGTACAGTGTTTTAACTATTATATAATGAAACTTGTATATTCATCCCCAAGGGGAAAGTCTGAAAGCCAATGTAGAATTTAAATGAAAGAAATAAAACACTAAATTAGACAGTAAATAAATTAAAGAGATGTTACATGAAAAACACCACATATTAGATCATTAAAATGAGAAGAAATTGGTGAAAATATTTGTGTAGAAGAAGCTACATGGTGCACATCCGGCCGCCATGATGTGTGAACTACGTTTACATTTATTGGTATAAGTAAATTATAAGTACATCGTACTCTATACACAGTATACAGAAAAGCTGTTTTCATTCAAACACTATAGAAAGTATATGTTTCAAATAAAGTTTAGAGTTTAATTTGTAGGTTAATGTTGAAGTTACACTCAGAGAGGAGAACGTAAAACAGAGCTTTGTGTATTTTCATGCATATTAAATAAATAGTTCTGGTTGAGTCATGTGAGTGTGAATGGTTGTTTGTCTCTTTGTCAGCCCTGCGATTGGGTGGAGTCAATCCAGGGTGGATTGACTCCAGCCCCCCGCGACCCCGTATGACGGATACGAGGTTTGAAGATGGATGGATGGTTGAATCATCTGAGAATAACAGACAAAGTCTCGTTCTCGAAGTCTCAAGAGCGGTGGAGACGTGAGTGAGATTTGGCTGAGCGATGCTTAGCCAAAGAATTGCTAACGTGTAATAAATGTCGGGATGTATTTCACAATGTGGATGAGAATAAAGATTTCAGAATTTAAAAAGTCACAGAGATGCAAACAAATATGGAAAGATAAAGACAAAAAAAGTCTTTCCCTTTAAAACAGTAACAAGTCAAACCTGAAACCTTGCCCGGCATTTGCAAACATATCACTGTCACAGTCGGGATCATTTTTGGGAGAATTTGGCGACATCATTCTTCGTGACATAATTCTTCATGACATAATTCGCAGTGGTTAGGGTCACGAGGCGAAGCGGGTCGTTTTCTTATCTCAGGGTTGATGGTTCAATCCCTGACAGCTTGTGTCAAAGTGCCTTTGCTTTTTAACCTTGACACATTCCTGCAAAACAACTGCCTAAAGGCTGCAGCCTGTGATTTTACAGTATTTTTCTTTTATCTCGTCCAAAACACCAAGTTAAATTTGTAACACGGGATAACCTATTTAATAAAATGAAACCTAATTATCGTGTAAAATGTCTGTTCTTCTGTCAACAGAAGTAATCTAATAACGCTCCAACTGCCAGTCAGGGTTTTACAGCCCTCGAAAAACCCCTCTCTCTCTTTCTCTCTCCCCCCCCCTCCCCCTTCTGCTGTAATCCCTTCCACTCGTTCCACCACACTGAACAGGAGTATCAACCTTTTCTCTCCATCTCCCCGACGGAGACAACCTTCCCTTAAATGTCTTCTGGATCTCATTAAAAAGTGAAGAAGGTGAGTAATAAACGGCCAACTCCTCCTCTGCCCCGATGCCATTTTTAGCTGGCCGACCCCCCCACCCTCCCCCGCTCCCCTCCCTCCCCACCGACACTTGCCGACCTCCCCACCAACGCCTCCTCCCTGTTAGAGCCAAACAAACATGAGTTGTGCTTACAGGGTGTCCTGCAGGCCCTTCCATTTATGACGTCGAAGTGGGCTTTAATGCTTTTCTCCCCTGCCCCCCGAGGGATGGAGTTGGAGGCGGAGCGAGGGCGGGGCTCTAGCACACAAAACGTGTCCGCTTTGAGAGTATCACGAACTTTTAGTTCTTACAGTCGGATTTGTTCGGATGTGAGAGAAATCGAATCTCTCCCCAGGGAGTCCACTAAGACCCGCCAAAAGTGTGGCGTGTTGTCTTCCAGAGATGGGTTTATGGGTTCCCATTTGTTTGTGGGGGGGAGGGGGGAACATGTGCAAATTTTTTTCATCATCTGTGGGATTGAGATAGAGACGGTTTCATCCCATTATCAAATGTTTTTTTTATACGATGAGAGGAGCTTTAAGACAACAGGGATCTGGAGAACAACAACGTCTCTCATCATCAAAAGTCAATTGTCGTCATGGAGACTCACCTCTCATCATCAACAGTCATCATCGAGACTCACCTCAGACACAGGAAGAGGAAGAAGGCGACGAGCAGTGCCACCAAGGAGATGAAGTGACCCAGGAAGTTGATGATGAAGGCGATCTGGTAATGCATCTTGCCCTTCTTCTGCGGGGAGAGAGAGAGAGGGAATCACTGGATGAGTCTTGGGGGGGTTTCTCCTTCTGATTTAAACAAACAATATTCTCAGTATAAGAAAAGCGACTTCAAAGACTGAAAACCCTCTTCTGTCTTTTTTTCCTTCTTTCTCTTTTCACAGAGACTTAAACTTTTTAAATTAAAACTGAGTAAAAGTGTGTTGAGACTCTCTCGTCTTATTATGTTCTTCTTGTTTTTAAACCATACCCGAAAAAAAATCTATAACTCAATACCCGTCACACTGACGAGTGTATTCTGACGTGGTGAGCGTTGCGTTACGGACTTCATTTCTGGAGGAATGGGGGCCCTGATGTTTCCATAGCAACGGTCCTGGGTGCATGAGGGCGTCTTCAGTGATCACGTCAACCTTTATGTCTTTATGCGCATCTTAGATCTCGTTGAGGTTATTTTTTGTCTCTTCGTGGTTATTTGTCTCCGTGTCGTCATATGTTATGTTTTGTATCTTTTTTTTTTTCCTTCCTGGGTGGAAATGATGAACAGGGGTTCGGGCCCTCGCATGATACTAATCAGCCACCTGCCCATCACTGTGGGTGCTATCACATTCCCCCCCTTGGTTGTTTTAATCTGAATAGTGGGAGGCAGGCGAACATTTGAACTCAAGGTTTAACGTGGAACACGGACACATCTTCCATCTGAATCGTGTCTGTAACTCACAAATATCCATTGTGATCAGATTTTCCCCACAATACCGATAGTAATCTATGCTGTAAGTGGATTTATGTAACCTACTGGTGTCTACGCTGAGATTAAATGTGGACTGGTTTAATCCCTGCGCTCCCGCCCCCCTTCCCGAAAGACGTAATCTCGTTCCCTTTATTCTGGTGCAGCAGCTCAAATCTTTAACTCTTTTTAGAGTCTGCAGGAGGCTTCGTAAATATATACACAGGCAGACTTAATGAAAACTGAGTCTTCGTAGAAAATAGCTCATTTATTATCAAAGACTTCTGAGAGAGACTCACACGACCAATTCAAGCGTTCTACAGCTCCTTCAAACAGCTGTATTAATTCACGTTAGTGAAAACTTTGTCCAATACTCATTTTTACTGAATGTGGCTTCAATGTATCATGAAGCAGCACGCTGCTGCCCACCCGTTGCTAACAGCCAGCTGGCCCCCTTCCTGCTGTTGTTCACAATGCAGCTTTACCGGGGGAAATAAACGATGTGCGGGAGAGTGTTTGAACACAGGTGTGTAGCACTTGTGTGCAGTACGGGGGGTTGTTGTTGTTGTTGTTCCTGTTCAAATGAGCTCACAAAGCATTTGATGACTTGATATCATTTTATTTTCTGATAGCGCTGTCGGTATTTGGACGACTCATTTCTTCACCCATTTGAAAGTGAATAAACACCACGTCTCGTACCTTCACGTCGAGGTCCTGATGTAATGCAACGCATACGCTGGTAGTTTCTGTTGTGTCTTCTGGCTAAATGTAATCTATGCAACGCTGTGTTGTGCAGAGGAACCTGACAAGTGGAATCAAGTCAAACAAGAGAAAGTGTTTGTTTTTTAAAAAGCACACAGAGGCTTCAGCTGTCTTAACGAGAGAAATCACGTGGTTTTATTTTGTCCGTTGCATTGTTTCATTGAAGACTGTAAAAACACTAACTGTAGCCATCAGGACATTTCTCTCTGCGCCAGCATAATGTATTCTTCCAGCAAACGAGGAATGTAGATTTCACCCTCCATCTTTTCCATCAGAGAACCGCTATAAAAGGATCATTCCAAGGGTAGTGCGACAGGGGGGGATGATTACAATGATTAGTGGCTACACAATGGACGATTCATCTTTCAATGTATGTATGAGTGCAGTAATATAGATGTGTGGAAGGAACGTGAATCAGGGCTTTAACAGACACTGAAAGGCCCCGCGGCCCAACACCCGACATAAATCAAGGGAACAGGAGGTTTTTAAAATGGATAGCGGGGCTCAGAGGAGGGGGCGGACGGCGAGAGGATAATATAAGACCCGCCCACCACTCGCCTTGGGTCTCTGTGAAAATGTGTGAAGCACAAGAGTCATACCCAAACCTGACTCACTCTCCTTCTGTGAGAAACAACAGACACTTCTTGTTTATTGGAGAATATAACCTCCAGGAAAAGAGGACCCCCCCCCTCAAACAAACGCTCCAATAAGCCTTTGATCCACACAGTTTCTCTCCCCAGCGGGGCCGCTGAATATCCGGTTCAATACGGGCTGAACTTTAGAATGGAAGCCACTCGAACTGGCCCTCCTTGTTTACCGCGATATCAATCACGCCCCCGCGGCCACCTGGTGATTTATATTTCACGGCTATAAAAAGGAAAGGAAATCAAATACTTTTTAAAAGGTTGGACATTCTGCATCCATCTTACGCTGGGACGGATCAGACGTGAGACGTCGACTTGCTCACGGGTGCGTCTGGTGACCTCGTCGGGAGGCGAACGCGACCTCACAGGTGAGACAAAACACACATGTGTCCGTCTCGCCTATTTGTGTGGCAGATTCTAAAACACACATCACTTACAAAAAAGCATCCATTTCACAACAATTTAAAAAAAAATGGAATAAAAAGATGAACCGGCGCGAGGAGAGAAACACAAAGAGACAACACCAGCAGAGACAACATAAGATATTCTGTCCTGTGAAGCGCCCGCCTGCTGCCAGCGACGGGCCGATGTTATTCATCATGTTCAGAAAGGCGTCTAAGACTAAATTAGATCCTTCCAAGAGAAATACAACTGTTTATTTTTAAAGACCATCTATCAACGAGGAGGAGGGATTCACATCTACATGCCACACATACACATTTCCTTGTGACTTGTAACATCATATCAGACCCCCATATGTGTCCTCGTCCTACTTCATTCATCGAGAGGTCTGCCTACTCAAACATTTATGTCAAAAGGGAATTATTGTAGCCTACACGTTTTTTGTTTAGTAAGGAGAGAAATTGCACTTTTTAATGATCCCTAGCAGAGTTTTGGGGGGTAAGGGATGAAAATCACAGCCAGAACGACTCCTTTATGACACTATCTTCAATTCCTGCTCTGGCTGTGTGTTAAAGAGCCAAAAGCAGAAGAACAGGATATCCTAGCTTAGCATAAATACTGGAAGCAGGTGCACACATTTCTCATTTTATATGAAGGATGTTCTGATAAAGCAATTATGAATCATAAAAAGTCCCGTGGATTTACTCTTTACTCTACTAAAAATGTTAATGAGTCTGGCGAGCGACCCAGAAAGCACTGAGAGACTAATATTGTAGTTTTAGTCTTTTCGTGGTACATCGGGTAAAGGAGATTGATGGCTTTGCTTTAAAACCCGGGAAAAAGAAAATGCAACCGAGATAATTGAAGCAGCGCCGAGTAAACAACAATGTTTACGGAAACTACAGTGTTTGCATATTCAGCTGCGTTTGGGCAGATGGTCGGGTCGGGCTAAACAAACACATCACGTACTTTTACATTTCACATGAAATACTTTAAGTGTCCCCTCGTCACGGCCTGGTTTAGATCCTCGTGTCCCCTCGGAGAGCTTTGTCGCTCCTAATTAAAATGAGTGCTCATCGCCGTCACATCTGCACGTCACAACGCGCCATGCAGGTGGCAGCTGAAAGCGTGCACGCAGCAAAGCAAAAGCGCCCGCGTGCAGCATGTGACGAAATAAATAAAAGAAGTGGAGCACAGCGGGACCTTAACAGCAGCGGTCTGCCGGCTCTCCTCGCTCGCTTCGCCGGAGGCCGGCGGCGCTCGGATAAATCACTGTTGCTGGCTGCTATCTCTTTTGACAAATCAACTAAATGAGGCGCCCTTTTTTTTTTTCTTCCTCCCTTTCGTTTAGCATTGGAAGGCTAAAAGGCTGCGGGGTTGATTAGCGGATTTCAGGGTCCCGCCTCAATTTTGAAAAAAAAAAAAAAAACGGAAACCAAGATGGCGTGAAAGCCGCGGCCGGCGCCGTCGCTCGTCACGCAGCAGATCCCCGACACTTCCTTTTGTCTGCGGCGTCAGCTTGAGGCTCCGAGGGGAACAAACCCTGAATCCATATTTACTATAAATAAACTCTCTGAGTGAACCCGTCCCACTCGTCTTCCACCGCTGACCTCGCTTTTGCTGTTGGTTTTTTGATTATGTTTCACGCTTGGTAGAGCCTCCTTAATCAGGATACATGTGTCTCACCTCTGCGTGAAGAATGGCCTTACACATGGTGTAGTTCCCCTTCAGCGCCCACGTCCCGTTGCCAAGACATTTCCTGTACACGTTATCTGGAGAAGAGAGTAAGAGATGGAAAAAAAGGAGACAGCTGTTAAACAAAGAACATTTTTCTCATTCTTTCTTGACTTTACAATACTTCCTCGGAAAAATAGAAAAAAAGGGCCTTTCTGCTTTTGAGCCTAATAGGGAGCGATATCATTAGAGGTGGGCCAGCGAGCTGTGAGTTCTCACACGCTTGCTGTCAGGACATTTTGCCACCCTCTTCTCCTTCTTTACATTCAGACCGCAGCTTTTCTCTCCAGTGATTGTGTTTAACCTGCAATTTCGTGTGATTTTACCCTAAAACAAGACGACCCACTCTTAAACACGAGGGTTCTTCACGGAGGCCTTTAGCTTCTGCACAGAACTATTTGCTTCTGGAGAATATGTTTTTAAAAGCTTCTTTGTAGGACTACGCGTACCATTAAAAATAGTTCCTTAAGGGTTGGTAAAAGCTGATTCAGCCCTTCAGGAAAGCACACGAGGAAACTTGTAGTATAAATACTAATCATACTGTTTAAATATTAATAGAAATATAGAATATAAAAGGGTTCTTGGTACAAACCCTTTGGATGGGTTCTTGCCAATCCCTATTGCCTCCTTTTAAATAAAAAAATAAAAGACAGAGGGACAGTGAAGCGGTGATTATTTTCTATCTAAAATAAACCCATCACTTCTGCACATTGCTGGATAACGGAGCGGCGGTAGCGAGGGGGCGGCTCGGAGGCTCTGACAGATGATGAGTCAAATCATGTTTTTCCATTCGGGCACACCACACATTTCTTGCCACATTATCAGGGCGGATGTGAAATCATACTGCAACAAATTTCACATTTGTCATTTCACATTTATTATTCCTTACGATGAAGGCCAAAGAAATCATCAAACAGGACACAGAGGGTTTGAAACGCTGCAAATGAGGCAATTTAAAGATGAAAGGCGACATGTCAGAGCTATTCTCAAAGATATCCGTTCTCACATCGCCGGCTGTCTGCAGGTGAGCCGGTTCAGGGACCACGAATGATATGAGCGAGGGAAAAATTAAGTTTGCCCCGGATGAAAACAGTTGAAACAAACATGCCGTCTCAATAGCAACGAGGCCGCGTCCAAACGCATTTGCTTGGCTCTGCTCTCCTGGACAAGCTAAACCCTTCTCACTGAGTCATGAGACCATGAGACCATGTGACCCCGATCCAGAAGGTCGACTCGGGTGGACGGAGACGTTGGAAACATTCCCTGCAGCAGGCGAGAGGAAAGCTGCGGACGTCCATCAGTGGCAGGGCATTTTTTTAAAAAGGAGCTGCTTGTTTCGGGTGGGGGGTGGGTTGGGGGGGGGGGGGGGGGGTCTTCTCCCCTGGTGTTTGAAGGAGGAACATTTGTGGAAAAGCCCCCAAAGTTTCCTGAGTGAGAATTCCACCACCTCCATGCGCCCTAATGTAAGAACACCTGACAGCCCTGGTCGATAAGCTGCCCGGGAGGGTGGACATTTTCAAAAAGTTTTCCTGGGATTTCACACTTGAATTATCCCCAAGATGTGGAACACTTTAAGTTTGAATGGAGTTCAGCTTAAAGTGTGAATGAGTGAATGCGGGTTGAAGCTGCATGCAACGTGAGGAAATATCTATTCCTTTCTTCTTCTTTTTTTTTTGTACGATTTTTCTTATCGGTAAACGTGGAATATTTCTGGAACCACAGAAGGATATGAATAATAAACGCAGGCCACTTTAACGGGCCAGATGATGTTATTCCAAAACTGGAACACATCTGGATGGTTTACGTTCTAAACTGGGAAACAATCTACAGCCGATAATCCGCTGGTGGAGCATGAAGATGAAATGACAAATAAGAGATAATAAAGATTTACTTCACCCGGGGCCGAAGCGTCTGCCGTTCATACGACACTTCATAACCATCCAATGAGCCAACAGCGTATTTATGCGAGAAAATGTGTGTGTGAAATGAGGACAGATTCTCAAATCAATAATGAGTCATTTGTTCTTGTTTACTGGAGAACATTTGATCCAAAGAGGAACATTTCCAAAGTTCCCCTCTGTTTTAGCTGAAGACAGCGAAAGACACCGCGGCCTGAGATGTAGGCTCTTTTTCTTAAATAAATGATTTAATAATGAGATGTTTTGGGGAGGGGAAGAGCTGAGATGGGAATGGGTTTTCCTTGGGGCACTAATGTGTAAAAATAGCTTGTTGACAGTGTAAAGGGACTGTCATCCCAAATCAAGATTACCTAGCTTGTGATAGTCCCTAAATCCCAAACGCAATATCCCAGAGAGCTTTAAAATCTGTCTGAGGAGAACGATGTCAAAGTCAAAGGCTCTGCAGTGGACTGACGGAGGACACCGGCAATCCGGAGGCTCGTTTAACCATTCGCATTCATAAAAAAAGAGACTAAAGAGATTAAAGAATACATTCAATTCCACTCTGTGGGCGGCAGAATATCAGTAGCTTGGAGATCAAACTGCTTTATTTCTTTTGAGGAAAATCTATTTTCCACCATCGGGCTGGTGCCTGACTGAATTTAACGTGCAATGGCTCAATAAGAATTCACACAGTTTTTCAAAGAGCTCCCATAATTCTCTCCTTCAAATTTACATGGCACGGCATGACCGGGCGACTTTCCTCCGGGTTCACGCTCACAAATAATCCCAACGGATTAATGTCAGAGCGATAAAGCAACTTTTAGTTAGAAGGCAGCATATTTACAAACCAAAGTGCGGCGCGAATGTTTAAAGGAATGTGTGAAAAGCAGACAAAGAGGGCCGGCGAGAGGGCTCAGAGCAGAGGCGCAGATCTCCACGGTACCAGCGGCCTTCAAATACGGCAGCAGGACCTTGAGATGAATTCTCTTTGGCACAAGACCACACGGTGAATTATGGCTGCTAAATCTCTTTATTAAAAAAAAAAACATATATAAAGAGATATATACATATCAAACATTTCGCAGGAAAGACCGGATGTCACTGAAGCTGTTACGTAAATAACCAAAAAAAGCCTTTTCATATTGTTTGCTGGATGGAGTTTTGCAGCCAGTTTTTGTGAGGATGCAGAGTGACGGCTCTCTGAGAAGAGCAGAGAGCCTGCTTCTGTGATTGTCTCTATTAATGTTATTATATCTCCTGAAGACGATTACAAGAAAGGAGAAATACAGTCTGAGAGCTTCTCTTCAAAGAATCAACTGAAATGAGAGGAGTATTTCACACAAAAGTTGGTTGAAACTTATTTCTAAAATACAGAATAAAAACTTCTAGAGAGATGCAGATACAACATGCTGCTAAACTAGCAAATAGAAACAGACTGTCATTTCCGCTGATGTCGTTCTGCTGTCTGAATGTATGGGGGAAATTCACAGCTACAGCAAATGAAATTCACACAGCGGCTGTGTTATGATCGCTGTCGGTTATTTCCATCACTGTTGGAATGAAAGTAAGAAGCCTATTCCCACCTCTGAGTAACCGGAACCACGGGAGGAGCTGCAGAGGACTTTTAATGCCTCTTTTTATTTCCCTCCGTCTGTTAGAAGGGATTTATTGACATCAAGGAACAGCTCTGAGGTCAGTTTGAAGAGAGGCATGATGGCAGCCAAAGTTTAAAAACACACAATCAAACCCGGTAACTCTCTTTGTGCTGTAACTCTCCACCAACAATCCGACCACAGACCTCAGGACCTCCTGTGTTGTAGCTTGTGCTTCACCCGGTGTCTCCACCCCCGCGTTTCACCTTAACCAGCCTCAGACGGGGGGAGAAGTCTCAGCAACACGCTGACGAGGAAGGAAACAAGTTGTGGTGTGCGCTGAAAATACGCCCTGGCTAACAACCAAACAACTGCTGTGCAGACACCAACGTCCATCCAAGAATCCGCCCAAACTCAGAATGAGTTTTACAAATCGTTATTGGTGAGCTTCACCATTAACGATTTAAGTTTTTCACTTAGAAGGAGCCGAGCTAGATGTTTCCATTTGCTTCAAGTCTCTATGCTAAGCTAGGCTAATCGCCTCCTTACTCCAGCTTCGTTCTTAAGGCTGACTTCAGTCCTCTCGCCCAGTCGGCGAAATAAAGCCAAATCCTCTTATAATCTTAGTAACTTGAGATGCTTGGATCAGTGTTTCTGTGGTTCAGTTGAGACGAGGCCATTTTCTGAGGGTTTCTTCTCTCCCTTCATCAGCATGTTCAGGTAGCCTCCTCGGTAGCACGCGTCCCTCGTACATTTGTCACATGGTGAAACCATCTCCATCACTGCTCTATTAACATTCTCCAGCGGTCTTCGCGCAGGCAGCAAAGGGATGGAGCCTCTGGCAGCGCCGTACAGCGCTGTTAACATCTGTCACTCTCTCAAGGTCTCCTATCGTCTGCAGCCAAACCGCCGGTCCGCCTGCCAGGAGCCCAGTGTGAGCGGCAGCCAGGTTGCTCTTCAGAAGGATCTCATCGTTGTAGGCTACATGCTACATATTAGCTTTAATCCCTGCCCAGCTACCGGCCATTGTTGTTTTCCGAGTAGGATGTTAAAAACAGCCGCAAGCTTGCGCCAGGTGCTAAACCCCCCGCCCTCCTCCGCCCTCCTCCGCCCCCCCGTGGTAACCGGAGCTCTGGGTGCAAGCGGATAGAACGGGGCCGGCAGCCCTCCAAGCCCTCCAAGGATGCTCTTTTCATTTCATTTCCAAACACGCACACAGATCACAGGATCCCCTCTGTGGCAATGGAAACAAGGAAAAAGCACACAGCACAGCAGAAATGGTGCTATGATTTTAGGCCTGACGCGAGCAAATACGCTGACCCAAATTTAGTCACACTTACTTAGCGCTTTGACACAACGGATCAATGGCTCCAGCTCAGAAGCATCCTCCACCTCCTCTGTGCATTCTGAGCACCGGTCTAATTAAAACCCGGATCAGCAGGGAGGAGAAAAACATATTATTTCCACTAAATCAGGGTTTTCTCTCTCTTTTGGCAGAGCAGCACCGACTGTAAAGATCTGAGCTGCAACTCGATGCGTCTGCTG